ACAGGAAAGGATGGGGCCTCCAGGCGACGGCGACGGCAACACGCACCGATGTTCGGGCCGTAAACTGAGTTGTCGATAAAAGTGCCGAGCCAGCTAGCAACGCCGAGCTTCTTGGCTGGAATCGGACTGAAGCTTGGGAAAGCGCCCGAGGTCACGTCCCAGCTTCCCACCGAGGCATTGGCCACACTGGTGGCATAGGTTTGCTCGAAGATGATGGTAGAGTTGTCGTTGTACACGTAGAAGGACAGAATCATCTACTCGGGAGGGGGACGAGGACATCAAAACCTATTGAACAGGCGTGTGGCGAGACGAGCATTTCATGTGCCTGATGATGGTTGATGCAAGTACCTTTAACTTGCTGTCGGGGCTAGCCACGTTGGCGGTGGTCCTCCTGTAGGCGCCAAAGCTATCCGATCCTGGGAACAAGGTGTGACATGAGAGTGCGCCAGATCGGGGCTTGATATGGTGTGACTTGATGAGAGACCCGTCGCGGTTGGTGGTGAGCAAGGAGACCAACCCTGAGTTGTGGCCGTGCTGGTAACCTCCAGGCTGCGGTTGGCGATCGAATACCACTGGCCATCAGCATAGAACCTGGTGTCAGCTACCATAAATAAACGTTAAAAGGGGTATGAGGGCATTGAACAATTGTATGCAGCAGGGGGCCTCTTGCGCCCCAGAGCCGGATCATCCCCTGCAGATCCACTGCTTCACGATCGGATCGCAAGCGGGCGATTCAAGCAAGCACGTGCGCAAAGGGCGGCTCCAGTCGATCGGAAGTGAATTGGCACAAAGGCCTACCCGAGTTGAGCCAGGCAGCGCCATTGACGGAGAGGAAGTAGGAGAGCTCATTTTTAGAAGCGTTCAAGTGCAGAGACAGGTCCGTCGCCATGGCACCCATGGCAGCCAGCACCACCAGCGCAACCGCCGATCGCGTAAGTCCCCGCACCGCCATATCTGCCAGTGAATGATCAGACACAGCGAGAGGAGAGAAAGAAAAAAAATGCCAACAAAAATCTGCATAAACTCGTATTTTACCGACAACAAGTGGGCTTTAAGATGAAACAAAACACCATTTGTTGTACATATGTATCTACTTCAAGTGGCTATATCGCTGCAGATTGTGTGCATTGAGATCGCTGATCCTCCAGCGTGAGATTCACTCACTCTCTCTCTGGGGGATTTCAATGGGGAGGTAGCCAGTGCGGATTGGAATAGTGCATCAGTGGTCTGCCCATGATAGAGGTAACTAGATACCAGTCGCCGCCAAGTCTTGACGACGGGGCGCCCCCATGTGGCGCGCTCGATTGGTCTACCGATCCTCGGTGGCGGTCGGTCGGTGGCCAAGCTTTCGCAGGACCATGGCAAGTGCAGCCCCGAAGACACACCCCCTTTCGGCAGAGAGGCCCCCGCTTCCCTTTGAAGTCGTGGAACGTCGCTTTCCCACCCCGGGTGGGCATGTCGGTGGCTGGTCCCACGGACCTCCGAGTCGAGACGTAGTGGTGGCTATCCACGGCTGGCTCGAGCACGCCGATTGCTGGCTGCCCTTGCTCGCCCATCTGCCCAAAGACCGCCAGTATGTGGCCATTGACTTGCCCGGGCACGGCTACTCGACACACCGTGGCAATGGCATGGGGTATGCCGTCTCCGACTATGTGCGTGACATTGCCATGGTCATGCAGCAGCTTCGCGATCAAGCAGCTCCCGAAACTCGATTCCACCTGCTCGGCCACAGCATGGGTGCCATGATCTCCTTTCTATATGCAGGAGCCTTTCCAGAGCAGATCACCAGCCTCGTCCTCGTTGACGGTCCGTTTCGCACGGCAATTGTTGTGCAGCTTGTCGTCACACGTGCCGGCATCGCACTGAACTTGGCGCAGTAACGCGGTGAGCAACCTTAATCGTGCGTTGCCTCTTGCTTTGTGCTTTTGCCTCCTTTAGGTGTGGTACCCATTACCGCCGACGACGCTGCAGCGGCCAGCCGCCTGGCCTCGAGCATTGAAAATTGGTTGGTGCTGCATACCAAGGCTGCAGCGCAAACCCCAATGAGTTTGGAGGTGGCCTTCCAGCGGTTGGCCAAGGGGAACCCCGACGTCGAATCCCATGCCCTCCCCTATCTATTCCCACGAAGCGTGCGTCAAGTAAAACCGGGGCAATTTGTCTTCAATCGTGACCTTTTGGTCAAACAGGTCACTCCCTATCGCTTCACGCCCAAGCAGGCGCTCAGCTTTGCCCGGCGCATCCAGTGCCCAACTTTGGCCATCTTGGCCAATGATGGTCTGCGCACGGCGCCCCCGGACGAGACACAACGCCAACTCGCTGCCCTTCAGGAAGCCATGCCGACACTTCGCCTGGCGTACGTGGAAGGCAACCACCATGTGCACATGAACGACGCGTCGACCGTCGCCAAGGACATTGCCGATTTTTGGTCTCTTCCCGCCAGCCTTCCAGCCCAGGAAGCGCGCCCTATCGCCGCCAAACTCTGATGGTGAGCTGTTCCGATGCCTGTCAGGCTTCGCGTCCTCCTCTCTTGACCCCAGGCGCCAAGCTGTGCATCTGCCTTGGAAGAGGTTTGAGGGCAATTTGATCCAATTTATGTAACCAGGATAAAGGTGTTCAACACCACGGTCTTGAGTTTCAATCAAAAAATGATGATGGCAGAGCAAAGAAAAGAAAACCAAGCTGTAAAAGTGGAAAAGGCTAACACCATCAAGGGCAGGAAGACTCAAAAAAAAAAAAGGGGGGCCATAAAGAATCGTTGAAAATCATGATGGCAGAAAGTCGGGAAGATCTGATGCACGAGTTGAAAAAAAAGGGGGGGCTACAAGAAGGGCGAACAGACCATAGCTGAAGGACTAACCATCAGTGGGTATGGGCCCCTTGGTCACGCGCGTCCATACCTGCTCTGCCCGCTTTGGATGCCATGCTGGACTAATCCATTGGGGCAGGGCAGACTGACATGAAACACCTCCAAACCATAGAGTAAAACGCAGAAATCCTATCCGTATCTAGCAAAACAACAACCATCTCTTGCGGCGCAGCGTGTGCCAACAAGGGACAAAGGGAAAGAAATAGAGTAAAAGAAGGAAAGTCGAGGTGGAGGAAAAGCAACAACGACTGCTCTTGGGTTAGCTGGCTGAAGCAAAGGTGGTTGAGGCAGCGCTGAGCCCATAAGACGAGACAGGCGCCTGGCCAGCCGGATTTGAACCAGTGTGGCCCGAATGAACCGTCGTTTGCCATGACGTAGGCGAAGGCGCACCAAAGGGGGGACTGCTTCCCGTCAGAAAGGGAAGCCAATGAATGGGATGGTTGGGCATGTTGGCCATGGCGACGGCAGGGTTACTCATTGACTGTAACGTGTTGAACATGGGGTGACTCGGGTTCATGCCCATCTGGAGCATGGCGTAAAGGCCATTATTTTGGGATGCAGCCGCGGCGGCGGCAGCAGCAGCGGCGGCGGCGGCAGCAGCTGGGCCTGGGGTGGAACCCGGTGCTCCGTTGCCTACCAGCGAAGCCATTGCATTGCTGACATTTGGTCCCTGCCCCAGAGCTAAGGTATCGGGGTTCACGGGAAACTGGGGGTTGGGTAAGCCAGATTTGTCGTTGCTGCTAGGTGCTACCGACTCTGAGGCCACGTTGGTAAATTCCAACCCATTCATGGTGGCAGGATATGAAGAATGAGACGAGGCCGAGACTTGCGGTCGCATCAGCTGATTCTGAAAACTGGACGCGGCACCGTGCTTGTGCTGCGCAAAAGACGAATTTTTGGAGGCATGTGCGTTGCTGGCGGCGGCGGCAGATGGTTTGGCTGGCAAGGCGGCGGCTGCGGCTACCGCAGCCGCCGCAACGTCGCTTGCACTTCCCTTGGCGCCATTGCTAACAGATCCCGAATCGAGAGCTTTGCTGATGGCTTCCGGGTCCATGCCGGCTAGCTGAAGGTGTGCCGTGAGAAGGGCTCTTAATCGCTGGTTTTCAGAGATGAGTCGCGAAACCTTCTTCTCCAATTGCCCGATGTATTCCTTACGACGTTGTCGAAAGCGGCGCGCACTTTCGCGATTAGAGGCTCGCTTGTTGGAGGGCCTCTTAGCAGTCGCAGTCGTGTCGGGCTTGATGTCTTCATCGTCGTCATCATCACCGCCGTCGCTCTCATTCTCCGCATCGTCATTCTCATTCTCAAAGTCATGACCTTCCAGTGGGCCATGCGGGTGGCCCTCGGGATCGTGGTCTAGCATTGCCCGAGCAACCTCTGTTTTCTTGGTGGCCTCCGCCTCGCCATTTGATTGGTTGCTTGCGGGAGTGGCCTCTGACTTGAGCGTTGTGGAGGCGCTGGCTGATTTGTTGCGTTTGCTCAAGGGTGCACCATCCTTGCTACCAGCCTTGCCCCCCCGACCCAGACTGGTCCGTTGGGTGGAGGACATGTTGGAATTGTCCGGGCAGGCCTCCGATGGCAGTCAGTAACGAGATCTACGCGCCATGAGGCGACACAGGAGCAGCAAGTCAGACAATTGCAACGGGTGAGCCAGTGTGGCATCGTGTACAAGATCGTGGGGAGGAAGGGGCGCAGAGACAGCCCAGTCGTGATGGCACAAAACAATCAATGGTGTTCTGTGACCCCAGTGTTGAGTTGCAAGCAATAATGATCCAACATCAAGCTCAAAACCTGCGCGCTTCACCGACAACTCGCACACGCTGACAGAACAGAGGGAAAAAAAAACGCGCACGCACACACACATTTTAAAAATCATACAGACGCTCATGGAGAAAATGAACAAACCCACAAAACAAAGTCACTCAACAACCATTATGTGGTGTGTGGGGAGGGTTTTACCCAAGTCGCGCGGTGAGACAAGCGCCACCACGCGGAGCAACAGAAAGATCGATCTCGATGATGATAAACAAAAGGGTTCGAAGAAAAGGTGTTGTGCAAAAGAATGGGGAGAAGAATGTTCGGAGGGAACGGATGACTCGTTCAAAGTCGTCCGCCGCCACACTTGAACACGCCAAGACAAAAGCACGACCCCGCAACGAGACCAAAACGGCTTACCACAGCTCCAAGAAGGTTACGTGTCGCACAGATCTGATCGTAATTTCAGTTGGGTGGACAGATGAAGTGTGCAACAGAAACCAAGCTTGGGCGAGCACCAAACGTTCTGTTTAGGCACTTCTAGAGCAATCGGCGCAGCAGTTGACACACGATGACACGAAAGCAAGGAGGTCAGCCCAGTCCAAGAATCAAGCCGAGCCTAAGAATGAATCAGATATTAAAAAAAAAAAAAAATTATAAGAAAAATAAAAATAAAAAGTTGAGGCCAAGGAGGAGAAAGGAGGTGAGGAGACCAAGAACGGTCCAGAAACAGGCAGATGCATGACGAGTGGGTGCACAGACGAGCAGGCGGGTCGAATGACAAGACACGAGCAATGCTTGTCAAGAGTGGGCTCAAACACGTGCAAGGAGGTGGCAGCCCGTCTTGAGCGATTTGTGGTGCGTCAGACGTGCGTGGTTGAACGCGTGGCTGGAGCAGTTGTCGTGTGACGGCAAGAATTACCTTGGCAAGAAGCTCTGGGATGATGGGTTAGAGTGACTTTTTAATGAGTCCTATACAATGGGTGATAAGATTCAAAATGAGCCGTGTAGTGTTTTAAAGTGTCACCAGCGAAAACATGGTCGACGTTGACGGCTCGCTGCGGCGGTCGCACGACCCAATGATGCCCCAACCAACAGAATTATCGAAAGGCATACGCCTGTCCCTTGGCTCTTTCCCCCTCTTTCTCGGTGCATGCACCGATGACGCGTGCCAGCTGGGAACAAGTGGCCTCGACAGGGTATGCTTTTCGGGAGGAAGCAAGTGACGTGTCGGGTGAAGCTAACCTTTTGGCCGTAGTGGACAGAACCAGGCTGGGTGAAGCAAATGCGTTTGCCCACGTAGACGTTGTGGCAGCCACCAGGCTTCAAAGGTGTCACGACGCGATGAGGATGCTAGAATGGATCTGCTCCGCACAGTGAACCGATCGAGCTGAGCCGAGCCGAGCAAGCATGCGAACCGAGCCAACGGTGCACAAGGTTGAAATGGGCCGTGAGAATGGCAGAAGCAAGGACAGTGGCAGTGGCAGAGGCAGTGGCAGTGGTAGAGGCATCGGCAGTGGCAGGGGCCGCAACACGGCGGTGACAGTAGGAGGCACATGCGACATCAAACGTGATGTGGCGTGGTATGCGTTGCGTGGCATGAAGAAAAGCAAGCGCGAGGGGCGGCGGCGAAAACCAGCGTGAGCTCGAGCAAATGCAGCGAGCACTCAATGCACGAGGGCAAAAAAAAAGACAAGGGCAAGGGCATCTGATTTGGCTGCCAAGCTGCTGTGAATCGTTTTCAGAGAGCGAGAGCGAAAGAAACCCATGCAGACGCACACACACGCAGGCCAGCTCTCACAAGAGGATCCCCAGACAAGCAAGGCGCGTTACCGTACCGTGCGAGTGTGTGGTACGTGGACCGCGTGTTTGTGTCAAATGAAGCGCACACCAAGTGCCTAAAAAGTAAACGAGCAAGAGCAAGAGCAGGAAGGAGTTGTGAGAAAGTCGAGCTCAAGGTCGGCGAGTCTGAGCTGAGCCAAAGGGGGCGGGGGAGTGTGTGGGTGTATGAAGGAGTTGGGCTGCCACAATTCAACCTCTTTGGATCATGCAGTGACGTGATGATGTCGCATCAACACACGTTTTCAAGAGGATCGATGGAGGGAGTGAAAAAAATAGTACATCAAGAAAAGGAGAGAGAGAGACAGGCGGAGGGGGGGGGAGGAGCGGTGACATACAATGACGCGGTCCCAGCCGCCCACACACGCGACACCAAGTGAAATGAAAGAGGGGGGGAATGATCAGCCCACAAGCAAAGGAGGTGGGGTCGTGTGCCAGGGATGTGGTGGAACTCGTATCGTGCGTGCGTGTGTGCGTGTGTGTGCGTGTGTGCGCGTGTGTGTGGTGGACTGGACACCATGAAAGTGTCGTTGAGCACCCATATTGGCCCCCCAAAACAAAGGGGAATATAGAAAGAGCGCCTTTGGGGCGGAAGTGGGTGCAGACCCAGATGAACGAACCAAAACGTAACCATCCAGCATGTGCGCAGGCGATGAAAAGACCCCCAAACAAAAACCAATTCAAAGTTGTAGATGAGATGAGAGATGGAAATACCCCACCCATCATCCCACACATTAACGCTGAAACCCACAACCGACCACCAACACACATTACACACCCATCATCATCATCATCAGCTTCACACACGATAAAAAAAAAGAAAAAAAAACTGTTGTTGTGTGGAGCACAAGCCGCTCCTTGTGTGAAACGGCCAATGGCGCAGTGGCACACTGCTGGCAGCATGACAAGACTGACTGACTGACGGGCTGCCATCAAGGCCCAGGTAGCAAAAATGGCCACACACATACACACAAGAGCATGGTGCGCAGGGTGTGCATTTGGTTCTCAATGTGTGGTGGTGGGCTGAAGGCAAGTTGGACGATGTGTGGACAGAGGTCAAGGAAGTGGGACGGCACGAGAGCATCAGCAAGTTGCAAAGTAGTGGCAGCCAGCCAGCTTGAATGTCGGGGGCTTGTCGTGTGAAAGCGATCACACATCTCGTAGCGCTGGTGTCTCGGGTGTGTGCGTGTGTTGGATGACAGATGCGAGCATGCGTGCGGCCGTGTGTGCAGACGAATGTGTGTGCCGGACATAGGCAGGAGCATGGTCAGCACCTCAATCAATCTGTCAAAAAAAAGAGGTAGCGGTGGTCGCGACCATGCCACGGCCGCCTGTGATCACGGTGGGTGGTGCATCGGAGCAGACCGCCATGAGAAGCCGAGTCAAATCCATGCACACCGCCCCGCAAGCACCTCATCTCAAGCTTGCCATTGAAACGGCAGCTCTCACCACATCAAGTGCGCAGACGAACAAGAAAGAAAGAGAGAAAGAAAATAAAGTTTCAAGATCGACTTGCATCCGAATTCTGTTATGGCATGCGCTTTGTTTGTGTGCTGTTGTGTAGTGTAGTTGTGCTGCTTGCTGTACATTGTATGTTGTTGCTGTTGTGCTGCTAGACCGTGACACGGCCGGCGAGCTGCTTGACTTGATCGATACGTCTCGCTTCTCCTGACGTGCTACCCTCTGCCAACCCCATTCTGATTCACGGCTGCTGGCTTTGACATCCTCTCAATCGCGATGATGCTTCAACGCGACTGGAACTGGCCCCCTCGGCTTTTTTTTTTTTTCTTCGTTTCTTTATTTTTATTTTCTTGGTGATGGAACGCGTGAGGTGCTCATAAGCCTGGGTATTTCGATCGCTCCAGTGGATCTCAAGCTCAAGCACTCGTAGAGACTCGAGCGAGCGATCTCAAACTCGTCTCAAACTCTAAAACTTTTCAATCTCTCTCAATCTCTCTCCTTCTCATGAGAGGACAGTCACATGCTTCTTGGGAGTTGAGCAAGCAGCAAGTCGCTCGACAAGTGCGCAAGTCTGTCATCATCCCGCCGTCGGAAGAGAATGGCGCCTCCGGCGCCGCATACCCATCAGCGATGCCCTCGGCCCCATAACTTTGCGACGCGTCTGGTGTTGGCTTGGGCATGGCGCAAGGCACCGATGTTGGGCGTTGGCATGATTGGCGCAAACCCCTCTTCATACACGACTTGCAACGGGAATGACCTCAAGACCACGCCAAGTGTGGTGAGAAACCCTGCACATCATCCTACACACCCTGCACACCTGCACACCCCGCCTGCCCAGGTGTGCGCAGACCCTGGCACGCACCCATCCAATCTATTTGTTCATGACAATTCGATGTGAGCTCCAAGCTGGATGACGTAACAGGGGCGCATGCGGAGTGATGTGTGGCAGGTGCACAGTGATGTGGGGTGACGTTAGCGGCGGGAATACAAGCATGAGGTTATGGGTGTCGAAGATGAGGGCACGAGCAAGCTAGATCAGACCCATACAATCCCGTGGGACCAGAGGAATAAAGTGAAGATGCAATAGTATCACTTGTCAGCAGTGATATCGAGATCACGTGTGTGCCACGCTCTGATGACGTAACGCAGGACCTTATGCCAACCTCTCTTGGACTCGAAAATGCTCGCCCAGCCCGATAGAACACATCCGATGTACATGGGTTAGGTCCGGCGCCTCTTGTTTTTGGCTCTCGCTCATCGGTTCGATCGTGCCTCTAAAAGGCGATAGGGGTGCGAAGGGTACGAAGGAAGGGTACAAGTTTGCGATAGTCGAAACCGAGTCGTTCGCTGCACCAGAGAATTTCGGACGAAAAGCCGTCACAAGCCTACTCAGGTTGCGACCACCACACACGCACCACACACGCACCACACACGCACCACACATCGATTTCAAGTGCTCGGAACAACGACCAATAAGAGCACAGGTTCGAAATCAAGCAAGCATAGGAGGGCAGGAGTTTCGACGCGCCTTGACCTTCAAAGCTGGAGCTTATGTCGTCGCGCGCGCGATTCTCACCCAAGGCTCGGTCAAGCTCGGATTCAGAGCACGTCCCCTCAATACTCCCTGCAGATCAGATAGATGTGTGTGTATGGCACGCACATGTTGCTCCAATAGTGTGACGTTATGGCAAAAGTGTCAACATCATCACAGTGGCGTTTATTTTTCCGACGATAATCTGACAATTTATAAAGTGTCCTTTTGATTACACTTGATCTTGATATTTTTCAATGAAAACCAAGGGTAAAAATCACCTTGGAAACAATAGTGATTCAGGGCGTCTTGACAACAACCGGTAAAGCCTGATCGGACCATTTTTTGCGCCACCGACGACACACACGCTCCACGCACGCTCCACACACACAGAGGCAGGCAGACACGGCGCAAGAGTACCTATAGCCGGCGGTCGACCACCTGCGGCCCCTTTCTGGTGGACGTGGTCTGGTGGTGTGCCCAGGTTTCAGGCCCCTCTCTGGCGCCCAAGACACTTTCCGACCCCCGCTGCAGCTTGTTGTGTGTGCGTCTGCCTCGACGCGCAGCGAGCGCCCTTGGCCATCGCCTGCCGATAAACAAAACGCTGCTTGTGCAATTGTGCAACCTTTTTTGGTGACCCAAAGCCATGGCCTCAACTGCGCGCCGCACCACCGGCAACCGCCGCAACTATCGCGTGGTCAACCACCGCCCAGACGTGGTACGCCAACAAGCGTCCCTCTGTCAACCCATCCCGCTCTTGCTGATGGGAAGGAGCCAGGGCTTGATGCACTGTTTGGGCCTGAAGCAGAATGTTTGGCCCAGGCGGATCGCTGTAGTCTTGAGCAAGACCCGCCTTCTCCCCAACCCAATGATGCATCTCACTCTTGCATGATCGGCGCATGTGTCCCGTTCTCCCCGATTGGCAGGATGAAATGCTTTTTGGAGAACCCAGCAACAAGTCTGCACAGCAAACGCAGCGACAAAAGCAACAGACTTCTCAACTCTCTGGCTTCTTCTCTGGCGAGGGCACCACCCAACTGGGCGCTGGTGAGCGTTTCGCTCCCCCTTTGCTCCTCCTCCCAGGCGGGATGGAGATGAGACATAGCAACGAAAGCAAAGAATCTCTCACTCTTGTATTGTCCTTCCCCAGGTGGTCGAATGAGCACCCGCGGTGCTGCCGCGCCCGAGCCCCCTGCCACACAGACCATCATCTCCAAGGACCAGATTCGCACGCTGCGCGTCCCTCGAAGCGAATCAACGGTCGGCCCGCTCGTGATTTCCCACCAGGAGTTTATGCGCCTTCGCCGCAGTGCTACCGTACGATCCCAAAGCGCCATTCAACGTGAACGCGACGAGAAGACGCGCCAACGCCATGCCGCTGCCGCCGCGGCAAATGAGCGCCGCCGTCAAATGGAGGCCCTCGACGCTCAGCGCGATGCCATGGCGCCTCTGAGCGAGCTAGATCTCGAAGCCAAGGCCCGCAATGAGCATCTCCTTACACACGCACGCCTTCAGCTTGAGGAGCAGGAGGACGAGATCAAGGCGCTCAACGAAATGATCCGCCAGGCAAAAATCTATTCCATCCGCGATGCCCAACTCAGCGAGCGAGAGGTTATCGAGCAGGAGCAACGCGAAGAAGAGCGTCGCCTTGACGAGATGATGGAAATTGAACGCGTGCGCAAGCTACAAGATGCCGAACAAGCAGAGGCTGCTTTGCGCAACGCGCGCCAGCGGGGTGCCCAGGAAATTCGCACTCAAATTGAAATCCGCGAGCAGCAACGCATGATCGAGGAAGAGCTGCGAGAACAAGAAACCCAAGCCATGCTGCAGCGCATGAAGGACAACGAGGCTGAGGAGGAGCGCAAGGCCATGCTGCGTCGTCAAGCAGCCGAACGCATGATGGATGAGGTTGCCTCGGCCAACCAAGAAGCCTTGCGCATCAAGGAACAGCAACAGCGCGCCTTGCAGGAGGAAGACGAGAAATTGGCCCAATTTTTGCGTCAGAAGCAGGAGCGCGAAGACGCCCTTGAACAGCAGAAAGAAGAGGTGAAGCGCCGCAAAGACCGCGAATTCGCCGCCCTTTTGGCTCAGCAGGAGCAGGCCATGGATAAGATGGCCGAGCGTCAAGCCTTGGCCGCCAAGCGCCAACAGGAAGCTGTCGAGCGCCAGCGCCGCCAGCGAGAGCAGCAAGAGGCTGAGCAGAAGCAACGTCAACTCGTTGAGATCCAAGCCGCCCGTGATGCTCAGATCCGCGCCAAGGAAGAATATCTGGCCATGCAGCTCCAGCAAGATCAGCAAGACTTTGAGCGCATCCTGCAAGCACAACAGGAGCTGGCCGAAGTGGAATCCCGCACACGCAACGCTCATCAGGTATTTTTCAAAATCATTGCGCCGGTGTTTCGAGCCTCGTCGTAATGTGCATTTGTTGGGGTGTGGGTCTTGATCCTTGTTGTTGCGAAGGTCAAGTCTGACAACTTGTGTCTCGCTTCATTGTTCACCCACAGCAAAAAAGCCGCCATCACGCAGTGGAGATTCGCAAGCAGATTGAAGAGAAGGAAACAGAAAAGCGGCGCGAAGTTGAGGCCTTCTTTGCCGAGGGCCGCCAACTGGATCAGGAAGCCGCAGAGCGCCGCCGCCGCCTAGATGAAATCAAACAGCGCAAGTTGGCCGAGCTGCAAGCGCTTGGCATCGACCCCAAGTACATTACGCCCGTCCAGCGATTGGCAAAGGGGGCCGGCAAAACCAGCATTGCCGCTCACCCCTAGTCAGACCCACCCTTGATGCCTCGAGTTGTCCGCTTTTCCAAAAAGCTCCCCTTATTCTGCATGGTCGCATGGCTGCTTGTGCAATCAAGCCGTGGGCCTTGTTCTCTTCATTCTCTAGCCGGCCGACCATTGTGTCTGGCGGATGTCCTTGTTTCTTGTTCCTTTTTCATAATTGTAAACTTTTGCATTATGTCACCTTGGCTTGTTCGGTTTTATGGCGGGAGAACGCGCTGCGTTCTGAGTCATTTTCATGTCAGGTGTTGATGGAGTCAATCAGATGGATTTTCCTACTCATTTTGGCAAGGCAGAGCATCTCGTGTTGTGATTTTGGCTAATCGACTGGTGTTTTTGACCTCCTTCGATCCCAGTCTTCCAAGATCCGCTGCTTGCCAAGCGTGCAATACGGCGTCAGGCTTGCGCGACTTGTGCAGCAGCGATATTCAGCCAGGCGTTTGAGCCGCACTTCAAAGTATTTGATAAACGGTTAGCAATCAAATGAATTCGACATTAATTCTCAGGGTCGTCAGTCAAACGAGTCAGAAGAAAGGGCAAAGGTGGAAGAGGTGGGGCAGCAGCAGAACATGACAGACAAAAATGGCGTAGAAAATCGATCATCCTTCAAGTACTCTCAAGTCGATCATCATCAAGTCAGCAAAGGCAACTACCGGAACAGTCTTCACTGCTTAGGTGGTGTTTGTGCCTTCTCCTGCTTCAAAGCGTCAAGGCGCCCCTTCAGGCGCAGATGAAGTGCCTGTGCTCCATCAACGAGTTGCTCAGGGTCAAAATGCACGCGAGGGCTATGGACAGCCCCGACAGCTTGCTCTTGTGTCATGACTGCCAAGAGTTCGGCGCGGTGGGCAAAAGACGAGTCTGGGTCGATGCCCGGCGTGTCGCCCAATTCGTGAGCAGGCAGCTGGCAAGCCAAGACCTCATCAAGAAATCCGCGGTCCAACAGATGCGTGCGCACTTCCTCCCAATTCTGAATTTTGCTGACGCAATTTGCGGGGTGAACGCGCACCAAACCTCCAGAGTGCAGGGGGCGCCACGGAAGGCCCAAAAATGCGTAGACGCTGTCGTAGTAACGCTGGCCACGAGGAGAGGTGATCTCTTCATAGGTCACCTCCATGAAAGGAACGTTGTAAGGTGAAAAGCGGAAGGCACGCTGATACATGGAACGCAGAGCTCGCTTGGTCGCAATGTACTCTGCTGCCTGTCGAGGCTCAACATAAAGTGCCCGACGGTTGCTAACAAGCTTTTCCCGCTCCTCCTGCTGGAATAAGCGGTCCTTTAGCTCGCCCTCCTGCGCCGCATCTAATACCTAAAGAGCAACATGGTCGCTGAGGCTAGCAAGCATGCGCCCCGGGCAAAGCTCACACATCAACTCTCTGCCTCCTCGACAATTGCTCGCCACCGACCCTTCCAACAATGCATCCCAACCTGGGCAGTGGAGGTCCAGAAGGGCTCGAGCAAAGACTGGCGATACAGGTGTATGATCGAGATCCTATTGCAGGCAACAAAGTCGAGAAAGTCTTGAAGGTACATGGGTGGGACATGATCATATTGAATCTTGCCAATGACCGCCAGGGTCGTGTTGGCATCCGTGTGAAATCCCGATGTTAGCGCTTTTTGAATATCAACAAAGGTGCACGACTTGGTGCCCCAGTATCGAGAACAGCGGCGCGCCAAGTCGAGTAACACTTCGTCATGCTGAGTAGGACAAGGAGCGCGATCAAGACGAACACAAGTGAACAGGGGCGTGAACAAGAATGCAAAGCAAAGGGGGAGGGGGACAAGCGACAAACCTCCTCGACAATGGCCCGCTTGAAGCTACGAGTGAAAAATGTCGAGCCTGAGATGGCTGTGGACAGCACGACCACCCATCGCGAGTCATGCGGCACACTGAGCCCTCGCTCAGCGCACATGATCTCCAGCTTGACCCCAGAATCGGTGCGAGCCATGCTGAGGACAGCATCAGCCGGCGACACAAACTGAGCAGAATAACCCAGCAAAACTCGATACACCAAGATGTGAATGGGTACACATGCATGCACCGTCACAGCACAGGATAAATGGTGCCCATAAAAGATCAGCAACAGCACTGCCAGCCCCGCTGCCCCCCACGCCCAGGCAGGTAGGCGTTGATGTCGCTTCCAACCCATCTTGATGCTGAATGGGGGTTTATGGTTTTTTTGGGGAGTGGGATGATGACATCCAAGTGAGGCTGACAAATTCAGCAGGGGTGATTGCAATTGAGGGATGCAAGCAGACAAGGCGAGGTGAAAGGTTACTCGAGCATCGAGGCCATGAGCATGAGCTGCTTGGAGCGAGCGCGCTCCGAATCTTGGGTCATGGCCTGGACGACTTGCAGGGCCTCTCGCAAGCAGCCTTCGCGAGCTGCGTGCGTGTGTTGTTCCAGCTTGGTGGCGACCGCCTCGGTCGAGATGCTCTCAAGCAGGCGCTGCGCCTCCCCCCACGCCACCTTGGCCTGTAGCACCCGGGTTTTGAGCATCTGGCGCTCTTGACCCAGCTGCTGCAGCAGCTTATGGCCTCGTGCCACGAGCTGCCGGCGTCGGCGGCGCAACTGCTGGCCCTGCGCTGCCAGCCCAAGCTTGGCGTGCCGCCCTTGTATCCTGACGCATTGCCGCCATCAGCCAGCACGCCCAAGGATGGAGGGCAGTTCAGACCGGTATGAGTAGAATGGGGTGGCCCCAGCAGCGTGGAAGGGGTAGTCGGGGAGCGACTGTCTTAGGACCGCCCCGAAAAGTCAACCGTTTGGGGAGATCAAGCACGTACATGGCCATCAGGTCGTCATCTTGCTGCTCCAGCGTGGCCAGAGTGGCACGCGCCCGATCTTGAAGGGCCGCGAGCGATGCCGTCTCCACCTCATCCCCCGCATCCGTCTATCACACCCAACGCCCATCCGCCCGGTAGCGAGGGGTGTAAAAATGTGAGCGAGACACAAGCCCTCCAAGTGGGGAGAAAGAAAGACACCGGTGATCATGCCCGGGTAGCACTTACACGTACCTGAGCAACCTGGTCGGAAGCCACTCGAGGCGAATCGGGCACCGCTGCTGCTTCAAGCCTACACATTAGCAACAAAATGTGAGAAGGGTCGCCTGCGCCCCAGATCAGCCTAGCGAGAGCATTGATTCAGCCACCCAAAGCCTCACTCGTCATCGAGAATGAGACGCCGCTGAACCCCGGCGCCGTCGGATCGGCGGACATTCGACTTTTGAGCCTTCCACTGCACCACGTCCGGGGTCGGGTCCTGCGGTTGGCCAATCGACAAATCGGATTTGCCCCGCTTGGCTCGTGGCGCGTCGTTGTTGTCCATGACCTGCTTGCGCCGCCGCCCACCTCGCAGCGCCTTGGCTCTTTGGCGTGCCTCCTGCTCCGACAGCTCGGGCGCCTCCGACGGCTCCTGTTCAGCCTGCTCCTCGGCGTCCTCGTCCTCATCAGCATGATCGTCCTTGTGGCGGTTTGGCACAGCCGCACGCTTCTGCCCATGGTTCTTCTTGGTGCCAGCTCGGCGGGTTGTTTGGCGTTGCTTTGATGCCCGCCCCGTTGTGGAAGAGTCCCACTGCTGGACGGCAGCATTGCTTCGTGTACTGCGCTTGCCGCTCCTCTTCTTGTTGCCCGCTGACCCGGCTGCTTGCTTGCGCACGACACGCTTCGCCCGCTCTCCCTCTTGTCCTTCTGCTTTCTTGCGCACCAGGTCCGGGCTGGCCGTCTCTTGGCCCGCTTCCGACGACAGGTCCAACGAGTCCTCATCGACGTCCTCTGCAGCCGCAGCTGCAGTCGAGCGGACGAGACGACGACGCTCCGCAGCCTCGAGCACCGCGGCCAGCTCCTCCGTATCCATCGAGTCCTCTGCCTCCGAGTCCATGCGTGCAGCCGCATTGGCCAGCACGCTAGCCTTGCGCAGCACCTCCCGACGGCGCCTCGCGTTGCCATTGGCGATGGCTTCGACGTCACCATCATCATCACCATTGCTCTGGCCACCATCTGGGCCGCAATCGCCATCGCCATCCTCGGCGTCTTCGTCGTCAATCGCCTCCTGCAAGTCTGCCAGTGTCAGGCCGCAACTCGCCAAAAGCGCCTTGGTATAGGGCTCCTCCCCGATCTGTGGCCAGGCAAATGGCAGGGTGTGGAGCAACGTAACGACGGAGCAGACAACGACAGCACCAGCATGGGGTCCGCATGAGTGCCGTGCGAGTACCGCCATGATCCCGAGCTTAGTGTTTGCGTGCAAGCGGCCAAACCTGAGGCTGTGACGCTTTGGTGATAGGTGCTGGGCTAGTCTCGGGTGGGGTGTCAGGAATGGCTTGCACCTCGCTGCGTGGCGTGCGAACCACGACCAGCGAGCGATAGGGCAATTCGCCCATGCGGCCCTGCGAGTCACGACACGAGTACAAGCTCAGCATAAGGATCATTTGAACTTTCAAGCATTAAGCGATCAATCGACGAGATCGTGTTTAATCGCAGTGTGCCCCCAGACCATGGCACACGCATGTTTACATTGTGTACGCACCCGTTTCCCTGCCGCCTGAGCCTCTGAGGCAGTTTTGGCGCTCTTCAGAGCCTCGAGCTTCTTTTTCGCTTCGGCAAGTGCGTGGTCATATTCAGCCTACCCGATCGCCCCCAAAAAAGCCACCCAGCGAATGAGTCACCCCAGATACAAGCTCAAACTACGCTACATGTCGCGCGCCCCTAGCACCACCAACGCACGCACACACAAACACACACACACCTCTGCTGCTGCTCGTGTCATGCCCTCTGCGGCGTTGCTCTGCACAGAGCCTGGACTTGCATTGCTTGAATCGCTCTCCTGCACGTGTTTCTTGATAAACGGGGGATCTTGCTCGGCTGGCGAGGCAGATGGACGCTGCTTCCCACGCTTGCTGCTCTTGCGAGGCGCCTTGGTGGTGGTGGTGGTGGTACCAGGACGTTGAACGGCTTTGGTGGACGCTGTTGCCGCGGCTGCAGCACCCACGGCGCGTGCTTGCGCACCAGCCCGAGCATCAGCTTGGTTTGGCCGTGGTTTGAGCAGCTCTTGAGACTCAAATTCCTGGCTCGAGGTCAAACCCAGATCTGGATCTGGGTTGTGGCCGAACCTCTTGGTTGGCTCTGGCGACTCTGAGGAACTTTGTTGGTCCGTCTGATTTGCCGGATCCACCTGCGTGGGCTGTTCCGGTGATGCGTGGGAACTCGAGTCGGCGTCCGTGCAGGCTGACGCCGGCCCGTCATTGTCGGGACTTGTGGCACGAACACCCACGGTAACAGAGCGGATTGTGCGCACCATCTTGTCCTAGATGGGCGCACCCACAAAGCATGCACACATGGACAGCACATCAGGAAGCTGGGACCCAATAATCACGGTACAAAGGGGGTCCTTGTCACAAGGCACCAGAGACCAGCTTAGCATGTGGCAGGCTGGCAGTGTGCAAAGATGTCTTCCTTTCGAGACCATGCAGCAGCCACCAAACGTGGTAGCACCCCTACCTGCGCCTGACGCTTGTCAATTCGAATGGGCATGATAACAGCGACCGAGCGCGGCTCCACCCGCTCTTGCTTGTCAGCTCCAAAGACCAGTGCCGCGGCCGGTCCCGGGTGAATCGCCGGCTCAAACGTCAGCGTGACCACACCTGCCAACGGATGTCCTGCTCCCTCTACCTGCACCGTCAGCACATCTGTCACACCACAAATAGTTACGGCAAATCCACAACCAGGGCGAGCATGGATGAGAATGGCAGCCAAGGTGCATGCATCAAGATCGTTGCGTTGCGCCAGCAGTGGGTCGGGCGTACTTTTGGCTGCGGAAAAGCGCGTCACATGCTGAGCCTTGATGACCACAACACAATCGTCCTTGTTGGTGTACGTCAGGCATTGCGAGCGCTGGTTGAAGTGGCAGAGCGTGCGCTCTTCCTGCAAGGCCCGAGCGACTTGAGCACGAGCCTCGTGTTTGATGGAGCGTGCCGTCAGCGATTGCACGCTGGGGTGTTTCACGGCCTGATTGAGCTCGACCAAAAGCTGACAGGCCTCCTCGTCAAAGGCCGCCACGTCCAGGTCCTGAAAAGCCTGTTGCCACGATGCTGGAAACACCCCATCACAATGACCCGCGATGGCCTCGCGATCCTGGGAACCGGTCAGGCAAAGTGATGAGGTGGTTTGCTTTTGTGTGGGTTGGCTGCTTGGGACCGCTGTCGCCTCCATTCACGTGGTGTTGGAGGGCTTGGCAATGCTTTACAGGTCATGGCAAGCGTCATTCGTCTGTGGTGTTTTTTTTTTTTTTTTTTGTTTTTTTTTGTTTTTTTGTTTTGTTTTTTTTTGGTTTTTTTTTATGGTTAAAGCGATGCAGCGTACCTTGGAGCCCATGATGGAGTAGAGAACTTGGAGCGCTTCAAATTGTAGATCAAAGTCTGGTGTTGGCACACAGGTGAGCGTAGAGGGCACGCTTGGACAAGGCAGGAGCATGGGTGGTAGACAAGAGCAACGGACCGCCCAGGGCAGGCAGACGCTGCAAGTGCGTGGCCAACTGGCGATGGTCCAGGTTGCATTCACGTTTGTACAGCTCGCGCTGGTTGGGCAGAGCGCTCTGCATCATGGCGTTGAGGGCCGAGGCTGCCTATGCGTGTTGCCCAAGACGGGAACCATCAGAATCACTTGTTGGGGTATCCTCAATATGCACCCCGCGGTTGGATGGGGGCGAACGGTGGCGAAAAACAAATGATCGAAACGCACCGCGAGTCCACAATCGGGATGGCCCGTGCCAAAGGTCACCTCAAGCAGGGCTTGAATGATGCCGGCCATGATGCGCGAGTGGAGATTGCGGCGCGGCGAGCCGAGGTACAACATGAGGATGCGCAGAAAGGCCACAGCCACGGCCGTTGGGGCCTTGGGGCCCACAAGCTCGAGAAAATGCTGTTGCCGAAGCGCCTCGCTGATAAAGGTGCTGACACCGCTGCGATCAGACGGGTCCTCGAGCTGGCGATACAGGATCTTGGCTAGCAGGGCCAGGACCTCGAATTTGGACTCGGACAGAGCCTGTGGACTCGATGGGGCAGCGGCAAGTGGTTGAGGACACCAATGAGTAGAATGCAGTCGAAACAGGTGGAACAGTAGATGTGCGATCGGAGAAAAGGGTTGGGACTGCATTTGAGGCTAATGCGAGGGGCCGGCAGAAGCCCACCTGCTGGATGGCTGCCTGTAGGGGAGCATGGTGTTTTTTAAGGATCTTGAGACGGCAGCTGGGGACGCTCAGCAGCTTGTGGAGCCGACTGATGGGCTGGGCCGCACCCAGCGCCGCACTCAGCTCATCCTGCACGGCCATCACTGGTCTCGTGGCGTGCCAGGAGGGGTCTGACCGATACAACTTTCACCGGCAGCGACGGGAGGGGAGGGGGAACCTGTCGGCTTTAGTACGGAAGCAAGCAGCGCCAGTGAAAACTGCAACCCGCTTCAAGCTCCACCGTTGTCGTTGTTGCTGCTGCTGTTGCTCTGTGAGACATGACTTATACCCAGCTAAATTAAATTGTCGACAAACACGAGTGTTTTTTTCCCGCCAAAATGTTATAAAACTATCGTTCACAACACCAGTTGTTTTGCTTCAATTCTTACCTGAGCTCTCTTACCTTGAAGGGAATGACGACGGCACTCGGTTGCACTTTGACCTGTACCCGCCGTGTGCGAGTGGGACCTGTCCCAACCAGTTCGACCCGATCCGTGGGCTGCAGTTTGACAGGCTTCCGGTTATCCATACACACACACACACTCACACGGTTTTTGTTGTGCTAGCGTGTTCACTTTCGAAGTACTTGGTTGATGCCAACCCTCAATATCCTTTGCCTTTTGGACCTTTTGGGCCGCCAACGTGCATTGTGACGACGGTCCCGTGGCTATTTGCCTTGTGCGACGTCCGTCGTCATTGATGCAAAGCCCTGAACAGTGTCCCACTGCCTTGAGCCGTGTGCCCAGCCTACTTTGTCTCGCGTCCTACCACGGAGGTCACCCCGTCCCATCTCTTCACGTGATTGGCGTGCCTGTCGCTTCGCGACCAGCTGCCAACGGCCCGCACTTGAGCAGCCCGTGCTTCCGATCGCCATTTTGATCCACTTTGCTTTTATCCTGATAGTCAGGAAAACTGTCAATAATATTTTGTTGGCCCTTCATCTTGATACTGGTGCAACACGTGCATCGAGGCCAGCCATTTCTCCGGGCTGAGGTGCGCTTCGCAGCGGCTCAACCGTTGAGCCATTCTTCATCAAGCGACCGTCAAGCATGAGCGGCACCCCCATCAACAACCCTGTGGCCTGGGCATACGGTCTCTTGGGCTTTGCTGGTGATGTGACAGGGCTGGTCTACCTTTTTGCTGCCTTCCTGTGGGTCTGGCTCCTGCTTTTGAAGGTAAGGCGCAAGGCATCGTTGCTTTCCACATGGTTCGCGAGCAACAGACATTGTGAAAGTGACGAGGGATCAGCATCACTGCGGCAGTGACTTGTTGCCTTTTTTTTTTTTTGCATGTATTATGCCATGTTTTCTTTGAGCCCCCGCCCGGCGTGCTGGGCGATACTCTGGGATCTGGCTTTTGAACATCTCATCAAGTGGTGTTGCGCGCGCGCGCGTTTTTAGGCAGATGGCTACCTTGAGATGAGCTACTGGACCGCGGCCGTTCCTGCGCTGTTGGGGTTTGCCATCTGCTACTATCTTCAGCTCATCATTCTGTTGCGCTTGGCCAAAGACCGCCGCCGCCTTCGGGAGGGGCGGCTGGTCCGGCCGCTCCTCGTCAACACCCTCTTCTTGCTCGGGACCTGCTTCACATGCAGTTACTTGGAGGGGACGATTTCAGGCAATTGGAGCTTAGCCAAGGCCATCTCCCCCTTTATGGCTGCGCTCTCCATCAACTTGATAGCACCTACCTTGCCCTCCACCCCTGACCGATGAGCACACAGCTTGCCAAGGATGGGAGGAGCGCACCAGGAGGAGGCAGCACCATACCTCGAGTGCACCCATTTGACCGAGTTGTTGCCGGGGCGGCACGCGTTTCGATCGCCTTTTTGTTTTTTACTTGACGGTGTGGCCAGGCTGAGCCTGTACACCTTAGTTGCAGTGCTTTTTCGTTTGTCAAATAATCGAACAGAGAAGTGACCTTGCCGCACTGAGATTCCCCATGCGCTTCCTGCTCCTTATCAACTCGACTGCCAACACACCCACCCCCAGACCCCCAGCAAAAAGAGAGAGATTCCTCATTGAGGCTAAGAAGGAGGCAGGCGACCAACATCCCCTTTCAAAATTTGCATCACTTTTGGTTTTTCAACAACAAACAAACAAGAGAAAACACGTTACATGTGTGCGTTTGCGTTCAACTGGAGCCCTCTCTCTCTCAAACTCTCTCTCTCTCTCTCTCAAACTCTCTCTCTCTCTCTCTCTCTCTCTCTCTGTGTTTGTGTTGATGTTTCACTGACCGAGTTTTTTTTGTGGCAGTGGCAGAAGTCGGTGGCTCAGCTGGTCAAGCCTTGGAGGCTTCTTTTGGCGATAGAAACATCTCGGTGCCGTGTTGTTCAAGGGCGTTCAAGAGACAAGGACGGAGTAGTGTACCATCTTTACCATCGACATGGCTTGGACATGGCGTTGCCAAGTTGCGCTGCTCCTGCTCTTGGGTCTGGCTCGCCTGCCCAGCGGTAGGTGCTGGGTTCAATCTGGCTTCTAGCCGTGCGTCTCAAAGTGTTGCTTCAGACAGATGAAGGCATCAATACAACTCATGTTCATGGTTCTCCAGGCCAGGGCAAGCTGTTGCCGCCGCAGGGGCATGCGCAAGCAGTTGACACCGTGGTGGTTGATCTGGACCTGCCCGCGCGGCTGCGCTGGCAAAAGGTCATCTTGCCGTATCGCCAAGCCATGGCCCCGGTTGTTCAGTTTCTGCACAACCTTCTTCCTCCTAACCAGGCCAATGCCACCTATCAAGCCCTCGAGGCCATTGTTGGTGCGTATCCTGCCCATGACTCGATGGCTCCCGCCCTGAATTCTCGTTTCTCACAGTGTATTCAATAAGCACAGACTCTCTCGAGGGCGATTACGGCGAGGAAATTCGCGGACTTGCTGAAGCAACCAACTTTACCGTGGGCGAAATCATGCTCAGCAACTTTTTCTGTAAGCAACCACGCTTTCCCCCGAAAATCCCTCGCATATCTACCCTCCTCTGGCTGTCGGATGGTCTCGGCTGACTACCTGGCCCACAAACAGATGAGCTCAACTCTGGCTGCACTTCCATCTTGGCCACGGATGAACAAAACACCATTTTTCATGGCCGCAACCTGGACTACAACCAGCTGCCGGGCCTACAAGCCACGACTTTCAACGTCAATTTTACCAAGAGTGGATGCCTTTTGTTTCGGTGCGCTTCAAGAAACGAGACGGCACACCAGCCCCCTGATGAAACCGGGAAAAGTGCTGGGCTCAACTTTTGCCTTTTTCTGTCAACTCATAGGACAACGACCTATGCCGGGTACATTGGCGCCTTGACTGGCATGAAGCCGGGCGCGTTCACGTGCGTATGACCATGTTGCTACGCACCCACGGATCGTGTCCACCAGCGATGCAAGTGTTGAGCACCAAACTTGTAGTTTTACGATTGCTTGCCGATTTTAGTGTGAGCATGGATCAGCGATTTACCAACAGCAGCACCCTGCTCAACATTGTGGAAGCGGCTTTGCTGGGCGGCCATGAGGTGAGGGGTAGACATGAGCTTGGCAATAAGAGTGTAATCGCCATCGAGCTGCGTTTTTACCGCCTCAATACTCCTTCCTCCCCTTGTGGCTATCCTGAAACGGCCTTGATTCTTGTCGAAAAAAGTGACTCTCAGCTTTATGCCCAGCTCTATGCCTCTCATTGTTTGGGCATCGCGATGAATTGTGTGTCTTTGTGTGCTGCGTCTAGGTGGGCCTGACTCTGCGAACCGCACTGGAACATAATGCTACCTTTGAGGATGCCGTCGAGTATCTTGGCAGTGTGGTAGGTCTCCAAAAAATGCAGCTTGCAACGTATCTGCCCGTGCGTGGTGCCAATGAGTCATATACACCACTCATGATCCGTGGCCCTGATCAACAGCATTTGGCTTCAGTGGAATACCTCATTGTGGGTGGCGTCAACTTTAATCAGGGTGCCGTCTTGTCCCGCGAGCGCAGCTACTCGGTTGATACTTGGCGCCTCGATGTACGCCATCTGTCTTTTGCAGGCTTTCAAACATGGCTGTCGCGCCCCTCATGACTGCCCCTGTCTTGCGTTTTTCCCACTTTTGATTCCATCACAGACTCCCACGCGTTGGTACCTGGTTGAGACCAACTACGACCACTGGGATTCCGTTCCGGCCGACGACGACCGCCGACACCCGGCCGAGAACATGCTGAATGCCTTTTCAATGACCAACATGACCCTGTCGGCTCTGGATGGCATCATGAACACCTTTCCCGTCCTTCACCGCGACACGACGTACACAACGATGATGAGGTGCGCACCATGCATCGTGCTCTTTCCTCCCGCTCGGTGTCTCATGTCATCTTTGAAGCAAACTCTCACGCTTGGTTGTTGTTGATTTTTGCACGGTATTAACAGCGCCCGAACGGGTGAGTTTTACACTGTGACGCAAAACAATGTTCCATGAGGGGTCGTGATTGGGCTGGTCCCACTTGTATGTCATATGAATTTGCGTCTATGCTGAAACGAAGCAGGCCAACCTCTTTGATAATAACTCGAGGCCCTGCACAACTTCTGAACACAATTGCATCCCTCAACCACTCTGACAGACCCCAGCACGACCTTGCCTTCCTGTTGAGAAGAACAAGCAAGTGATCCGCCCTTTTGCAAAACATCTTCAAAATTAAATCCACATTTCTCTTTCGAGCATGTGACACACACACACACACACACACACACACACACACACACACACACACACACATCAACAAAACGAGCCGCACAAACGCTGCGATTTTATTTTGGTGGGCTAACTCGGCATGGAGGTGTCTCGATCTCTCTCACAGGTGCGTCGGGCGTTTATGGCGACGCAGGAGAGTGGGGTGGTGGATGGATAGTCACGCCACTTGCTGCTTGGGCGCGCGATCAGGCCATTTGTAGCTGTTGCTGGCGTCGGATCTGCGGCAGCGCATGAAGGCGGGCCATGAGCCAATCTTGGCCGGTTGGCTCCAAAGTGGGGATTGGCGGACGGCCCGCGCGCTTGCCAAGCACCACAGCCTCGTGGTCATTGACTGTGAACACGGTACATCATGCTTGCATCTGGATCGAGACCACACAACTCCCTCTTCTTTCCTGGGACCTGATGCCTGCAACCATGCGCACCGCGCGCGGCAGGCGCCATCGATCTGAACGATGTTGCTCTTTGCCTGGAGGTAATGGCCGGCAACGGCTGTTTGGGCATTATTCGTGTGCCTTTGGACGGTGATGCCCACAAGAGCTTTGCACGCCGCTGCCTAGACGCAGGCGCCATTGGTATGTGCTGCCCGATCGACCAGTTGAGGGTTTTTCGTGCCTTGTAACAGGATCCGGCATGCCAGGCATCTTGTTTCCCAACATTCAGACGCCGGAGGCAGCTGTCGAGGCGATCCGCAACTGCTACTACCCGAGCGCCACCCTGCCCTTTGGCACTCGCGGCTTTGGTTTTGGCGGTGCCAACGCTGATGGTATGACACCCACGGCCATAGGCCTGCTGAAAGTTGCATAGCTGGCCACGACGAGCTTTCGCCCACAAGGCCTGATCTCAAACCCCGTGCCGTTGACAGGCTCTTTTTTCGCCGAGTACGCGGCGGCAGCCAATGAGCGCATCGTCGTCGGCGTGCAACTTGAGCATCGAACGGCGTTTGAGCAGGCGCGCCTCGAGGCGATCCTGAGCACGCCCGGGCTTATTTTTACACAGGATGGTCCCTATGACCACAGTGGTTCATATCTCCTGCCCGGTCGCACGGACCATCCCAACGTTCAAGCTGACCTTGCCCGATATCGTCAGGTGTGGAACATCCGCTCTCGAAGGAAGCCTTTCTTTTTAGTTTTTGGCGAGGGGATGTCAGCGCTCCGTCTCCCGCCAGCTTTCATCAAACGCTTGATTCCCTTGCAACCGTACTTTGTTGGGCCCTCGTTTGGGCACATGATGCTTCCCAGGCGTGCCAAGCTGCCGGGGTGGTGGCTGGTAAGCATGTGGTGTTACCCACGTCAGAAGCCATTGTAGATGCCACAAAAGCCGGTCAGTGGCCGGATGTACCCGCCTCACGGCAGACATGATCATGCCCCAACTCTCAACCATTCTCTCTCGCCCTCTTTCCCACTCGCCTAGGCTATCGTTTCATCGCCCTGGGCACCGACATGATCCACCTAATGGACGGCTGCCGGGCAGCCCTTGCCAACGCAAACCACCACACTTGAATTCTTGTTCTGTCTCGTTTTCTTCGATCGTCCCCTGTCCGCCCGTCGCCCATTACCAACTCGCACGGCTGAGAAGCCCTATCAGCACCTAATCAGCAGCCGTAAGCAGCAAGCAGCACCGGCAAAGGCTCCATGCCCCCGCAAACGTGCACCCCGTGCTATGGGGCATCAGCAGCACACGCAAAATGCTGACAGGCCTCGCCCCAATACGTACTTGCACACGCTTCCAGTTTATACGCTTCTTTACCATAAAGACGAAGTCAGTCACCATAACCATTTTGAGTGTGAGAAAAATGAACGCGAAAGCAGTGAGGTTTATAGAAATTCGCGCCTGTTTTCAAATGTGGTGGTTCGAGTGCGCGAAAGACCCGAATTTGCCCGCGAGACGTGCTGTGCTGCCTCGAGTCCCTTGCCTCATTGATTATTTGAGCCATCAGGACAGCCAAGCTTCTGTGATCCTATGAGCGCAGCAGTCTTGATATCTGTGGCACGACGGAGGGCCAAAGGCACGAGTCGTGAAAGGCCTTCAACTGGCCTTGGTTGCTGAATCGCAAACCCTGACCAAGCAGCGCGGCCTCGACACTCAAACCATGGCGTCCGATACGCTGGACGCACGGGTGATTGTAACACACCATACAGCCCAGGGTCAGCAATGCGCTCGCTACTGCAGCACCAAGCCGGGCTACATCAACCTTGCGCGTGATGAGAACAACATTCTCTCCCTCAACGTTGTGCTGCCAAACGTACGTCCGCGAGCGCTAGCAAATGTTGCTCTGATGCCCACCTGACGGGCGATCCTGCTCCGCTCAAACCTTGCCCCCGGTCCCAGGTTCCCGAACTGGCATACAAAGCCATGGGACAGGTAGCCATCTTTGGAAAAAACGTCAACAAAGGCCAGGCCTCGATTCACCTCCGCCAGCAGGGCGTCACGGTATGGTGTTCAGGGTCGCCGTCGCGTGCACAACCCTGCATGCAAGCTCATTGTTGTACAAAATCCCACGCGCACTCAGCTGGCTATCATGAAAAGCAACCCCGCCGAGCTCCGTGCCTTTCTCAAGCTCCTGCAGGCGAAGCTAAAATCATCTGTGGAGCAGCGGCGGTTGCACCCCACCTCACCCCCGACTAGCCTGCCCAAGAAGAACACCATCCGTCGCCCTCTGAGCCTCAAGCAGTTGAGCCCACTCTCACGCCTTGAGGCCAAATCTCCCTCGTACGTCTTTCTCTTCTGCCTGTCACAGAAGAATTCATTCGCTTTATCTTCGCCTTTCCCACGCACTCATCAGAGGGTTGGGGATGTTTCCAACTTTTGCCCATTGAACCATGCGTACATGCTCAACGACCTGCCTGGATATGCCCGATATAGGCGCACAGCACCGAATACCCTGGCCAAGCGTGTGTGTCGCCGAGCTGACCTGTCAGCCATCACCAAAACGTTGTCTGAAGAGCAACAGCGTACGCTTCTCAACTGGGCTTGCGCCAAAAGCTGGGGGCCAGCCCATTGTAGACCCTGACCATCCGACCTGCACCAAACTTTCTTAGGCGTCCTGCAAGCCGTTTTGCAAGGCAAGAACGTGTTCTTCACAGGCAATGCTGGCACGGGTACGTTTTTGATGGCTTTTTCTTATCAATATAAAGATCGCCTATGCGCCTCATTCGCGTACGCGCCTGCATATCGGGTTGCTTGACCTCATTGCCCAATTCCGACAGGAAAAACATGGCTGCTCCGCGCCATCATGGATGCGCTGCCTTCTGAGGGCCTCGTGGCCACCGCATCGACTGGAATTGCTGCGTGTGCCATCAATGGCATTACACTTCACTCCTTTGCGGGTCTTCAGGTCCGTACCGTTTGGCACCTGCGCGAGGGAAATGCTTGGCGTAGCGAAAGTAACTCGCTCATGCTTGACTGGCGTCTCAATAGGCTGGGACCAACAAGCTGCCACGCCGCATTGAGCAATGGCAGACCACCAAAGTACTCATCATTGATGAAATTAGCATGGTACATGCTGATTACTTTGATCGGGTAAGTGCTTTGATCAGCTTGGCCAGGATCTCAAAAGGCAATAAGCACGACGCCACGCCTGTTTTCTGAGCATCCTCTGCACGCCGTTTTACTACGTTGACTCTGGCTGACCATGGGCTCATAAATTGCTACTGCATTGGAACAACACGACAGCTGTCCAAAGTGGCTCAGCAAATTCGCCGCAACAGCAAGCCCTTTGGTGGCATCCAACTGGTACTTGTGGGAGATTTCCTACAGCTGCCGCCCGTGGTTCCTGGCAACGAACAACCCAAGTTCTGCTTTCAAGCACAATGTTGGAATTCGGTGGTAGAGGCAACCTTTGAGCTCAAACAGGTGGGACCCGTAGTGATGTGCTGAGGCCGATGGCTTGTATCTTGGCAGACCTGCGTCGGCTTTGCCTTTAAGACTCATATTGGCCTGCACAGATTCACCGACAGACCGACAGTCAGTTTGCCGGCCTCCTGCGGCGCTTGCGGCTGGGCCATTGCAACACTGAGGATGAAGGAACCATCCGCAGCTGTCGAATCCAGACGGTAGGTCGTCTGTACCCAACGCCCGCCTCTGTCCCCCACCCCTCTCATCAAAGCTTTACAATGTTGGACAACGCTGTACCTCGGCAGTTGGTCGACGGAGCCAAGGCCACCAAGCTTTGCACGCACGTTCGAGAGGCGGATATTATCAACACTCGTGAGCTGGCACGCTTGCCGGGAGCGCAGCATGTGTATCGTGCTGAAGATTCATCAACCCGTACGTCACTCGTTGTCGTCAGCACAGCGGCTCTTGCGACAGAATTCTGCAACACTGGCCATGCTGAGTTAATCATTCCTTTTATGGTGCACAGTGGCCTCGGCTCAGAGTCTATTAGACAAGTCTTGCCGGGCGTCAGGCAGTCTGGAGCTGAAGGTGCATGCACAGGTCAGCGGCTTGTGATCTTGTGCCTCCTGCCCACCATGTGCTACTGCGCGTCTGCTTTCCACCTCCTCGTATCAAACCGGCCCTTATTCCGTCGCCCACGCTCGGCGTCTCCTCTTCCGCCGTGTCTTTTGTCTTTCGATTCCCGGCCAATAGGTGATGCTGTTGAAGAATTTGGACGTCAACTTGGGGCTGGCCAACGGCACGGTCGGCGTTGTGCGGTCCTTTTCCGCCAGTGGCTTTCCAATTGTCGAGGTACTAGCCTTGCCTTGTTGCCAATTTCATGAGAGTGAACTTTTGAACCTTTTTTTTTTTTTTTTTTTTTTTTTTTTCATGCGTGGACAGACAGCTGACTCATGCACGCTGATTGAACATTGGCAGTTTGCCAACGGCACTTCGCGCACGGTGCGCCCCGAGTATTTCAGTGTCAAAGTTTCGCAAGATAACGTGCTGCGTCGCAAGCAGCTCCCCTTGGCCCTCGCGTGGGCCATTTCCATCCATAAAAGCCAGGGTAAGCCAGCTCGCGGTGCCTGTTTACTCTGGCCCACAAGTCAGACGCAAAGCATCACGCCCGTGTACACACGTGGCAGCGAGTACGAGTTTGCATTTTCTCACGTTCGCGTTTTGGGTGCTGGTGTCAGGCATGACCCTGGACTCGGTGCAGGTTGATTTGTCGCGGGTGAGTACCCGACTGTATGCCCGACTGGAAAGTTGCCCTGGGATCAGACGCTGACCGCCCGCCCGTCCTCCTACTGTTTCTGGTTGCTACATTTTCAGGTATTTTCGGCCGGCCAAGCCTATGTGGCCCTGTCACGCGCCAAGCGCATGGATGGGCTCGAAGTTACAGGATTCCGCCGTGAGGCGGTCTACGCAGACCCCACGGTGCTCAAGTTCTACGAGAACTTGCAGATGGCATGAACACCACACAGAGCTGCTGGTCAGACAAATGAGGGGGGCCAGCGGTGTTGCGTTAACACTGGCCAAATAGTAGCTTGAGCGGGAACTATGCAGTTTAAACAATGAACAGATGTAATTGACTAGATAAGAGCCGGCATTCATGCAAGAACGAGTGACCGCTGTGGTACTGCACAACACTTGGCAAAAAAAAGGAAGAAGACAAGAGACAAAAAGGAAGCCATCGTTCACGCGCGACTTTCAAAGAGACATCCTTCTTCAGGAGAGCAGGGTAGTGATGTCGAGTGTCTACATCCCCAGCACTTTGCGCTCGGCGTCATCGCGGCGTTGTTCAACAACACTGCGCACGTTGGTCATCAGTGCATTAAAGGCTGCGCGCACGGCCTCGGGCTCCCGTGTGACATCCGTTAATACAAGTTTGGCCTTGCTCAATGGGCCAGCTACATGACAAGGCAAGCAAGATATCAGCCAAACAGTCTCGAGAGCAAGGTCTGTTTTTCAAGCATGATGGAGTTGGCATGATGAGCTGGCGTCATGACATACTCAGATCCACAGCGCTGCGCGTGGCACTGTCGCGATGCGGATTGTTCGCAAACACCAAGACCTGGTTGGACTTGACTCCAGGCCGCTTGATAAATCGCCGAAACCTGCGGGTCAGCGTCAGACATTTGAGGCCATGGCTAGAAACATATTGGGCGCGTTGCGGCAGTAGAGTCCAAAGGTTCGAGCCAGAGCAGACGAGGCATACCAAATATCCAAATCCCCATCCACAACTGTTTGGTTGATGTCAAAGACGACGATCACGCCATCCAGGCCCGTAGTGATGGCTGGCCAACCAGATTCGTTGCTGATGGCGCCGACCGCATGTGACAGTAAGCAGGAGCAGGCAGGGCGGCCACCCAGTCCAATGTGCAGTCCAGTGTGCAGTGTACATACTTGATGTCTCCGGAGACATCCCAAAGCTCCAAGGCCGTATCTGAGTGGTTTTCCATCGTCGTTTCCAGGATGCTGCAGGCATGGCCGGTGAGCGTGCAGGGGCCGGCACGCAATCAGAGTCGTTCACGTGTGGACGGACCGTGCGATAGGGATCTCACTACCAAAGCCTGTACCAAGTGTGCTTCAGGACGTTATGCACGTACCGACAGCCCTGGGTGGGACGATAAGGCATGCTGAGGCCATCAGTGACATGGTCGGCCAGAAAGTTGGCCAGGATGGTCTTGCCAGAAGCGGCTGGGCCCACCAAGGCCACCTTGGCGCGAAGCGTGGTCATGGCAGCGACGGCACCCGACACAGCCCGTGTCCAAATCCGACGCAGTCCCAGGCCCTCCCTCCTACCACTCGAACCCCTGCTCCGCTGGCGTCTGCACTGCCAGTTCCTTCCGCCGCCGCACCGTGATTTGGTGTGTGTGTGATGATTCAAAGTCGCACACACACACGAAAAAAAAATGAAAAAATAAAATTTCAACAACAACGAGATTCAACTTGAAACTTGTTGTCGCGAAATGAAGACTTGTTGCAGATTTTTGATGAATTAATACTAAGTATACCTGTAGATGAAAGCGTGGTAACCTTGGAAGTTTTTGTGTTTTTGCAGCTGTATGCTTCAGGGTGTTTGGTTGCCAACGAGCTCAAAGGGGTTGTGCGTGTGAAGGAAAGTGGCGCGGCAGAGAGGAGCATCGGGTCCATTTGCAATTGGTGAAAAAAAAGAAATGATGGCTTTGAAATGGGGTCAAACAGGATGAGCGGCCCGATCTCGAAAAGAACCAAACGCCGCTGCCCTCCCAAAAGAGCCCGCAGGAAGAAAGAACAGACAGCTCAGAAAAAAAAAGGCAAAAAAATACAAGACATAACGCCGTCAGATCAGGTCCCCTGTGCAAAAGACTAGGCCAGCCAGATCCGAAACCGGAAAAGCCCCAGATGACAAGAGGGGAGACACAATAGTGGGCCCTTGCCAAGGCCGTGGCAAATGTGAAGGGAGTGGGGAGATAAGATAATACAAAGACATACAGAAGAGCAGAACAAGCCAGTCCAAACGAATCACGGTCGACTTGTAACGGTAAGGCTCACACTCGAGGGGTCAGGCCAGGCTCCACAGGCCCTCCCCTACGCCTCATTCAGGCAGAGGAGCAACGTTGAACCATTTTTAAAAAAAAAAAAATCAGGAAGGGGTGCTTCTTCTCACTGACTCTCGATGAACATGAGCACCAACACAAGAGTGAGACAGGGCGCGAGCATGTGCACACGCCCTGAATCTGACAACACGGGGCTTGCAAGCATTTAAGCCTGGACGTCGGTGGCGGCGCGAGCAGCCTGGATGCTGGCGAGGCGATCCTTCTCTGCCTGCTCCCACACATCCATCTGTTGGTCAATGTCCTCCAACAAGAGATACAGCTCGCGAGTCTGTTCCTTGTTGAGAGGAGTGCCGTCCTTGAGAGCGTCGCGCACGCCGCCATCGGCCAGAGCATCGACACGGGTGATGAGCTGAGCCATCTTTTGAGCCACCTCCACATTCTCCATGCGGTTGATAATCTCCATGAGGCGCTCGGAGAGTTGCTCGTTCTTCTTGGCCAGCTCGGCGTTGACCTCGGTGATGCGCTTCAGCTCCTCCTTGGTTTCGGCCAAGCCAGTGAGGACACCCATGAGCTGTTCCATGGTCTCCTCGTGGGCGTCGCTGCCCTCCTCCATTCGATCGATGAGACCTTGGAGGCGCTCGTTGCCCGTGTCAAGCTGCTGGAAGCTGCGCGCGGCCACGGAATACGCCTCTTCTGCGCGCTGAGACATTTTTTCAAACTCGGCACGTTCACGCTCAGCATTCTCGTTGAGCATGTCGATGGTGCTCTTGAGATTCTCGTTGTTCTGGTGGAAAGCCTCGTTCTCGTTCTTAAACGCCTCGTTCTGGGCGGTCATTTCCTCAAGACCAGCCTCCAACTTGTCGACCTGCATGCGCAATTTCTCGTTCTCAGCCTTTTGATCCTCGAGCTGATTGGCCAACTCTTGGTTCAGCTGATCCTGGGTCTCGAGGTTGTTTTCAAACTTGTTGTTCTGCTCGGTAAAGCGCTCGCGCTCGGCGCCCAGCTCATCGAGATGGCCCTTCATGGCCTCGTTCTGCTGACGGAAGTCCTCGACGTTGGAGGCCAACTTTTCGTTCTCCGCCTTGAATTTGTCGTTCTCCTCGCGCATGGTATCCATTTGGGCGGTCATGGCCTCGACCTGGGCCTTGAGAGCCTCGTTCTGCTTCTCCATTTCCCCAATGTTACCCTCAAACTGGTTGTTGAGCCCGGCGTACTTGTCATTCTCGGCAGCAAAGCGGTCAACCTGCACCTCGAGCTCCTTGACCATGCCGACGGAAACCTTGGCAATCTCCTTCTGCACCTCAAGATTCTTGAACATGATGTTGACAATGTCCCAGTTGCCGTAGTAGGCCAAGTAGGCCAGGATCAGACTCAGAGCACCTGTGATGGTCGTAAAGACGCCGGCAATCTGAGGGCTGACTTCGGCAGCACCCGTCAGCATGACAATGCCCACGATCAAGCCGGCGACGGAGAGGAGACCCAGAATGGCCATGGCGATAAGGTTGTCGATTTTGGTTCCGATAAACATGGCAAAGTAGGAGGTACGGGGCTTGCAAGCCTCAATGGAAGCGTCCAGCTCATCAAGCTGAGCTTGAAGGTCATCTGCGCGTGACTTTTTGGCTGGCGCGCTGGCCACGTGCGCAGGATTGGAGGTCATCTCCACCGTGGTGGCATCGGCCTGCGGCGCGCCCGGCGGCGGAGCTGCCCACGCATCCATGACGGGCAGTCGATCAAACGAAGCCGAGGCAAACCGTCACACAACAGGGCACACACGATCAATCACAAAAGCCTGTTCCTGCGCGAAACCGGCGGGTGGTACACCATCAGATGGTCGGGAAATGAGTTTGTCACGGGGCTTGTCTGCCAACGCCCCTCGCGGTCGAAAATAATCAACAGCAGGAGCAACAACAACGGCAGCACACGACGCGACACCGCCGCCGCGGTGGGTCTGACCTGATGATGAGTTGCCGTCAAGGAAACGCCTCGTGGAGACAGAGAGAGGGAGAGTGCGCGGGTGAAAAGTAGAGGTGATCGGAGGGAAATGTTTTATAACAACGTTGAAACAAAGCTGAATGCAGAGATCCACCGCAACAAGGGCAAGAATCCAGCGACGTGGATCACACCACACACCACCAGCTTGCCTTGTGTTGTAAGCTATCTATTGAAAAAATCCAGCTGGCGCACTCAGAGAAATAAAATCTGACATTACCGTCGGATCATCTGACAAGTGCTGGGTTTATTTTACAGGGTTACTTGTTATTTTATATTTTAGATTTGATTGGTGTGGCTTTTGTTACACTATCACTTGGACCAAAAAGTTCAAAAAAAATAATTTTTTCGCGTTTTTTTGCTGTTTTTTGCGCTTTTTCTCTCTCTCGCTCTCTCGCTCTCTCTGTCGCTCTCTCGTGCTTTGGGGCAGCAGATCGCTTCGAGCTCGTGACTGGAAAAGGCGTGTGAAGTGGCTGGAAGAGGCAATCGTCTCCACACGCGTCTTGCTGCTTGAGGTGGCCGGACGGTAGTGGAGGTCACCAGCGACGAGATCTGTGCTTGGTTTGCAGTGCATTCGGTGATGGCGTACAGCTCCGCTCAAGCCCGATGACTGATCAGGCCTGGGTTCAATCGCTGCGCCGCGACGCATCGCTGCAAGCCCCGCGCCGCCACCCCAGCCCGAGACCAAGCCCCAAAGTGACTCGTCGAGCGCACGCCTCGGTACCTCTAGCCCAGTCTCCGCCTCGGGCGACCCAATCTCAGCCCTCGGCTTCACCAACTGTCCGTGCCAGTGCTTTCCCTGATTACTGCTTCGCAGGCATCAACGGCCACGTTCGTCTCACCTTGTGCACCGCATTGCTTTTGCCTCAGCACCAAACATCAACCACATCAAGCACCATGATTAACAAAGATGCCATGGATGCACATCCCCCTCCAACACCCCTCACTCGCTTGCAATCCAACACGGCCCACATGCTTGAGGAGTTGCGCGCCATGCGGTACGTGCGACGGAAGCATTGCACTGACTCCTGCTCTTGTCAGCCAGATAACCACACCTAACCTTCTCCATGTTGCCCACGGCTGTCCTTACTCTGGGGCTCTCTCGCTCTTTTCCTATTGAAATGGCTCCCACAGTCTACAGCAGCAGCAGCATCATATAAGCATACCCGATTTAGATTCCGTGTCCGACACGGCCCCAGCCGACCGGCGTTTCGCTGCGCCCCCCAAGAAATACATTGAAGATGCCATCGCCGCCGCGCATACGCTCCTGCAGCGTCAAGCCCATGACCAGCACCGTGACCAGCCTCGCCTTAGCCCTGCCACTGGCCCTGCCACCAGCATGAGTCCTCCCACTCAGCTTAGTTTGACCCGCAGCCAACCAAGCCTGACAATCCACAGCTCTCTGCGACTTGATGATCCAGGTGCCCCAGCACGCTTCGCCGAACACACGCCCGGGCCATCGCAATCTCTCGGCATCTTCGACCGGTCACATGAAAATGGAGCTGCTCGACTCGCACAATCCGCCCCATCAGCAATTGACCCGTCCGCCGGCTCGTTGACCAGCCTTATACAGGTTTACGACCGGCAGCGACAACAGCACATCTCCCTCCTTCAGGACATTGTTGTTGAGCTACTCTCGACCCAACCTGATCAAGCTGACCTTCAAAAAGCCCTTCGTCTCAGCCATCGCATGAATGCCGAATACCGCGCCGAAATCGATCGCCTCCACCATCGGCAGGCCCTTGATCTGCCCCGGGTGCGTTGTGCATTTCTCCGCAAGCCGCTGGTGCTGGGGATCATGTCGCTGACCTGTCTTGACCTCACGAATAGGTGGAGCCGGACACGGCCTCACCGCATCGCCATACCATTGAGGGTTATCGACACTTGGTTGAGCTTCAAGCAGCACAGGCACGTATCCTGCACATTTCATTTCAAAGCAACCACGCGATGCTTGGTGGTTGGGCCCTGCTCACTCCGCCGCACGCTTGTGGTGTTTGCAACTCGCCTTGCCTGCACAACAGATCCAGGGCTCGCTGCGCCACTTAGACAACTTGCGGCAACGCCTAGAGGTCTTTCGGGACAGCAGTCCCGGGCCAAGCGACCATGTTCTTCGCCAGGCGCTTCAAGAGCAGCAATCCCGGGTCCATCAACTGGAACATGACTTGGCGGACCAAGCAGTATGTCTTGTTCCCTTGTTTGAATCTGTCGCTTGACGCGTAACAAAGGAGCCTTGTGCTATGAGCATAAGCTAGGTGCCAGGTGGCTGTGTTTAAAGGCGCTCTAGCTTGAGCTGACGCTCATGGTGACCTGCCTATCTAGGCGTCCCTGCGCCGGTACGAAGAAGACTTGGAGCAGTCTCGTGACTTGGCACGTACTGAGCAAAGTCGTAGGTCAACGCTGCAGCGTGAGCTGACGGAACAACAAGCCGCCTGGCACGCTGAGCGAGACGTGTGGTCCCAAGAGCGCAAAAGGCTCACCGCACAAATTGATCAAATGCAAGGCCAGCTGACAGCGCTAGCTGCGCAAGAGCAAGCAGCCCTAACCCGCGTCTCGGCTGCCGAACAAGCTGCCGAGGCACAGGCTGCGATAGCGGCGCAGACCGAGGCCCGCTGGGCTAAGCAACACAATCAGGAACTGGAGGAGCTACGCGCCACAGTCGCATCCAGGGATGAAGAGCTGCGTGAGCTTCGCGCGCAGCAATCGCAATCGTCCGTGAATGCCCAAACCGCCCAAGAACGGCTACACCAACAATTGCAGCAAATGGAGGAGCGGTTGGGCCATCAGGCTACTGCACAAAACAGTCTGGAAGCGCAAGCTCAACGCTATCGCCGTTTGTACGAAAGTCGCACCAAGGAGATTGAGGAGTTGACGCGCAAGCAAACCGAGCGACATGAGGCTCAGCAGCAACTTCTCAACGACAAAGCCGCCCTGATTGATCAGCTCAAACAGGTACGCGTGTCGTCCCTCTCTTGTTTTTTTTTCCTGCTTGTTGGCTCGTTTGTATGTTTTCCCCCCTCTTTTTCTTGTATCGTTCTCCATCAAATTTCGTGCGCGCGGCACATGCGATGATCTTTCACGTCTGATGTACCTTGACCTTGGCCCTGGCTCTGCCTCTGCCTTGACCCTGTAGGAGCTGCACGAGGTGCGCATGCACTCGATTCCTCATGAAGCACCCAAAGAGGCACCACAGGCAGACTTTCTAGCCCTGCAAGCACGCTGTGACAAGTTTGCGGCAGAAAATGAGCGCTTGTTGGCAGAACACGAACGCCTGTGCACCCAACACGAAGCTGATGTGGAGAAACTACATCGCTGGGCCATCGAGCGCGAGGAACTCGACAGTACTTGCAGTAGCCTGCGTGCTGAAATCAGTAAGTGGCGCCAGCGATCCTCCAGCGCGGAAGCAGAACAACAGCAACTTCGGAACCAGTTGCAAGAACGGATCGATGAACTCGAGGCGCAAGCTTTCAAGACGTCTTCGGCAGCAGCTGCGCCATCCCCACACAACCGAGTGCCGGACCAAACGGACCGAACGTCGATGACGGACACGTTATCCCAACAAGAAGCGCAGTTGGCGGAGCAGCGAGCGTATCTGGACGTCGAGCGACGTGAGCTGGCGCAGCAACGTGACCAGCTTGCCATGCGTTTGCAGGAACTGACACAGCTGCAAAGCAACTTCAAGGCCCGGGATGGACAGCTCCGCCACGACCGTGATGGACTGGAGCGGGATCGCCAAGAATGGACCCTAGCGCAGCAACAGCAACGTCGAGCGCTGCAAGAACAAGAGCAACGGTTACGCGAGCAGGAACAACAACTTCGAGAGCAAGAGCAACGGTTACGCGAGCAGGAACAACAACTTCGAGAGCAAGAGCAACGGTTTCAGCTGGAACAACAACAACAACAACAACAACAACAACAACAACAGTTGTTGTCGTCGCAACCTTTGCCACAGTCGGCTTCTTCCCAAGAGCCATCGGCTGCCTCTGGGGTGTCTGAACAGCACACAGATGGCGTGAACCTGTCCGAGCCAGACTGGCGTGAGGCTTGTCTGGCATTAGAAGCAGAAAATCAGCGCTTGGTGGCTCGGATGGAGGAGCTCAACGAGGTGCACAACCGATTACAACAAGAGGTGCAGGAGGCACGTGACCAGCTAGAGGAGGCAAAGACGACCCACCAGGCCAAGGTGACGGCACTTACACAGGCCTCTCGACAGCAATCACGTCGTGCGTCGGACCAGCAAAAGCAATTGGACAAGCTGCGAAACAGCTGTGACTTGCTGAGTGAACAAAACCAAAGTCTACTAGAACGGCTGGATCTGGTGGCTCAAACCTCGGTTGGGAGCGAAACGAGCTACTCGATTCCCGAGGTCGAGGAGATGTCGGCGCGAGAGGAGGAGCTGCAGCAAGCCCTTCGCACTGAGCGTGAACGGAACATGGAGCTTCTGGCTCGCCTCGAGCAGGTCACGACCCATGCAAGTGCCGGTGAGAGCTCCGACCTCGACATGACTCAACCAGAAGCAACTGCCTCTGCTGACCACGCTACGCATGATGTGGGCTGTGGTCCACGATTGCACAACCGCGCCTCGGACCGGCGATGGAAAAGCAAATATCAGCAGGGCTTTCACATTGCAGCTGTCATCGCACTCCGCGGGCAGCGCTGGCGAGAGCGCGCTCAAAGTCTTCAGCAAGAGCTGCAAGTTGTGAAGATGACGTTGAGCAACCAATGTGAGCTGTACCAACAGGCCACTGATATGGTCAACCGCGCCGAAGCAGCGCTGGAAGCATCGGAGCGCGGCCGGGATCGGGACCACGGCAATGAGCCGACCAGCATGCGACCCAACCCCTTTGCCCATGTACCTACGGATGCAGTGTTGCCCACGCCGAGCGTGGAAGAACCGATGAAGCTCCAAGAGCTGCATGCGCCAGCGCAGGCGGCCCAGCCCGAGCGGGCGAGCCGTCGTGAAACGCTGTTTCCTGTGGCGCCATCCAGGTCCACACCAGAGCCGCATTTGCTCGATGGTCCATCTGATGGCGCTTTGACTCGGGCCGCTATTCCCGATGCTCGCGCTCAGACAACTGAGCCGCTTGCCTCGCCGGAACCCCGCTTGAGCTCCCCTCAACCTTTGGTCTTTCGGGAGACCCGAAACATGGCAACCCCTCCTATGGAAGCAGAACCAGAAGGCTCGCTGCTCAAGTTGAATGGACGTTTTAGCCCGCAGGTAGATGAGGGACCGCTGATTGAAGCGGCAAGTCCGAGCAGCCTGAGCCCCAGTCTGCGGGCGCCAGTCTCCCTCAACAGCTTGTCCGAGGAAGAAATTCGCATGCAGCTTGATGCGCTGACAGAGACCTTGAAGCAGCAGGAGTTGACAGGTTCGTGCTGACCTATCAGAGTATTTTGCTTTGTTTTTGAAAGAATTGACATCTGCGTTCTCTGTGTGTATTGGTGGTGGGTTGGCATGCGGTATGTCAATCATCCTCTTGACTCACATTTGCCGGTGTGTCTTTGGGTGGGCTGGCAGATGACCTGCGGAGTATGTTGGTTCACAAGGTCGTGGCGCTACGGCATCAGCTTTTGGAACTGACGGATCATACTACGTTGAGCTTTGATCACACCGAGGAGACAAAACCAGACGACCACCTGCGGTGGATCGCTGATGCCCAGGAATTGTAAGCGGCCTGGCCGAGCGATTTTTTTTTTTTCTTTCCCTTGTTTTTATTCTTTCTTTTTGCTGCCATTTTATGTCGCAATGCTGTCTGCATTACGTCTCTTTGTCTATCCAACAAAGGCTGCGCCACCCCAGTCGCTGGCAGCAGTGTGCAGGCGCCGACCACGCTTGATTTTTGTACAACCCCTCAATCCATCCCCATAATCTACATCCGTATAGCCCTCATTCTTTTTTCTCCGCGCACACAAAAGTGAGTGTTTTTTTTCGAATCTCTCTCTTCTCTCTCTCTCTCTTCTCTCTCTTCTCTCTTTTCTCTCTCTTTCTCTCTCTCTCTCTCTCTCTCTCTCTCTCTCTCTCTCTCTCTCTCTCTCTCTCTCTTTTTCAAATCACTTCTTCTCTCTCTTCTTTCAGTTTTTTTTTTTTTTTTCTGAGCCGCGACATTGCATTTGGCTCGAACCGGCTTGATGAGCGTAGTCTCGCGCATGACACGACAGGAATCCGCAAGCATGAACGACTTGACGAACCGCGAGTCAGAAGACGTGTGAGTTTGGTGTACCCGAACCACGCACCGCATCACACCGCACCAGCGTGTGCGGCTTCGCGGCATCAGCTCAGATCGTGCCGTGTTTGAGTGTCTCAAAGGGGGCGTCGACACGCACGTCGTGGCTCGGCAGATGGGCTCACCGTTCACGCTGATCTGCCCGGCCCCTGTACCTGCGTTGTGTCTCGCTCTTGGGTGGCCACGACTGATTGATGTATTATGCTGCGCCCATGTTTCCCTTCCTTGCGAGTAGGCCCTTGGACTTGGACGAGGATCCACATGAGGAGAGCCTGCACCTCGGCGATGTCGCCGTTGAACAAAGTCAGTTGTCGTGGTGGCGTCTTGTCTCGTGTTCGGTGTCTGCCCGGACCTATGTTTGTGGCGCGCTCGACTCGACATGTGTCTGAATTGATCCGTTGAAGATGGTCCCGCTTGTTCTGCGCTTTGCTTGAATCTGGCCTCATGCGTGCGTGTGCCGACATGTGCATGTGCCGGGTTCGGATGCGGTCGGCAGGTTTTGAGATTCGCCCCAGCTCGTGCCGTCGTCTCTGCGTCACCTCGGCGCTGATGACGGCTCTCCTGGCTGTCTTTGTGCTCGCGGCAGCGTGGCCGTATGAGCACGACCTGCACTCCATTTAGCTGTCCGTCCCTCGGAAGAACACTGAGGGCCGCTGCTCTGCATTCAATTCGTGGCTGGCTGCGTGTGATTGTCCGGGGCAAAAAGTTCAAGTGAAGTCCCGGTAGAACAGGACGGAGCCAGTGGGTCCTTTTTCTTATTTGGACCGCATGCTGTGCATGCTGTTCCCACTCCGTCCCCAACGATGTGCATTGTGCTTTGTGCTCTGTGTGAGTTGACACGTTGAATTGATGTCAAATGGAGCCCATCGTGCGACCGATCTTCGCGTCTGATCAACAACGGCGACAACACCACCAACATCGCACGACCAACACATTAAGCTCCTGCCTGTCAAAACTCTCTCTCTCTCTCTCTTTCGCTCTCTGTACCGGCTCACTTGTTTGCTCCCTCGCTCCTCGTTTAGCAAAAGCAGCAAAAACACAATGTTCTCCCTCCCTCCCTAGCGAGGAGCAAAAAGGTTCGTTGACTGTCGGACAGGCTGGATCACGGCACTCTGCTCACGGCTGCCATCCTCTGGCTAACAACTGCGAACTGTTTTGCGTGCTGAGTTTCCTCCCTGTGCCAGTGCCAGCTTCTTCAAGGCTGAAGGACTACCCGACCTCCGTCGAATGGCCCTTAGCCACAGCCGCTTCCACAAGGACAGCCAGATCGACACAGACAATGCCATGCCCAAGTATCCTGCCCTCACAACGTTCCTTCCGGCAACGATTACACTGGTAAAGGTGTTTACAGGCTTATGCCCAATCGCCACCCAGTGAACACAATAACTTTGCATATAAATCACTTACAAGCAAAACAGTGAAAAAAAAAGGAGTTGTCACGATGTCAGATTGTGTTGTTGTCAGATTTTTTGTTTGGTTAAATGTCAGATAAAGTGGGCGCGGACGGATTTTCGTTCCGCGGATTCGCTGTCTGGTCCGGAATCATTGAGCGCTCCCTGTTGGTGCGCAGGGTCTGGGTCGTGTGGCGGTGAGAGCGTGTGCTTTGGGTGTGCGTGGCGCTGAATCGCAGTCCTGCTTGTCAGTCAGTGTGTGTGTCTGTGTGTGGCTACGTTGTGTGGGCACCGTAAGAGATGTGATGGACATTCCATTCGGCAAAAGCTGCGAGCGTACCATGTGTGTTGCGACGAAGCACCACAGTGTGGGGCGGACACACGGCGACCACAATGAGAGATCAGGGGGATGCTTGGTGGCAAAGACATTCCATCTTCTTGTCTCTGCTGCCTGCCACCTTTCCGTCTCCCCCGCCCCTGCTACGCCCGCCACCACCTTTGGGTGTAGTGCGTGCGTGTGTAATTTGACCAAGTGCAGCTGTACTCCCTCCGACCAGTCGACGGCGTGCAAGTGCCAGCGGGGTTTGGTGCCACCATCCTCGTCCTTGGTCCATGGTGGGTTGCGCGAAGCTCGCGCAGTATCGTGCACGCTACAGCGCAGCGCCTGCACGCTCACATCACTTCTCTTCCCTCGCTGTTTCATCCCTTCCGTCCTCGAAATCCCTCGTGTAGTTCAGGGACACACGATCCATTTTGAGCCAGACGGCCCGCTGCTCTTGTCATCGACGCCTCCAGCCCTGATCGACTATCTACATCCAAGTCACGCTCACCACTGCGGCTCAAGCCGCCGTTTTTGCTCTGATTGAGTGTTGCCGCCCGGCCCGGCCACCATGAATACCCTCGGGCCGGACGGCGCCCTTGCGACCGCGTCACGGCGCCGTAGCTCCCGCCATAGCAGTTCTCAACACAGCTCTCGCCTTGGGTCACGCCACAGCTCTCGGCACGACGGTGACACCGCCAGCAAGCTGTATGTCCCCACTGCCAGTATCGTGCAGGATGGTGATGATGAAGACAACATCGCCTCGGTATCTTCCTCCATCATATCTCAGGTACCCGCCGACAAGGCCGAGTGCACCTTTACATTGGGGCTTCTGGACGCCGGCCCCTTTGAAGCCAACCCGGAGCTGGTGGCTCGCCGCCTCCTCAACAGCGGCGCAGCTCGTGTCCGTAAATCCGACAACGCTCGCGTGTCCCATTATTGCTTTGCCGCCGACACCCTCTGCGAGGTCAACCTTGACGTCTGCACAACCGCCGTACGTACCCAGTGTACCCCATTTCTTGCTGGCTGAAACCTCCTCATCACCCTGCCTGGCTTGGTTTTCTCACAGACCCACACCGAGGAACTCAAGCGCTACGATGGTTTGCTTGTCCTGAGTCATGCCGACGACGCCGATGCCTGCGATCGCTTGGATAAAGCTCAGGTGCCAGGCCATGCCGCCCCACCCCCTCCTTGCTCCAACTCTAGCCTCTTCTACACCCCATATATCCCGTATTCTGATCCGCTCGAGGACCCTTGATCCAGCACGCCTCTGTTGCTCTCCCTGATCCTCACTTTATTGGGTGCTGCAGCTAAAAATCGAAAAAGCGCGCGGAGAAGGCTTTCCTTGCATCATTGTGCTCTGCGTCCGTCCGGACAATGCCCTGGCCACAGAGTATGCCTTGCTACGCCTTGGTCACCTTTGCTTCCGTGTAGCCTGTCTGTGTCATGTGACTAATCTGAGCCAGCCCCGACCAAGCTCACCAAACCTTGTCTCGACCGCGCCCTCCGCTTCCCCTCGCCATAAATTTTCTCCGCCAGTTCCTGCAATGCGAACGTGCGGGAACTGCAAAAGGTTGCTCACTTGCACTGTATGGCCTTTGAGGAAGCCAAGCTTGATGAGCCAGAGCGTCTTGGACGTGCCTTGGAAAACTTGGTGCTGCTCGCCTACTGGACCGCACGGTCAGCCCCGCCGCCTCCCCGCTCTCATCCCGATTCATCTTCAGCCGCAACGACTAGCGCTCGCGTTGTTCTCTTTACCAATCCCCCCACCGTACATCCTCCTTGTTCCTCTTGATCGTAGCAACGTGGACATTGTCACGCCCGACATTGCTCTCACCCACTATTGGGAAGAACATACCAAAGAACAAAACATCAAACGCAAAGCCAGTCAAGAAATCGCCAAACTGCCGCTGCCGCCCTCCGTCGTAAAAGGTCGGTCAATGACTTTGAGTGCACCATCTCCAACAACGCTTGGCCCGTACCCCGATTAATGCCTGCGCCCAGATTCTCATTTCAAGCGCCCTGGTTGTTGACAGAGGGCTGGCTCTATAAGCTATGCCGAGGCCAGGGTCGCATGAATCGAAAAAACTGGGCTTCTCAGTACTTTACCCTGGAGCGCAACGTTCTGTCCTTTAGCCGGTAGGCGCCGCGCTGCTCACATCGCATCCGCCCACTGCCGATTCAACACCCCCAATACCAAATCCCCACCCCACCCCCTTCTACAACCTTGAAAGCACACCCTGTTATTGACGCTGCGTGTACTGACAATGCTTTTAGAGGCCCGGATCAACTACGAAACCCCTTGGGCATGTACAACGTCAAGACCGTTGAGGACATTCGCCTGGACACCAAAAGCAGCCGCCCCATCCTGGTTATGACCATGCCTGAAGAAGAGATTTGGCTCTACGCAGAAAGCCCCGTGGAGACGCGACACTGGTACGCCTGCGTGTGCGCTGCCCGGCAACAACAGCGGCGACAGTCTGACGGCACGACCCTGCAAGGCGACGATTTACTTCCCGAGCGTCGTGAGATGAACCTGGCCACCGCCGCCGCCGCCGGTGCCACCACAAACGCCCAGCAGGACCCATTGCTCGATCAAAACGGCCACCTCAAGCCCAAGTACAAAGCAGCGCTTGAACATGCCGAAATCTTCCTCTCCCAGGCCTCGGAAGTGCCGATCAACGAGACGCTGCAGGACGCGCTCGTGCGCGGCACCCTGTCCGTCAACTACAACTCGCCTTCTCGGGTTGTGCGCTTGTTCTTGGCGGGCGGCTTGCATGACTTTCGCCATGAGCGCACCACCTTCCACACCTACGTCGTGCCCTACTTGGTTCTCTTTTGCCGCAACCTCAATCTGGAATTTGAGGTTGTAGACCCGGCTTGGGGGCTTGGTAGCAACGAGATGCAGCTCATGCCCGACGCTATCGACCTTGAAGCCTCTCTTGTCCAAGAATGCCTCGATACGTCCATGAGCACAGCCTTTGTGGCTCTCGTTGGCTCGCGTGCCGAGCCTGCGCCCTTGCCCCACGTGATACCCGAACACGAATACCGCATTCTACGTCTGGCCATCATGCGCGAGGCCGACGACAAAACCGCTGGTGCCGCTGCCGTTGCCTTTCTGGACCAGTGGTACCTTCGGGATGAAAACCACCATCCCGTTACCCATCGCGTGCTCGTCGACCCCAAAACACGCTTTCCGCTCTTTTCGGGTAGCCGCAAGGAGCGTCAGGCAGCTCTGCGCAGCTGGCAAAGCGCCCAGGCTCGTCTCAGGCAAATGCTCGTACGAGGCGCTGCACAGCTCCAATCCGAGCCCAGCTACGCCCGCTACGTCCGAAGTCGTATCGATCAGCTCTGTGCCGTTGGGGTTGACCAAAATGAGTCGCGTGGCAGCCAAGTCACCCTTGTCAACCGTGTATTCACCGATCCCAACCCAGAGGATCGGGCCGCCTCCATTTTTCTCATTGCGGCCGACGCCATTGAGGACGATCGCAAGCGCGTCGAACGCCTCAAGCGCCGGCTCGTCGATCTTCTTGATTCCACCCGCCTGCTGCAGTACCGCCTGGACTGGGCCCCCGGCCACGGCTTCCACAGCAAACAGCACCAGGCCATCATTACACATTCGTTGGAGACCCTGGTCGACAGTCTCTCCTCGGACATTCTCAATGCTTGCACCCAAGTTCCCCACGACAACCTCCTCACGGAAATCAATGAGCACCGCCAACACTTGCACCGCATGATCAAGCAAACTGGTTTCACTCGACCGCACTATCTCAGCGAAATCACCACGTACCTGGCTGATTCTTGGCGCTCCACAACCGCAGAGAATGATCAGGGGCGACCCACTGGACCCCTCGTCCTCTACGGGCAAAGCGGTGCCGGCAAGTCTTGGTTGGCAGCTCACGCCATTCGCGCCATTCAGGCCGAGAACCCAGACGTGATTGTGGTACACCGAACACTAGGTCTGACCCAGCCCTCCTGCACTGCCAAGCAGCTCATGCTCGGCGTCTGTGAGCAGCTCCTGCGGGCCTTTGGCAAGGCAAGTGCAGGACTGACCTACACCCTGGAGGAACTGGCTCAGCAATATCAGCGCTTGCTCCACCTGGCTACGGCGGCCACTCCCGTCTGTGTAGTCCTTGACGGACTGGATCACCTAGACCTCACTGATGGTGCCATGTTCAGCGCGACATGGACCCACTTGGCGGCTGCCCTGCCTGCCCATGCCCGTGTTCTATTGACATCGGCTCCGCAGGGCATCTCCATCGGTGCAACGGTTGATGTGATGGGCGTGCTCAACCGCACGGCCGCGCCCTTTTGCCGTTTCATTGAAGTGCGACCGTTGAATCGGGAAATGCTCAGTCCGTCTGCGGTCGTTGTCCTAATGAAGGACGTACATGGACGCAGCGTCACTGTCGACCAGGCCAAGTCCATCGTCTGGGCCTTTGATGCTTGCCCGCAACCCCTGCATCTCAAGCTCCTCCTCCAGGTCGCTGCCCGCTGGCGGTCCTTCACGCCTTTTGGTGAAGGTCCGGCGTGCCTTGAACACGGGGAGATGGGCAGTATCGATGCCACACTCGAGATTCTTCTTGCCTGTCTTGAGGACGAACATGGCGAGCCGATCGTGGCGCGTGTGCTGTGTGCGTTGGTCACGACCAAGTATGGCCTATCAACCCGAGAAATCTTGCGCTGCCTCGAGCTGGACGAAACTGTTGCCAAATACTTGGGTGCTCGCGCTCAGGCGACACCAGGTCTCTCATCGCCCTCGAGCGTGATCTGGTACCGCCTGCGGCGGGACCTCGATGCCATTCTGATCCGGGCCATCGAGTTTGGGGTTGATGTCTACAAGATTCACCACGGCGCTGTAGTGGATGCCATCCTTGCACGCTATGGTCTGCGCGACGTTTCTGCCCAACTTGAAGCTCATCGCTTTATGGCTCTCGTGGCTGAGACTTGCATGCGCTCGGTCATTCAAGCCGAGCAAGGCCTCAATGCACGCGATTTCAGTGAAGCTGGGCAAGCCCGCCGCCGAGGCTCTGGCCCCAACGCGGAGAGCAAGCGGCCCATCAAACTGCTCGCCAAGCGCAAAAGTGAAAAGTCTAGCATTAACATCCTTGCCAACGTATCCGGGGGCTCAGCCGCCCTTCAGGCCCTTGCGGCGCGGTTAACGGGTCCCATTCAGCGGGGCACCCATGGCATGCGCCCCATCGGACCATCGGATCACTTCACTTCAGCCGAGGCCCGTGGCGCCCTCAGCTTGTGCCACCACCTGCTCGAAGCTGGTGCATTGACCCAGGTCCTTGAGTGGCTCAGCGATGCGACCTTTCTGGCCATAACCTCGCAGCACATGAACATTGACCAGCTGCTGCAAGACTTTCATCGTGCTGCCTTGGTCATTCCCCCGGAGCGACTGGCCGTCTTGCACTCTTTTGTGGCCGAGGCAGCTCCCGTCATGGTCACGCACCGGCACGCCTCACTGGTGCAGCAGGCCTTGGGTAACCACTTTGCCCCACGTGAAATAGTAGCTGACATGTTGCATCTGGCACGCCAGTTGCCCGTACATCAGCAAAGGTGTCTGTTTGTTGACGTTGCTCCGCCGGCCATGCATGAGCTGGACGTGAATCAGGTGGGCGGAGCCGGCCACGGTTCTCTGAATAAGCTACTCTTTTCTCCAGACGGTCGCCGTCTTCTTTGCGTGTATGCGAGCAAGGCCGTCGTGGTGTTTGATACTGCGAGTGGGCGCGTCGAACATACACTTACCGGGCACAAGAACAAGATCTTGGACGGCGTCGTCGCCACCGACGAGCCCGTGCTTTTCACGAGTGCCGGTGATGGTGTTCTTCGGCGTTGGGACTACGTGGCCGGTAAACTGGACAAGAAGATTACCATCCCGGCACGCCACGGGCAGGCAGACCAGCTCTCTGCTTGCCAGGACGCGTCGTGTGTTGCCGTGCGCTACAGCAACGGCACGCTTCATTTGTGGAGCATGTCAACCAACGAGTTGCATGAGCTGCGCGAGCACACGGACGTGGTGAGCTATTGTGAGTTTGCATCCAGTGGCCAAACCCTCGCCTCGGCTGGCCGCGATGGCCTCGTAATTCTGTGGTCTGCCCGTGCTCTCAAAGCCATGCGCGTCTTGCGTGGCCACGATGGCCCCGTGGACATGTGCAAGTTCCACTCCAGTGGAACGCTACTCCTTTCCACTGGTGAGGACGCCCAGGTCAAGATTTGGGAAGTTCGCACGGGTCGCTGCCTCCAGACACTGCACAACCGATCGCATGACGCAGAGCTGTGCGCTTTTGCACCCGGCTTTGATTGCAGCCAAATTGTAGCAGCCTCCCGCGATGGCAGCGTCCAGCTCTGGACGTTTCTCGAGCAGGTTGAGGGCGAGACAGCGGCGCGGCCGGGTGTCAACCATCTCTACGAGCGCACCAGCGTTCATATGCAGGAGTTGGCTGTCGAGTGTGGTATGACCCATGCCGTGATGAGCTGCGAGTTTGCGACGCCACATCTCATCGTGGCAGCTACAGATACGGCTCTTGCAGTATGGGAGGCTCGAAATGGCCGCCGCGTTTTTGCGCTGCCTGGCCAGTGGCCTGTCTGGACCATCACGCCCAACAACCGCTACCTTCTAGCAGCCAGTGCCGAAGGGCGATTGCACGTGGTTGAGCTGCGGCCTTTGCTGCAGGGTCTGCGGGACGATGATGGCCTGGACCGAGCGCAACGCTTGCGCGGGTCGGACTTTCGCTTGGTTCGGGGGCCATCGTCTCTGCTAGAGTCCACGCGTGAGGAGGAGGCCAGTGTGTTAAGCTTGGCGTATAACGAAGCCACCAAGCGTATCTTGGCCACCTGTGACAAAGGCGCCTTTGGGGAGTACGAGTGCGCAGGTGAACAGCGCCAGCGCTGGGTGTGCAGTACGCGACACATCACGGTACTGCGTTGGAATGCAGTGAGCAATTGCGTGGCCACCGCAGGCGAGGATGGGACCATCTTGGTGTTTGATGCCAACACCATGGCCATTGCACACCGCCTGCAGCAACACGAAGGGGCCGTGACGGCCGTGGCTTTTCGTCGGGATGGCCGTCTCCTCGCATCTGTGGGGGTTGATGGGGCGTGTCACCTGTGGGACTTGAGTACGGGCTTGCTACGGCGCTCTTTGGCGCCTGCCGGTGGTCAGCCCCTCCACGCATGCCGCTTTGCGCCCGATGGTGAGCATCTGGCCTTGAGTGATAACCAAGGACGGGTGCGCATCGTCCATGCAGAAAGTGGTCAACCCAGTCACGAGATGCATGACCATCATGATACTGTCACGTGTCTGGGCTTTGCCGTCATGGGACAGCACCTGGCAAGTGGTGGCAACGATCATGACGTGTGCGTTTACTCGCTGGGAGGCGCAGGCCGATTGTATCGGCGACTGACCGGCCATCGTGGTCCTGTGGTTGGGGTTGAGTTTGTTCCCCGCCCGCGTTCAGCCATGTTGCTGAGCGCGGCGCTGGACGGCGTGGTGAAAATGTGGGATGCTGCGGCTGGGTTGGAGCTGGTCTCCTTCATGCCCACCGGGGCGCCGCTTACGGCCATGAGTGGCCTCTTTACATCCGAGGAGGATCGTTTGCAGTTTGTCGTGGGTGATGTATATGGCCGCATCCGCTGCCTCCGCCAGCTCACGAGCTTTGACAAGTAGGATGGCTTGCCTGCCCTTTACGGTTTCACATGCGAACAGTTGTTATATATATGAGAGGCGCCCAGTGACCCGAATGTAATGCAATGAATGTTTATACAACACGATGTCTTTGCGCTGTGGGATCGCAAGGTTGCAACCTCGCGCCTCGCGCCCCACCTGAATACCCCAAATCCATATGGTAGTTGACTGAACAGGTCTTATCCTTCCTTGTCACTGCGGCCGGCGCCGTGGGTGGCTCCTTGGTTCACAGACGCTCGCACGTGATTGCAAGACATCCCTCCCATACTAAAACAGCACATCATGAGAAAATTGCTCAGTATTTGTGTGCTTGCGACGGTAAAAGGGAAAATATTTGAAGAAGCGTTGTCTGGTTTCGAGACTCAGAACTGAACCCCGAAAAACTTCAATTATATGCTAGGGGTGCGATTGAGAGGGATGTGCGTGAACGAGAGAAGAGGGACGGGAAATCCAATTCACATATGGTATGTTTTCACACGCACAGAGGTGTAGTGCGTCGATGGCAACATCAGAAATAAGGGAAAAAATTTTCTAAAAAAAAAAAGGCACGAAATTGAAGCGAAATTTGAAGTAAATTATGATGAAGAAGAAGAATACATGCACAACGAATCTCTCAATGTCAAGCATCAGCCTCTACACACTCCTTGATAAGACCAGGGAGCTCATAGTAGCGGCGGCGGCTCGGGTGGACCCAGAACCGCAAGAAACTTGTGAGCTTGGAATGGTGCCAAGGGCTCTTGACATCTATGTTTATAGTTCACGGGGCGTTGTAGATGGGGCGGGCGTGAGTCAACGTCCCCCAGCGCCAAGGGTGCAAGGTCAAGCCTGGTGCAGGATGGATGTACAAACACACCTTCGACGGTTGTGCCACCCGCAGGAACCATGTACTTGTAGGGCGGCTTCTCAATGTTAAGCAGCTCATTGGTCGTCGCGTCCATGAGCACCTGTTTCCATTGACCCCGACACACTTGGCCCGCAAACATAACACCTGAAAAACATTATGACAAAGGCTGAGTGGACGAGATGATCTAGCAGGGTGAAGCCATGCGCAGGCAAAAACGTACCAAAGATGTTGATGGCCACGGAGGCAACCATGGCAAGCGTGATAAGAGGCGATCCCATGACATCGAGTTGCTGACCCGCCACGATGCACAGATAGAGAAAGAGGAGATGACCAAGCATTTGCAGTGACAAATGAAAGACAAAGTTGCGATGATTGTCGTCAGCCACCACGGCGTCCATCCAAGCACAGTAATGATCAAAACGGTGGTAGCACTTGTCTGTAAAAGGCTCGTGCTTTGATCGCAGCGGCTATTACGAATAGATAAGATCGCAACCAAAATAAGACAACAGTGCCACCACCAAGCGAAGGGTGAGTGGGCATCAAGGATGGAATGGAATAGGCAAGCAGAAAGGACTGCCACATGCACGCACACACCCGTTCAATACCACAGGTGAAGCAGATGCGCTTCGGATCCACACTGAGCTCTGGTCCCTCGAGCAACTTGCGCTTCAGCTCAGCCCGTGGCACTGAGCACCGCACCGTACCGGGATCCATCTGTGTATCAATACTGGCAGAGTAAGATCGGGCAAGCACATCTCACCTGGCAAGCCACGGTCTACGCATGAGCCAGACAAGCAGATAGATCGTACCGAGCTGGTGCGGTACCAGTTCAAAAGCCAGACGACGAGAAGTGCAAAGCACACTCGATTCAAACCATACAAGCGCTCACTAAAAAAGCCGAGAAAACAAAACAAAAAAACCGAAACAAGACGCATGAGTGAGAAGCAAATGGATGACCAGCAACCGTGCAACGACATGTCAGTAAAGTAGTGGCCAAGGACGACGAGGCCAGGCCGACGCACTCTGTTGCGGGCCAAAGGAAGCCAAACCACAAGGCAAAGCACACCAGCGTCGATGCCATGTATCCATACTATGGAGGAAACACGCACACATTGCTCGTGAGAGATTTGCACGAAGCCAAAAACGTGGCGAGCAAGAGCGAGTCAACATTCAAGACACACATAGAGATTGTTAGGGTTGCTGAGACGATTGTTCTGGCTTTTGACCACTTTCATCAATTCCGTGCGGATGTCTTGCAGGTTGTAGCGCTATCCAATTGCAAAAAGCGAGGGGAGAAGGAGGGAGCGGATCAGCGTGACAACCTGTCGTGCAAGACGCTGACAACCATGGTCCAACTGCCATCGCGCAGCACACGCGTACCTCGGCAGTGTCAACGCACGTCCAGCCCTCGTTGTTGGCCATGAGAGGATCCATTTTGAAGCGATACATCGGTCGATCGAGCAGAAATTTGCATGGCATCAAGTGCCCACTAATAGAGTCAAGATCAGCGGAACAAGATGAGCACGGGAGCAATGGGCGTAATCTGTTTGACTGTGATGCGTACCGTTGCACTGCCCGATGGAGGGCTGAGTTGCCGTCGGTATCAATGACGGACATGTTGGCACCGTGTGCCTAGGAATAAAAGTACAATCAGGTGAGATTGAAGGTCAATGGAGCGACGCAGAGCAGAGTCATTGTCTATCTATGTTGCGCGATGCTCTTGTAATTTCCCGAGGAGGACCGGTGGCGCGTGGTGTGCATACCCGGAGAGCAAACAAGGCGTTAAGGCTCCCAGAAAAGGCAGCCCAATGAACGGGCGTAGCGCCTTTTTGGTTGCGAGAATTTGGGTCTGCACCCGCCATGAGGAGGGCCAGAACGACAATGTCCAGATTCATCTAGCAGAAACCATCCCATTTCAAAGAGCAGCAGCGGGCATTCAGGGACGGTAAGCTCAAGGCCAAAACTCGTGTTGACGCGGTAAAAGTGGCCACCACTCGATCATGCCTGAATGGCGTAGGCCAATGCGCTGTTGCCATGCTTATCCACGAGATTGATTGTGGCCGGATGAGCCGCCAAAAGAAGACGCATGACGCTCAAGGTGGTTGATTTAACAGCTGTGACAGAGGGGAAGCAAAAGGAGTCAGAGCTACATGGCAGCTGATCATGCGGCAAACTTTGGAAAGGGTTTGCGGTGAGCGATGCAAGGAAAACAGTGTGGCCGAGGGAAGCGCACCTGGGGCCATGCAGCACCACATGAGTGCCGTCTGACCATCATTGGTAGTAGCATGGATAAGGCTTGGATCCTTCTCAAGGATCAACTGTGTGGCAAAGCAATACTCAGGGTCAGACGGAACAAGGGCCGTCCAGGGCTAAGCAAAGGAAATATCGTCCTGACGCGCTCATGACTTGAGACAAGAGCCACCCTTCATACCGATGCGAGGGGGGCGTAGCCAGAGAAACAGGCCCAATGCAAGGGGGTCGCGCCGTAAGCATCGCGTTCATCAAGCGTAGCAGCAGTCTCGACGGCTTTCCTACCCAGACCGAGTCCCAAGCAGCATTCCATCAGCATCAATATCGTATGGGCCGAGGAAACGGATAGATCAGCGGCGCGCATAGGGGCTGCCCCTCCCCACGTGTTTGGCGAACCGCTCAGGAAAAAGACCACAAAAGATTCACCTCAGCTGCGTCAATCGTCCCTGTACAATAGTGGAGATGACCGGAATCTTCTCATCGGCTGCCTTCTCCAGCTGATACGCCGCCACGATATCCTTGATCGCCCGCGGGTTCACATTGACCGCCATGGCGACAATCGCACACACACACGGAGGAGCAAGAGAGCGAGAGAGTGAGAGTGTGTGAAGAATGAAGTTTAAGAGAGAGAGAGAGTTTGAGAGAGAGAGTTTGAGAGAGAGAGTTTGAGAGAGAGAGAGAGAGAGAGAGTTTGAGAGAGAGAGTTTGAGAGAGAGAGTTTGAGAGAGAGAGTTTGAGAGTTTGAGAGTTTGAGAGAGAGAGAGAGAGAGAGGAGAGAGGAGAGAGTTTGAGAGAGAGACACATGCAAAAGGATGAGCTGTTCTGTTTTGTCATCATGTGGCTGTTTGTTTTGGCGGGAAAAAACACTCATGGTTTGTCGACAATTTAATTTTGCAAAGCTGGGTATAAGGCATTTCTCACAGAGCAACAGCAGCAGCAGCAGCAGCAACAGCAACAGCAGCAACGACAACGACAACGATGGAGCTTGAAGCGGGTTGCAGTTTTCACTGGCGCTGCTTGCTTCCGTACCAAAGCCGACAGGTTCCCCCCTCCCCTCCCGTCGCTGCCGGTGAAAGTTGTATCGGTCAGACCCCTCCTGGCACGACGTGATGGCCGCGCAGGATGAGCTGAGTGCGGCGCTGGGTGGGGCCCAGCCCATCAGTCGGCTCCACAAGCTGCTGAGCGTCCCCAGCTGCCGTCTCAAGATCCTTAAAAAACACCATGCTCCCCTACAGGCAGCCATCCAGCAGGTGGGCTTCTGCCGGCCCCTCGCATTAGCCTCAAATGCAGTCCCAACCCTTTTCTCCGATCGCACATCTACTGTTCCACCTGTTTCGACTGCATTCTACTCATTGGTGTCCTCAACCACTTGCCGCTGCCCCATCGAGTCCACAGGCTCTGTCCGAGTCCAAATTCGAGGTCCTGGCCCTGCTAGCCAAGATCCTGTATCGCCAGCTCGAGGACCCGTCTGATCGCAGCGGTGTCAGCACCTTTATCAGCGAGGCGCTTCGGCAACAGCATTTTCTCGAGCTTGTGGGCCCCAAAGCCCCAACGGCCGTGGCTGTGGCCTTTTTGCGCATCCTCATGTTCTACCTCGGCTCGCCGCGCCGCAATCTCCACTCGCGCATCATGGCCGGCATCATTCAAGCCCTGCTTGAGGTGACCTTTGGCACGGGCCATCCCGATTGTGGACTCGCGGTGCGTTTCGATCATTTGTTTTTCACCACCGTTCGTCCCCAGCCAACCGCAGGGTGCATATCGGGGATACCCCAACAAGTGATTCTGATGGTTCCCGTCTTGGGCAACACGCATAGGCAGCCTCAGCCCTCAACGCCATGATGCAGAGCGCTCTGCCCAACCAGCGCGAGCTGTACAAACGTGAATGCAACCTGGACCATCGCCAGTTGGCCACGCACTTGCAGCGTCTGCCTGCCCTGGGCGGTCCGTTGCTCTTGTCTACCACCCATGCTCCTGCCTTGTCCAAGCGTGCCCTCTACGCTCACCTGTGTGCCAACACCAGACTTTGATCTACAATTTGAAGCGCTCCAAGTTCTCTACTCCATCATGGGCTCCAAGGTACGCTGCATCGCTTTAACCATAAAAAAAAACCAAAAAAAAACAAAACAAAAAAACAAAAAAAAACAAAAAAAAAAAAAAAAAACACCACAGACGAATGACGCTTGCCATGACCTGTAAAGCATTGCCAAGCCCTCCAACACCACGTGAATGGAGGCGACAGCGGTCCCAAGCAGCCAACCCACACAAAAGCAAACCACCTCATCACTTTGCCTGACCGGTTCCCAGGATCGCGAGGCCATCGCGGGTCATTGTGATGGGGTGTTTCCAGCATCGTGGCAACAGGCTTTTCAGGACCTGGACGTGGCGGCCTTTGACGAGGAGGCCTGTCAGCTTTTGGTCGAGCTCAATCAGGCCGTGAAACACCCCAGCGTGCAATCGCTGACGGCACGCTCCATCAAACACGAGGCTCGTGCTCAAGTCGCTCGGGCCTTGCAGGAAGAGCGCACGCTCTGCCACTTCAACCAGCGCTCGCAATGCCTGACGTACACCAACAAGGACGATTGTGTTGTGGTCATCAAGGCTCAGCATGTGACGCGCTTTTCCGCAGCCAAAAGTACGCCCGACCCACTGCTGGCGCAACGCAACGATCTTGATGCATGCACCTTGGCTGCCATTCTCATCCATGCTCGCCCTGGTTGTGGATTTGCCGTAACTATTTGTGGTGTGACAGATGTGCTGACGGTGCAGGTAGAGGGAGCAGGACATCCGTTGGCAGGTGTGGTCACGCTGACGTTTGAGCCGGCGATTCACCCGGGACCGGCCGCGGCACTGGTCTTTGGAGCTGACAAGCAAGAGCGGGTGGAGCCGCGCTCGGTCGCTGTTATCATGCCCATTCGAATTGACAAGCGTCAGGCGCAGGTAGGGGTGCTACCACGTTTGGTGGCTGCTGCATGGTCTCGAAAGGAAGACACGTCTGCACACTGCCAGCCTGCCACATGCTAAGCTGGTCTCTGGTGCCTTGTGACAAGGACCCCCTTTGTACCGTGATTATTGGGTCCCAGCTTCCTGATGTGCTGTCCATGTGTGCATGCTTTGTGGGTGCGCCCATCTAGGACAAGATGGTGCGCACAATCCGCTCTGTTACCGTGGGTGTTCGTGCCACAAGTCCCGACAATGACGGGCCGGCGTCAGCCTGCACGGACGCCGACTCGAGTTCCCACGCATCACCGGAACAGCCCACGCAGGTGGATCCGGCAAATCAGACGGACCAACAAAGTTCCTCAGAGTCGCCAGAGCCAACCAAGAGGTTCGGCCACAACCCAGATCCAGATCTGGGTTTGACCTCGAGCCAGGAATTTGAGTCTCAAGAGCTGCTCAAACCACGGCCAAACCAAGCTGATGCTCGGGCTGGTGCGCAAGCACGCGCCGTGGGTGCTGCAGCCGCGGCAACAGCGTCCACCAAAGCCGTTCAACGTCCTGGTACCACCACCACCACCACCAAGGCGCCTCGCAAGAGCAGCAAGCGTGGGAAGCAGCGTCCATCTGCCTCGCCAGCCGAGCAAGATCCCCCGTTTATCAAGAAACACGTGCAGGAGAGCGATTCAAGCAATGCAAGTCCAGGCTCTGTGCAGAGCAACGCCGCAGAGGGCATGACACGAGCAGCAGCAGAGGTGTGTGTGTGTTTGTGTGTGCGTGCGTTGGTGGTGCTAGGGGCGCGCGACATGTAGCGTAGTTTGAGCTTGTATCTGGGGTGACTCATTCGCTGGGTGGCTTTTTTGGGGGCGATCGGGTAGGCTGAATATGACCACGCACTTGCCGAAGCGAAAAAGAAGCTCGAGGCTCTGAAGAGCGCCAAAACTGCCTCAGAGGCTCAGGCGGCAGGGAAACGGGTGCGTACACAATGTAAACATGCGTGTGCCATGGTCTGGGGGCACACTGCGATTAAACACGATCTCGTCGATTGATCGCTTAATGCTTGAAAGTTCAAATGATCCTTATGCTGAGCTTGTACTCGTGTCGTGACTCGCAGGGCCGCATGGGCGAATTGCCCTATCGCTCGCTGGTCGTGGTTCGCACGCCACGCAGCGAGGTGCAAGCCATTCCTGACACCCCACCCGAGACTAGCCCAGCACCTATCACCAAAGCGTCACAGCCTCAGGTTTGGCCGCTTGCACGCAAACACTAAGCTCGGGATCATGGCGGTACTCGCACGGCACTCATGCGGACCCCATGCTGGTGCTGTCGTTGTCTGCTCCGTCGTTACGTTGCTCCACACCCTGCCATTTGCCTGGCCACAGATCGGGGAGGAGCCCTATACCAAGGCGCTTTTGGCGAGTTGCGGCCTGACACTGGCAGACTTGCAGGAGGCGATTGACGACGAAGACGCCGAGGATGGCGATGGCGATTGCGGCCCAGATGGTGGCCAGAGCAATGGTGATGATGATGGTGACGTCGAAGCCATCGCCAATGGCAACGCGAGGCGCCGTCGGGAGGTGCTGCGCAAGGCTGAGCGTGCTGGCCAATGCGGCTGCACGCATGGACTCGGAGGCAGAGGACTCGATGGATACGGAGGAGCTGGCCGCGGTGCTCGAGGCTGCGGAGCGTCGTCGTCTCGTCCGCTCGACTGCAGCTGCAGCTGCAGAGGACGTCGATGAGGACTCGTTGGACCTGTCGTCGGAAGCGGGCCAAGCGACGGCCAGCCCGGACCTGGTGAGCAAGAAAGCAGAAGGACAAGAGGAAGAGCGGGCGAAGCGTGTCGTGCGCAAGCAAGCAGCCGGGTCAGCGGGCAACAAGAAGTGGAGCGGCAAGCGCAGTACACGAAGCAATGCTGCCGTCCAGCAGTGGGACTCTTCCACAACGGGGCGGGCATCAAAGCAACGCCAAACAACCCGCCGAGCTGGCACCAAGAAGAACCATGGGCAGAAGCGTGCGGCTGTGCCAAACCGCCACAAGGACGATCATGCTGATGAGGACGAGGACGCCGAGGAGCAGGCTGAACAGGAGCCGTCGGAGGCGCCCGAGCTGTCGGAGCAGGAGGCACGCCAAAGAGCCAAGGCGCTGCGAGGTGGGCGGCGGCGCAAGCAGGTCATGGACAACAACGACGCGCCACGAGCCAAGCGGGGCAAATCCGATTTGTCGATTGGCCAACCGCAGGACCCGACCCCGGACGTGGTGCAGTGGAAGGCTCAAAAGTCGAATGTCCGCCGATCCGACGGCGCCGGGGTTCAGCGGCGTCTCATTCTCGATGACGAGTGAGGCTTTGGGTGGCTGAATCAATGCTCTCGCTAGGCTGATCTGGGGTATAGGCGACCCTTCTCACATTTTGTTGCTAATGTGTAGGCTTGAAGCAGCAGCGGTGCCCGATTCGCCTCGAGTGGCTTCCGACCAGGTTGCTCAGGTACGTGTAAGTGCTACCCGGGCATGATCACCGGTGTCTTTCTTTCTCCCCACTTGGAGGGCTTGTGTCTCGCTCACATTTTTACACCCCTCGCTACCGGGCGGATGGGCGTTGGGGGTGATAGACGGATGCGGGGGATGAGGTGGAGACGGCATCGCTCGCGGCCCTTCAAGATCGGGCGCGTGCCACCCTGGCCACGCTGGAGCAGCAAGATGACGACCTGATGACCATGTACGTGCTTGATCTCCCCAAACGGTTGACTTTTCGGGGCGGTCCTAAGACAGTCGCTCCCCGACTACCCCTTCCACGCTGCTCGGACCACCCCATTCTACTCATATTGGTCTGAACTGCCCTCCATCCTTGGGGGTGCTGGCTGATGGCGGCAATGCGTCAGGATACAAGGGCGGCACGCCAAGCTTGGGCTGGCAGCGCAGGGCCAGCAGTTGCGCCGCCGACGCCGGCAGCTCGTGGCACGAGGCCATAAGCTGCTGCAGCAGCTGGGTCAAGAGCGCCAGGTGCTCAAAACCCGGCTGCTACAGGCCAAGGTGGCGTGGGGGGAGGCGCAACGCCTGCTTGAGAGCATCTCGACCGAGGCGGTCGCCACCAAGCTGGAACAACACTCGCACGCAGCTCGCGAAGGCTGCTTGCGAGAGGCCCTGCAAGTCGTCCAGGCCATGACTCAAGATTCGGAGCGCGCTCGCTCCAAGCAGCTCATGCTCATGGCCTCGATGCTCGAGTAACCTTTCACCTCTGTCTTCGTCATCAACTTGGCCTAGATTTGCCGATCACCAAAGTCGTCTTTCTTTTTTTTTTTTTGTATGGATGTTTGTATGTAAAGTTTTTTACTTTCGACGTGTTTGTCTTTCTTTCGTTGTTATTTTGAAAATTGAATTTTACACACACTTATTTTTCCGAGGGGTTGGGTCTTGTGTGACGGCAGCGACCCGTGAGACAGTGCGACAACAAGTGAGCTTCTCGCATGGTCTGTGGCTCGGCAGTACGGGGTGGAACATCGGAGATGGGGTTTAACATTCTCGTCTGATTGACTCGACGATCTCATGAGCACTGTGAGCATGGTTCAGCCTTTGACCTTGCCGTTGACACCTGTTGGACTCCATCAGTTGTAGAGAGACCTGTTGTCAACGAGCCCGCGCCCCTGCTTCGACCCGCCGAAATGGTACGGCAATCGATCTTTGATCTGCACACGACACAGGCGCACGCACACACAGGCTCGGCAAAACAAACGGCAGCTGCATGAGCCCGCATCAAATTATTGGCTTTGCGCGTTTCGCGGGTGTTCGATTCACCCCCTTTGAAACCTCTGTTTCTGCGTTCCTGTCAACCTCCTCGCGCTGTTTGTTATACTGACCTCCTGGGGTACCTGCTCGGACATGTCAATGGGTTGCACAGGACCGCTACCGGATCATCAAGACGTTGGGCGAAGGTGCCTATGGCAAGGCGCTGCTCGCCAAGCACAAGACAAGCCAGAAGCAGTACGTCATCAAGGAGATCAAGATGAACAAGGTTTGTTTTCCAACACGACCCCACTGAACTGAGTTCACATGGACATTTGCCCATTTACCACTGCTCGAATGAATAAGAAAGACAATTTGCGGCCCTTGCGCTTTGAAATTGACGTGTCTTTGGTGGTTTAGATGTCGGTCAAAGAGCAACGCGAGTCTCGCAAGGAGGTCGCCGTTCTCAAGAAGATGGCTCATCCTAACATTGTTTCCTACCATGACTCTTTCGAGGAGCGCAAGAGCCTCTACATTGTCATGGACTACTGTGATGGTGGTGGGTAGGCCTGATACTTTCCTCTTTGTCGTGCCCCTGTGAGCCACCATCTACCTTCACCTGCTGCTGCAAACTGGTTTTTCTTCATTTCAAGGTGACTTGTGCCAAAAGATCAACGCGCAGAAGGGCGTCAACTTTCCGGAAGATCAGATCCTCGATTGGTAGGTGATTTCGCGTGGTGTCTTGCTTCACTGCCCTAGCCTGCTTGGGCTGTGGCGGTGTGCTCATACATCTCCGTTTTTGGGACAATCAAATTAGGTTTGTGCAACTGTGCTTGTCCATCAAGCATGTGCATGATCAAAAAATCCTGCATCGTGACCTCAAGTCCCAAAACATTTTTTTGACCCGGAACAACATCCTCAAACTCGGTACGCATCCTGCAAAAGTGCAACACCTGTCACAGCATTTCCCTGATGGCCCTTACTCAGCGCTCATTGAGATACATTTTGGTTGGTATAGGTGACTTTGGCATCGCTCGCGTGCTCAAAACCACGGGCGAATTGGCTCGGACCTTCATCGGAACTCCGTACTATCTCTCTCCGGAAATTTGCGAGAACAAGCCGTACAACAACAAGAGTGACGTGTGTTGATGCCTTCCCATTCTGTTTCCTCCGTGCACAGCTTTTGTTGATTTGAGGAGCTCGCTGTTCCACCAGTTATCGACCTTTGCGTGTCTTTCTCATGCTGCTTTTTTTGATTGGGGTATATCGGCAGATCTGGTCTTTGGGTTGCATCTTGTATGAGATGGCAACACTCAAGCATCCTTTTGAGGCTGGGTCCATGAAGGGCTTGATTCTCAAAATCATCCGTGGCAACTATCCCCCAATCCCCTCCTTTTACAGCAAGGGTCTGCGCAGCTTGGTGGAAATGGTATGCCTGACGCAATGCCCTGCACAATAGCATGCAGGTGTGCTTGCATCTCATCTTCCGTGTTGGACCTGTTTTGATAGTGCTTCCACCGTGACCCGCGTCAGCGCCCGAGTATCAACCGCATCTTGGAGATGCCCATCATCAAGCGCCGCATCGCTACTTTCCTCGGAGAAACGCTGTATGCCAAGGAGATGTCGCACACCATCTTGCACAGCGATCCTTCAAAGATTCGCGCGTTGGATCCCGAGCTGAGCCGACCAAGCTCAGGTGCCCAGCGTCCGACCAGCGCCGCCTCAATGGCCAGCAGTCGAGCCTCTGGTACGTGTCCTATTGCGCAATGTCTTGCGCATGGAAACAATTTGGCTCACGGCAGGTCCTCGTTTCGTCATGCCAGGAGGCTCTGTTCGTTCTGAACGCGAGCGACGCTCCCGTGCTGGGGTGTCCTCGTCAGCTTCGGGCCACAGCCGTCGCTCAGCCGCGGGTTCAGGCCACGCCGGTAGTGGTGGTAGCAGCAACAGCAGTCGCATTGCCTCTGCTGCTAGCGTCTACAATGCCCCCCAGCCCGGGCAACGCAACCGGCAGCAGCGTTTGGCCGCCGTCTACGGCCAGAAACTTTCCAAGCCCTCCGGCAGCTCGGGCAGCTCGGGCAGCTCAAACAAGGCTAAAAAGTCCCATGATGATGATCGCGTGCGCGCATTTGATGCTCTGAAGAACAAGCAAGCTCAGGTAAACCTTGATGCATTGTTCAGCGGAGGAAGAATCGACCTTCGGCCCGTACTTATGCGGTCGGCCTGCTTGAATGTAAACCTGTGTGGTTTTGTCATGCCGTAGGAGTACAAAGATGAAGTGCGTCAGCGCCACGAGAAGTTGGCTCGAATGGTGCCTGCCGGGGCCGAGCGAGGGGCTTGGCGACAGAACATGGCCCAGCCAGCCAAGGCCGACGTCAACCGCGAGTACCGCCAGCGCCAAAAGCAGGCCATGATCAACAAGGCTCGCGCCCGTGGGCAGCCCATTGACCCTTCATGGCTTACGGACGACGATGACGGGGCCACCGCGTCGGGCAACAAACCAGCTCCTGCACCGATTAATAACAAACAGGTCCCGGCAGCTCGCCCCACTCCAATGGCCGCAGCGGCGCCCCCACCTGTCAAGAGCGCCGCTGGGGGTGCTTCATCACCCCACCCACCCGCATCAGCGCCCCCCTCCGGCGACGGAGCCAAGCGCCAACCTGGTCTACGAACCTTGGTGAACCGTGCCAACAATCGTGCTGATGCGCCTGCCGCCCCACCACGACCGCATTCCGAGCCCCCCGCAAACATTGATGTTCACCAGGCAAGTCCCGCGGATGACAATATTTCTCGTGTTGTGTGGGGTTGGATAAGGAAAGGCTTTGGAGCTGATCTTTCTCGATGGATTGCGTGCTTTTGCCTGTGCTAGTTGCTGGAAGATCACGAAAACGAGCAGGTTAAGGAGGCTGCTGCGCAGCGTCCGAAACCCCAGGCCTGGGAAGTGCCTTCGGCGGATCATAGCAGCATCTTGGACACGGTGAGATTTCTTCACCTTCCCTCTACCTGTCACTGTTGGAGCGCCGCCGTTTCGAATTGCGCTCGTTTGGGTACTGACCACGTTGTAACCGATAGTATTCTGAGCAGGAGCTGCTCGAGAGCTTGCAGCGGCGTCGGGCTGCCAAGCAACACCAGGCCAAGGGTATGTGGGGCAAGCAGCAGCAGGTCAACATTCCCATCTTGGGGACGATCGTGGCCGATTCCCCCGTTCCAACTGAAGCGGGGACAGAGGACGAGGAACACTCCGCCGACACGCACGAGGCGACCATCATTCCAGAGAAGCAGGACAGCCAGCACGAAGAGGAGGCCGACAATGGCGAGGAGGAGAACAACGAGGATGAGAACAACAACGAAGAGGAGAAGAACAATGAGGAGGAGGCTGATGCTGTGCGTCAAACGGCTGCCAAACGATTTGAATGATGTTCACACGCCTTACTCATGAAGTTCGCGCCACGTTGCTGTCTGTGGGTGCGCGTTTAGGATGACGGCGAGGATTACGTGCAGCTTCTGGCCACCATGAAGGCCGTCATGAGCCAATCCATTCAACATCGTTCCAAAGTCGGCGAGAGCAAGCCATCAGGCAAGACTGAGGCCAAAACCGGGGTCACCAGTGATCAGACCGCTGAGAACCAAGCGAACGATGACGATGATGATGACAGCTACTTTGAAGAGTCGGAGGATGATGATGACGAGGACGAGGACGGTGTAGCCACGCCAACCCAGATTGCCAGTCCCAGCAAGGTTTGGCACCTCTCCTCAACAGAATAAAGCTGTCTGTGCCCGAGCCTGCCCTATTTCAACAGTTCATGGTTTGGCGTACGTATGTCCGGTGGTGATAGGCGGAGCCTTCTGGTGATTACGACTCGGAGGATGATCAGGCCACCGAGCAAATGTTGGCACAGATGAAGGCCATGGTCGGCGCAGAGGATAAGTGCGTCCTGCGTGTGTTAACATTTCAGAAGAAGCGCGCGGGAAAAGGATGCTGGGCTCGAAGTAACCGGGCGCTTTGTTAAACCATGTTTTTGGGCATACGCAGGCCAAAACGCAAGCGAGCGGCCGCCGAGCAGACGGGCAGCGTGTTTTTGCGCCTCGAGATGGCGCGTGCCGAACTTGAGCAGCAGCTGGGCGAGCACAAGTTTTTGCAAGCCTATGCTCTTCTGCAAGAGATGCAGGAGGTCGATGATGAAGAATCCACCCACTTGGAAGAGCAGCTGCAGGAGGTGCTCGGACGCGATCACCATCAGGTTTGGGTTTGCCACATGCAACTTTTTGGAGGGTTGTATGATCAATCGCCTGCTCTCACGTATCATTGATGAATGTTGGAATCGGTGACGGTGGGGACAGGAATTTTTCCAAAAGCTCTTGTTTCTGGTTACACAGGATGGACAGCACTTTGACAATACAGGCAGTGCCCCTCCTGCCGCCTCTGAAGGTGTTAAGCAAGCAAACAATGATCGGTCGACTGGCACAAGCCTTGCTGGTGGCGTAAGCCGGGCCCGCAAGGACGACGATGACGGCGATGATAACGGTGAAGAAGACAACGATGAGGATGAGGAGGACATGGATGCTTTGCTCAGCACTCTCAAACAGTGCATGGAACAGGAACAACCCGAAGACGACTTTTCCCGGAGTATCCAGCGCTCCATGCAGGCGCATCTGGCCTCGATGCGGCTGGAAACGGGAGGTGAGGCGCTTTCGATTCGTCAGCGCGATGATGCGCCCAGCGGTGTCCAAGATGGCCACGGCGGAGGTGTCGAGGACCTCCATGATGATCAAGGCGAAGACGACGACGACGATTTGGACGTGGGTTCAACGCTATTGATGAATCCAGCCGCCATGATGGCTGATGGTGATGGCGATGGTGGCAGTGATAGCCAGGCCAGTAGCGACGACGAGGACGCCGGTACACCCGTCCTCGGCGCGACGACCACCATTGCTCACGAGGTGGACGAGGACATTCAATCTGGAGAGGACAAGAAGAAGAAGAAGCAATGGTTTGTTCCAACATAGTGGCTCAAGTTGGTTGATTTTGATCGAGAGACAGAGAAGACAAGAGTGCCTTTGTGTGCGCGCGCACGTGTGTGTGTGTGTGTGTGTGTGTGTGTGTGCTGTGTGCCCCAGCACCATGGTCAAAGCGTTATGTACTCTGGGAGAGTTGTGTCGTGCTTGACCATTGATCTTGACATTCCGGGTCGATGGTGCACATGATTTTGTCAGTATGGGCCCTGGAAAAGATGAGGAAGAAACGAAGGAAGAAGCAGCAGCCTGAGACTGTTCAAGCTAGTTCCTTAAGCAATTCAAGCAAAGAAGATGAAGCTTAAGAATGAGAAGATGCAGGGGGTGGGGAGTGCTGACGCTTCAGTCAAACAATGCGTTTCAAGTGTGACGTTTGTCTCGCTCTTTTTCAAGGTGTGAAAAGGCAGCAGGGGGCACGAACGAAGACGATGAGCGTTCTTATGGAAGCTTCCTCTCTGCGTGCAAAGCATCATGGTGACATGTCTCTATCTTTGTGAATCAAGCGAGCTGTATCTCTTTTGTAGCTTGTGTTTTTCTTTGTGAGATTAAGAGACTCTATGCGCACCTCTTCTTCCAGCTCTCCAACGCGAGACTGTCTCTTCCAAGCACAAGCAGGCGTAGGGTCATCTCTTCTCCGATGCACGAAAAGGGGGTAAAGCGGAGAGAATTCACTTTAGCGTGTGTTTGTGTGTATGTGTGTGTGTGTGTGTGTCCACGGCAGCGCGTCTTGGATGGTGTGGCGGCAGCAGCGGTGAGGCTGGAGGCTCAGCGAGAGCGCTGCTAGAGAGCCCTGGTTCGGTTGCTCAAGTCGTCAGTTGTGTCAGTGCGACGAGTTGAGGTGCCGGCACTTTTTGGAGCAAGAGGCCACTAACGCTCGGCCATAGCCTTCCGGCCGGGTGCTTTCGTTGACACGGAAGCGCCGGCCTTGAAACCAGGTACGCCCAGACATTCAAGCTTCAAGTGGAGCGTTCCAGGGCGCACGGGCTCTGAGGGAAGCTGCCTGGTCTGCTTCACTTTTTGCCTTGAAGAAAGAAAAAAGGAAGGCGGGTCGAAGAGATGTCGGAAAAGCCACGGCGGCCAATTGGTCCTCCTCTTCGCCTGCCGGCTCCATCTTACATGCGGTTTAGCCCCTCGGCCTTGACTCACATGAACATGTCGTTGGGCCCATATCTGCTTGCTTGCTGTTGTCTAGACGTCGTCAACGTCGTGCGTTGCCCTCTCGGTCGGCCAGAGCCGACGGTTAGAATTGTGACCCGCCTCCCTCAAGACGGCACCGATCCGATGCCTGCCAATAAGAAAGAAGCGACTGTTGGCGCTGACAAGGCGCCAGCGTCCAACTCCACCGTCGAGCCACCCCCACAGATTCTTCATGAGCGATATCGCCTCGAGGAGAAGGTTGACGTCGGTGCAACTGCCATTGTCTACAAGGCGACGGACATGAAACGGAATGCCGTGGTGGCTATCAAAGCCATCGCTTTGAGTCGTCGCCATCAGCTGGACTACGCTGCTGAGGTCAAGATCATGAGCAAACTGCAAGGTCATCCCTTTGTTGCACAGCTTCGAGATCACTTCCACGATAAGCACCGCCTGTATTTGATCATGGATTACATGCCCAATGGTTCCCTCTATTCCCACGTCCGACCAGCCTCGGCATCTGTTGTGACTTTTCGGGTGGCGCATCGCTGGATGAGTCAGTTGGTCAAGGCCGCGCAGGGCCTCGAGGCCTGCGGTATGGTTCACGGTGATATCAAGCCGGACAATTGTCTGATTGACGAGAACAACAATTTGGTGCTTCATGATTTTGGAACGGCTGTGGCGGTGGGACACATTCATCGTGGAGCCTCAATTCCTGGCACTGACATCTACTTGGCGCCCGAGGTCTTGCAGGGCGAGGCCTGCTCCACTGCGCAGGATATCTGGGCCATTGCTCTGACGTGGTATGCTGTTCTCTTTGCGGATCTCCCTTGGGATCGAGCAAGCCGTCGTGACTCTGAATATTCACGCTTCACCCTGACTCGTAAGCTGCCCGGCAAAGCGCAAAACATCCAGCTGCTGAGCCCCAAGCTTCTTGAGCTTTTGGTTGCCATGCTCAACCCACATCCAACCCGGCGACCCACATTGGCTCATGTGGCGGCTTTTCTCAAGGCCAAGCACTCGTGGTTTGTGGACGCTTCCCGTGAGCCTTCACGGGCCGCCGACGAGAGCAAGCGGGCTCTGGAGCCTACAAAACACAACGAGGCTCGCTCACCAAGTTCTCCCAAACCCTCGCAGCGGCGCGAGTTGGCCCCGCCTTATCCCACGCCCCAGGCCTTGCAAGCACCGGTGCATCGATCTAGCACCATGCAATCTCGAGCTCCATCTCGGAGCGCGACAGCCGCTCGCGCTCCGCGCCGCGTCACCTCTTTGGCCACCGATCAGAGGCGGGCGGAAACCATGTATCGTGCAAGCTCATTGCCCATGGCACCCACGGAGCCTCGGCCGAGTACCTCCGAAGGAGGCGGCAGGCCGCGAACAACCACCTTGATCAGTACGCCAGTGGAGACGCCCGAGCCACAACTACAGACCTTGTCACTTTCCGCCGATTCAACGACATTCCGCCGTCTCTCCATGCCGCGGCGTCGACCCCCGCTGGCCCGTGCCTTTGGTAGCACGGTCAGCCATGATGGCACACCCCCGAGTGCTGGCCAAGCTCGGGCAGCTACCAACCGCTCCCTGACTTCTAGGCACGGCGGGCGCCATTCATTGGATGAGGCAGCCATGATGGGCATTGCTCCAACAACGGGTATCCAGGCCACTGTAGTGTAGGAGGGGAGGGGTCCCAGTTTGTGGCCCGACTGGCCCCTATGATGGTCCCTTTTTGCACGTTTTTAGCGGCTATCCCAGGGGCTCACCGACACCAGTGCGTGCCTGAATTTTGCCCCGCCAGCTGCCCTTTGCCTGTCTTGAGTTCTGATGACGTTCTTTTCTTCTTCGTTTTCCCCCCCTTTTTTTCCTTTTTTTTTTTTATTTGATTGAGCCGATGTGCCGAGATTTCTCGGCGCGCTTTTTGTTGAATGAGCGAGTCTGTTTGTTCTTGTTTGAGCGCCCTTTGAGTTTTTTTTTTCTCCGGGGGAGCCCGCTTACCTTGATTTTTCAAAGCCCTCTCCTTCATGTGAAGTGTGGTGTGGTGTACTGTCCCACATGGTGTGTATGTGTCCTGAAACTGTTTTTCAGAATCGACTTGGAACTTGTCTCCCAATGCACCAATCAGAGTCGATCAATGCCTTTCAGACTCAGCCACCCAGCCCGCGGCGCCAACCTTCCAGCCGACCCTCCTCAGTGCTTCGACGCGTAAGAAAGTTCAGAGAGCTTGAGAGCTTGAGAGCTTGAGAGCTTGAGAGAGAGTTTGAGTGAGAGAGTTTGCGGTTTGAGAGAGTCACAGAGAGAGAGAGAGAGAGAGTTTGAGAGCTTGAGAGCTTGAGAGCTTGAGAGCTTGAGAGAGAGAGTTACAAAAGAGCAACAAAACATCCGCATTCAGTTTTTTAAAGGAGAGGGAGAGAGGGAGAGAGACACTCGGCGGAGGAGGATGGCGTTACCGGAGCAGGTGGCCTTTGCCATTGATATTGGTACGGTGCGGGTAGAGGGCTACGGGTGGGGGGGCATGGGCAAGTGGGGGCATGTAGACCATTGAAGCTTGGCAAGCGTGGGATCGGCTGGGTCTTGAAGGCGTGTGGGGCTGTCGCTTGCTTCGCTCACGTGGCTGTACCTAAACTCGCTAGGCGGTTCGCTGGCCAAGGTGGCGTACTTGTCGTCGCACCAGGCTCGGGCTACATCCTTTACACCCTCTCAGCAAGTCAAGGCTGGCTCGCGAGAGGGGGCCGCGGCTGTGGTGGAGCATGACGGCTTGGATATGCCCACGGCTGAGAATGGCACGCGTGACACTTCGGCGAGTAATAGCAGTCGTACCCCGCCCACACCGCGTGGCGATGGGCAGGCTCAAGTCGTGACGCCCGCACTGCGGCGCAGCGAATCGGGTGAGCCTGGCGAGCCATATCACGCCAGCACCCGTGATGTGCAGCAGCCATCGCTCGAGCTGTGCTACTTTGAAACTGGCAACATCCAGGACTGCCTGACCTTTCTCAAGCAGCAGCTCGAAGCTGCTGGTCCAGCCAGTCGCGGGCAGGTCATTCATGCGACAGGCGGCGGTGCTTACAAATACCTTGATCAAATACAAGCCATGTTTGATCTTCCCCTGCGCAAGCTGGGCGAGATGGAATGCCTGGTGCGCGGCGCCAACTTTCTGCTCGCCAACGTGGCAGACGAGGCCTTTAGCTATCGCCACCAAGCTGTCCCACAGCGCGAGTTTGTGCGTAGCCCTTACGAGTTTCCCTACGTTTTGGTCAACATCGGAAGTGGCGTCAGCATTCTCAAGGTTGATGGCCCCGACCAATTTGAGCGCATCGACGGCTCTGCTCTGGGCGGCGGTACTTTTTGGGGCTTGGCCTCCCTCTTGACCCGTGAAAGCAACTTTGAACAGCTTCTCAAGCTCGCCAACGAGGGCGAACCCGCACACGTAGATATGGTTGTCAAAGACATTTATGGCGTTGATACACCCTCTTCTTTGGGCCTAGATCCCGATTTGACGGCCTCTTGCTTGGCCAAGGCTGCGCGCGCTGCCGACCAGGCTGATTCAGAGGAGGCGCGCGCCGCGCTGCGACAGGATCTTTCCGCATCGGTCCTGCAGATGATCAGTTTCAACATTGCTCAGATTGCCTGCCTCAACGCTCGTTTGTATGGCGTCAAGAACGTGTTTTTCGCGGGCTTTTTCATCCGCTCTCAGCCCTTGGCCATGTCTACCATCACCCAGGCCGTGCAATACTGGGGCAAAGGTCAGGTTCGAGCCCTCTTTCTCCGTCACGAAGGTTACCTCGGTAGCGTTGGCTGCTATCTTGCCGGGGATCCAAGCCTGCCTGCCGCAGTCCCGCCCTCTGCAGCTCCCAAAACGGTACCACCCCAGGACGCACCCATCAACCGCGAACGTAAGCCCGTCCGTCTTTCATCGCTGCATCATTCTAGTTCTGGTATCGCCATGACTTGGCCGCGCACGCCAATGCCACCTGCTCTATGCAGGTCGTGGTGGCAGTTTGGTGGAGAACTTTGTGCGCCGCACTGCCCTTCAGCACGCCCTCAATTCGGTGCGTAGCGCTTGACCGGAGACCAAATGATCAATGGCAGCAAAGCGAGACAGCACGCGTGCTGCTCTGTCCCCAAGGCTTGATGTTCTTGTGGAGGGCATCGGGTTTGCTTCAAAGTGTAGGTGGCCTTGGACCTGCGAGCGCACGACCTCCAGCCGTTGCCCTTGCTTGCAGACATTAAGCAATATCATCCAGACACGATCGATTTGATGCAAGATCCCGATGCCAGGTGTGAGCACGAGCGACTGAACCAGGGCCCCGACTGGGCCGGTGAAGTTTGCTGCGCCGCTTGGACTCATGACAGCATTGGCACATCGCAGAACCTATTGGCTGGATTGCTTCACCAAGAGCATTGATCGGGAGCGCGAGCGCGTTCTCAATACGACACACAGTGCGACTAAAGCTGATGCTTTCAAGGAGCATTACCTGCAGCACATGGCCATTCTGCGAGATGATCCCAGGTCAGAGGCTCAACTATTTGACTCCCTTGGCTCGGACCGCCTCCTCTCCACTTCTGCGCTGATTTGCCGGGCATCGCGCTGGCTGTTGCAGTGCCTATGGCGAACTCTCTGTTCGCGTCATCCTCGAACTACGTCAACAGGTGGGTGCGCCAGAAACTCTGTTCTGCACAAGGTCAGGATCACGCTCTTGGTAACAAAACTCACCCCGCGGCATCATTTTATGCAATGGGACTTGGGTAGTGTCTCCAAGCGTTTCAGGTTGCCGATGTGTATGCAGACGTCAAGCAGCGCGAAAATCGCGAGGCGCTGACCTTGCTTCCAGAGTAAGTTGAACTTCATTGTCTTCAAGCTATGACTGAATTTGCATTTGCTGACTTTTGCTGATGTGTTGTCTGATTGTTCTTCGTTCATATCACAGGTGGCTGGCTGAACTGGACGCCGTTTCAATGCAAGAGCAAGGGCGTCTTGTCTTAGAAGGTGCCGTGGCGGGTAACTGCTTTGATTGGGGCGCCGTGGCGGTGGCCGAGCGTCTGGATCGACAGGAGATTCGCTTCAGCGAGGAACGTGCTCGCATTCACAACGGCTCGTGGAGTGTGAATGACGTGGAGGTGTGTGTGTGTGTGTCTGTGTTGTTCCCATGGGTCTGGTTGAGACACTCGGCAGAATCTTTCTTCTGCGGTTGAAGGAGCTGCATTTGTCTTACCCTGGGCCACCTCCTTGTTCAGCGTTGGTTGAAGCGCGCTGAGAAGCACCCTTATCAAAAAGCGGTCCTTTTCGTGGATAATGCCGGTGCAGACGTCCTCCTTGGTGCGTCCACGTTTGACCGTGACTCAGCTCAACCTTACCTTGCGTTGCGCAGCAAAGCTAATTTGGCGTTTTTAATTGGTTGGATGTCGTGATTTTGACGCAGGCATGTTACCGCTGGCACGCCATTTGCTGCTTCGTGGCACCAAGGTTATCTTATCTGCAAACACGCGAGCGGTGCTGAATGACATTACGGCGGAGGAGTTGCGCCTACTTTTGGATCTGGTGGCGACGAAGGACGAGACCATCCGCAATGCCTGGTCTGACGGGTGTGTAAAGCGGACTGTGTTCGGGTTCACATTGACTCGGTCGCGTGAGCTCATGAGTCCTGCCACCTGATTTCCGCTGGTGCAGGCGACTCTGTGTCATGGAAAATGGTTCGGGATCGCCCTGCATTGATTTGAGCCGGGTCCATCGGGAGCTGGCCGAAGCCAGTCAAGACGCAGACCTGGTGGTGATTGAGGTAACTGCGCCCTCTGCCAAGTCTGTGTTTGTGTGCACATAAGCAGAGGTTCTCACGTCGAAAAACCCCTCGATGATAATTTCGTAGGGCATGGGTCGGGCACTGCACACCAACTGGGACGCTCGCTTTCGTTGCGATGTGCTGAAGCTCGCCATGATCAAGAATGCTTGGTTGGCCAAGCGACTGAATGCTAACATGTACGACGTTGTTTGTCGGTTCGATGAAGCGCCCACGCCCAGCGAAGGAGCCTGCTAAAACTTGCCTGATCTCTCGACGACAATCAATGGCTTTGCTTGGATAAAAACTCTGTCCTCTTTCAGTCCTTCCCGCTGATGACCCAGCCTTGATCCAGTTTGAAAGCCTCATCATGGTATCAGCACCGCCTCAGCGACCTCCCCGGATACCCAAAGAACAAGACGCCCCATAAAAAGTGTTTTACTTCTTTTTTAAACTTTTTTTTTCATTCATTTTTTTCTTGAAATTTGTCAGTTGCATCGGTGCCTCGTGTGTGTGTGTGTGTGTGTGTGTGTGTGTGTGTGTGTGTGTGTGTGTGTGTGTGTTGATGGGGGGTGGGGGGCGAAGGCGGCGGGAGGAGGGGGACGATGATGCTGGCTGCTCTTACCTGGGTTATCTTGGTGGTCGTTTTTTTGTCGAGATGGCTGGTTGCTGGGCTGTCTGGCTTGTGGTTGGGGCTGGGGGTTTGATAAGCGAGAGAGCGCGCGCGCGTGTGTGTGTGTGTGTGTGTGTGTGTGTGTGTGAAAGCGGGATCATGTTTGTGTGCTGATCGTCGTCGTTGACGCGCGTGACAACACGTGCTGATGTGATTCGGCGGCGGAAGTTGGCACACGGGGCGCGGCGAGGGGCGGATCGGCTTGATGATGCCAAGGCTTACACGAGGGAGCAGGCCTTGCTTGATTTTGGGCTGCTAATTCGGTCGTTTTCTCAGTCCCGTGATCAATGCTCCGCCTCGCTCACCACGCTCAATGGTGTTTTGGGGGGCAAAGTAGATCTGACCAGAGCGTCATGGCGTCGTCCGTGGAGCGCGATGACCTAGTCTGGGTCAACAACGTGCCGTACAATGTGAAGGAATTCGCCAGCCGTCATCCTGGAGGCAAGACCTTTGTCAGCTTGTATGGTGGCCGCGATGCCACCGATGCCTTTGCCACCTATCATCGACGTACATTTCCTCACAAATCAATGCAGGGCTATGCCGTGCCAAAGGAGGTAAGCCGCCTGGCCAGCACCACGCGTGGCGTCGTCGTCACCACTTTAGCAAATATACAACTCAAATGCTTTTCTTTCTCTTTTTCCAGGTGGCAGCTCAACACGAGCCCGTGGCCTCCTCATCCCTGAGTGAGGATGATCCCGATTTTTTGAACTTGTGCCGCGAGGTCAACGAGTTTCTTCACAAAACGGGGCGAGGCAAAGGTTTTGCTCCACCCGTGTACTACCTCAAGGTGGCACTGATCCTTGTTGCAGCCGTGGTCCTCGAGGTCTCAGTTGTTCGCGAGCCCAACGTATTTTTGGCCGCGCTTCTCGGCTTTGTTTTTGCCCTCATCGGCCTCAACATCCAACACGATGCCAATCATGGCGCTGTGTCTCAGCGTCCTTGGATCAACATTGTTTTGGGCATGACTCAGGATTGGATTGGTGGCAACTCTCTCCTCTGGCTGCACCAGCACACCACGATCCACCACATTGAATGCAACGATCTCGACCATGACCGGGATATGATGGACAACCCTGTCCTTCGCTTTAGCCCCCTTCGTTCTCGTTGGTTCTTCCAATCCCTCCAAGGTACTACTTTGCACCGATAGCGGGTGCCGGCTTGGATCATGCGGTCCCTCATTCGCCTGGCTCAAACTCTCTTCATGCTTTGTGGGCTCGTGCGCAGGCTTTTACTTTCTCGCCCTCGAGGCTGGCTACGCCGCCAAAGTCATCATCGGCGATTGGTATAACCTTTTGCTCAACATGTACGAGGGTGTACCCATCTCGCGTACCGTGCCCGGTTGGCGTTGGTGGTCTTCAGTCCTGGCTCGTATTTGCTGGCTTGTCCGGCTTGTTGCCATTCCCGTTTACCTCCATGGTTGGCAGGCAAGTTGCTTTCGTGCACAGCACATGTTCATCGTGCACGCGCTCGCCTGCACGCGGCCCATTCCCTTCATGTTTCATGAAGCGTTTGACTGGGCGTCAAACTAATGTCTATCGCCTCAACTTTGCTTTGCAGGCTTGGCTACCCAGCTTGCTGGTCCTGGCGACCGTCGGTGGCTTTTATCTGGCCTTCTTTTTCCTGTTGAGCCACAACTTTGAAGAAGTTTATCACGTCATGGATCATCAGGTTCGGCTCGCAGCGATGCAGCAGAGTTGTGCAGGGCGTACAAAGAAGCAACAGTCAAAGCTTTACGCCCAGAGTGATCTCACGAAGCAACCCTTTTGCTGTGTAGCTGGTGCCGGCGCGTGATCCTCTCGGTGAAAAGTCACCTCAAAAGGATACGCTCTTGCGCCGCCAAGTGTTGACGTCTTGCAATGTTGGAGGAGCCTGGCTTGCTCAGCTCAACGGTGGTCTGAACTATCAGGTACGCTTGCGACCTTTCATGGGCAAGAGCAGAAATGATTGTGAAAGGTGCCCAAGGGCAACTCATGGCTGGAATCTTGCTGGGACTCGGGACTGACTGCTACGCCGCTTTCCCCGGCAATTCGATAGATTGAGCATCACCTGTTTCCTCGGGTGCATCACGGTTACTATGCGGCGATTTCGCCCATTGTTCGCGCCTACTGCCGGCGCTTGAACATTCAGTATATTCACTTTGCCACTGTGGCGGAAAATCTGGCGTCTACCTCTCGTTTCCTATCACAGCAAGGGGTCGCACCACAGGTCAAGCCGCGAGCAGCATAGGCCTGAACAGGCAATAATCGCAAGTCTGCCCCTGCCTCAGTGACCACCCGACCATATGTGTGTCTTTGCTCTTGGCTCTTGGAGGACGCAAAATTCCACGCTTTCTTGTCCTGGTGTTTGATTGTGACAGTGGTTGCTGGTGCAATTGGCGCATGTACACATTGCGCTGGTCTCAACAAGGGGATGGTGAGCAAATCGAGTACCGAACACCGATGGTGCTGATTTCGAATTTCTGAATTGCTTGTCGGGTAACGCCGCGTGCCACTGGCCGCGCTCTATTCGGCCGAAGCGCGTGTGTGACGCTGCAAACCGCACAAATCGAAGCATCATCAGCTGTTGACAGGCCGCGCAGGAGCCCACGGAATTTACCAACGCTTCCAGCGTGACAGGGACATACCCGGCGGACGTTGGCCGTGGGCTCGGATGCTGGACTGGTAGGCCCATCGTCCTGCTCGTCCCGAGCGTGGGCTCGAGCGTTGTTCTCTTGCTTCTGGCCGGTAGCAGAAGACGGTGTGGCGTCATTGCTGGGGGAGCACACCAAGATGAGCAGAGCGGCCACCAGGGACAGGCCGGCCGTGTATAGGATGTAAAGCAAAGGGTTGGCGTTTGCTTCGTCAATCCACTCCAATAGCAATTCCTGCCGACGACCACCGTGCAGGTGTGCATGAGGGGAGGGGGGATGACAAGAGGCAGCGAAAGAGGAGGAGGAGGAGGAGGGGGGGTTTAGAATCGAAAGGGAGATGTTGTGCGAGTGTGTGTGAGTGTGTGCGTGCGAAATCTTGGTTCGCCCAGCACGGCACACACCACAATAGGTTCAAAGGGCCCAAAGTGCCATTCACCAGAGCTCTCATTTGTGTGCTTTGGCAACCAGAGTTCGCGAGCCATTTGGTCTGCCTCTGCCTCATCCGTGGTTACGATAAGATTGTCAAAGTGTACATCTGGGGTGATGGTCCAGAGCTCAAACGCTGCCAGGGCGGGTAGAAGCAAATGAGCATTGGCGGCAGGCGAGCAGCAAGCCCGCAAAGGAGCATGAGGCCTACCGACGGCACCGATATCTCGTAGTTTGTCAAATGGCGCCGCGTCCTCAAAATAGTCAGGGTTGGGCAGACGACGAGGTTGCCAGACACCCTGATGAACAGGAAGCACATAAAGAGGGTTCATTTCTCGTCAGAAGAGCCAAGGGTTCATGGTGGCGAAAGACGTCTGGGGGGGGGGGGGGGGGTGGGCATGGAGCGTCTGGGCAGTTCGGGTTTCCATGCCTTGTATGCCGGGTTGGGAATGCGGCGTGGCGTCCAGCGCCCCTGTCAAGTTTGAATGCGTGCAAAACCATTGCATGAGGTGCGAATACTGCTCCAGCGGCGAATCAAAGCCAGTAGGCCACATTTTGGTGGCACGCACACGAAACTGCGGATTGGCAACGGACGGCGCTGTCCAAGGCCCACAGCCATGCATTTCACATTTTGGGTTCGGAATGCGTGGCGACTCCCAAACGCCATCCTCTTCATCGTCCCAGTCCTGCCGAAGAGCAATGCCACGTGAAAGGGACCTCACGTTCTTCCATTGAAGAGCTGGATTTGCCTTGCATCGCTTACCATTGGGCGCTCCGAAGCTGGGTCTGGAATCATACTCGGTTCATTTTCATCCCAAAGCTGTAGTCAAAGTGAATGTTGGCCAGTCAGTCGGACGAGGTAGCAATAGGACCGTTGTGTATTTCGCCTGGTGCCAAGGGACAGACCCACCTCGGGCTTTTGTGCAGTAGGGTCCGGAATATACTGAGGTGCTTCCTCGTCCCAATCAGCTGGCTTTTGGTCGGTGGGATCATCAATCTATACAAGGGAAATTTATGGAAAAATGGGTTTGTGTCACCACGAGTGACTGGGCACCAAGATTGGGCGGGAGAAACCTACAAACTCTTCATCAACCCAATCGGCGGGCTTTTGATCGCTGGGGTCAGGAATTTCGGCTGGGGGCAGAAGCGGGGGATCGCAGTCTTCGCTGCTAGCCATGTCGCCTTGCAACACCTAGTCGCGTGGTGGTCACATTGGCATCAAGCCCGTATGACGATGAGTCTGCAAGACGACGATGATTAAAATTTGCTCACGAGTTTGTTGCAAAAAAAAAAACCCCCCAAACAACCTGCTTGCGGTCGATGCGCAGCGCAAATTCCCCGCTGGGTTTGAGCACTGGTGATGGCAAGCATCAGTGAGTTGCTTGGCGCTGTTGGACGAGATGCTAGGTGCGGTTGAAGCGCCGACATAGGCGGGGCAGCGTACCAAGCGTCACGAGGTGTGTCTTCTTGTCAGTATAGATGAGTTTTTCGACGTTTTCGATGCGGCGGGCATGAACCTCGCGCATCACACCGGTGCGCGGGTGCGGGTAGCGAAAAATAAAGTGCAACTTTGCATCATCTCCACACCTGGATGAGCCCACACAGCGGCGACTTTAAGACTGGATGACAAGTTTTCTCTGGCAAAGCACTGAACAAGGCCACATCAGATTAGAAAAAAAAACCCGAAGAGAGGGACACACGCACTTGTCTGGGCCAAACATGATGGTGAAAGGGGCCTTGTCGTTGAGCTGGGTCAAGTCTGCGGTCGATTCAAGTAGCTGGTCGCCAAGAATTACGATAGCGAGGCACATGAGTTGATGCCAGCGAGTGCTACTGGCGCACGCGGTGAGGAACCTACCTTGATGTATGCGCCGCCACAAACCATGACCTGGCGGAAGCGCACTTCATACTAGGTAGAAGCCGGGGACGATGGCGTGAGAAGGTGAGAGCCATGTGACAGGCGAGTGGTCGTGGCGGGTATACCTGGACAACAAGGGGTAGACCATTTTTGAAGGAAAACGGGCTATCCAAGGCTTTGGCAAGACCATAGTGTTGGTTGGCTCCTTTCATGACCAGCGAACCATTGGACAAGGCCCAGCGACCCGCATACTGCGCAATGTCAGCGCTCGCCCCTGTAGAGTCAATGCCGCGCGAGCAAATTCGGGGTTATTGCTGGCTACAAAGCCCACATGCTTGCAGCTCAATGTTTCTCGCGCTTCGAGCCACTGTTGCACGGGCCAACCTGGCTTGGTGGCCCCGGATCGAGTCCACTGATTCAGGCTGTAGTCCTCAAAGGTCTCGCGCAGCAAGACCGTCTCCTACCCCAAGATGACATGTGTGAGCCGCCATGCTTGACACGCTTGCGCGCTTGCAGACGCAGTTGGCCAGCCCGATCACACACACTTACCTTGGCCCAAACCCCAGCCATTACAAGGCACAACACCCCCCAGATCCAGCCTCGAGGTCCTGCCACCGCCATCGTGTGTGTGTGTGTGTGTGTGTGTGTGTGTGTGTGTGTGTGTGTGTGTGTGGGAATGAGTTTGAGAGAATGAGTTTGAGAGTATTTGAACATTTATGTACATACGGATGTTAAATTACTACATGTGGTGAAAAAAAAAAGTCAGGTATCAAGCGATGTGGTGAACCAAAGTCGAACCATTGACACACTATCACTTACGTCTCTCTCTGTCTCTGTCTCTCTCTCTCAGCGCGCGCAGCGCTCTCACTCTGTGTTTGTGGCAGTGGAGTGCAGTGGAGGCGGCGGTGGAGTGCGGTGGTGGTGGGTGTAGGACTGTGGGAAGGGGAAACGTGTTGGCGGTTTTGAGAGATCCGCTGCTACGAGAGGGCAAGTACGAAAGCCCGGTAGGCGGCCAATTGGGGAACCGGTGCGATGGCGGATCTACTGGATGAGCTGGAGGACGATGAGCCTGAAGGTTCGTGTCGGCGCAAGTAGAGTGACTTGCGCAGCTGTACCCGGTGCGGATCGCACCGTTTTTTTTTTTGTTTTTTTTCATCACGACATGACGCTCACATCTAGCCTCCTGGATCCCTTCCTCTGATCCCATGCATGGTCTACTCGGCAGGTGTCGAGGTGGTGCGAGCAGATGAGAATCCGTTCTCATTCCGCAAGTTTGCAGGGCTCGAGGACTCAAACCCGGGAAGTGGGGAAGCAAGTTTGGCCACGCAAGCTCCGGGCAAACCAACTTTGCAGCCCACTAAGACCAGCGCGCAGACAAAACCTCAGAGCAAGAAGCTGCTATTTGAGGACTCTGAATCCGACGACGAGACAAGCATTCCTGGATTGAGCACTGCGCGCCATGGTGTCCCGGCAAATGGGCAGCAGTCGGGGCAAAAAAAGACGGAGGCAACTGAGAATCCATTTTCCTTTACTGCCTTTGTTCAAAAGTCTGCGACCGTCACCACAAGCTCAGCGATCGCCCCGACACCCAGTCCGACAGTGGCGACGACTCGCGCCAAGTCCTCAGCATCAGCCACCCCCTCGTCGCAAGGCTCATCAAGCACATCGGTAGGCCCCGCGCAGCCTTTCCGTCTTCCCCCTGACGTGTGCTCTTGGATTTTGATAAAGACTCGCATTGTGTCAAACTCATCTGGCTCTGTGAATCATGATCAGAGCTCAGCACCGGTCTTGCCCAAGAACTCAAAACCGCAAGCGACCTTCAAAGAGGATATCAGTGACGACGACGACAACGATAGCTTTGCCGAGAGTCCACCTCCATCTGCAGCCGTTCCGACCACTCTGCCAGATGTGGACGCTGCCTCTCCTGCAGAAGCAAAGGCACCCAAGCGACGGTCGTCCTCATCAGGCGTTGCGTCGCGCGTCCGCGAGAAGATTGCCGGCCTCGAGCGTGAGGTATGTGGAGACCCTATAGCGCCTGGATAGCCCAAGCATCCCCTCCGCTGGCTCTGATGTAACGAGTCTGGTCTTGTGAACATAGGTGGCGGAGCGCTCGGCAGAGCTTGTGCAGGTTAAAGACAAATCACGAACCGTCATCACAGACTTGCGTGCCAAGATCAAACAGCTGCAGACCGAGGCGCAGGCACAGAAGGAGCGTGCCGACGCCGCCGAGGCTCGCTTGCGACGCAAGGAAAAAAAGTAAGAGCGCTTGCACATTTCGCTCCGAGCGACTTTGAAGATTTTGATCAAAGGCAAACAGGCCCATGACGTTTGACCTTCTGCGATGACCCCTGGCTTTGCTAGAGATGCCGAAGAGCTACAGGCCATGCAACAGTTTGCCTCCGCTGCGGAAAGCAATTTGGCTGCCAGTGTGGTTTGTGGCTTGGCTTGATCGCTTCAAATGGCATCCACCTCCCATTTATGCTATATTCTTCTTTCCCCTGATAGCAACGCGCTGTTGACGCTGAATCTCGAGCGGCGGCCCTCGAAGCTGAGCTTTATGCTGCCCGCCAAGTACGTTGAAGAGGGGGTTCTAAACTTGCCAAGGCAGTTACCAAGCCCGTATGTTTCGACATTGACCCGCGGAATGAATTTGCTGAATAGGGGCTGCCCACGCCGGCCATGGAGTACCTGCACCATGTGTGCCAACAGCTTGAGCAGATGGGCCAGGAGGCGGCCACCGAGCTCCGGTGCGTTGTGTGCACCCCGTGCAGCTTGGCCACTAGCCCTTTGCAGTGGTTGCTGACCTGATGCCGTGCATTGGGATAGCTCGCTGGGCACGAAGAGCCAAAAAATGCAGACGATGATTCGGCTGATGTCACAAGTAGGGCGCTTAGACACCCCTGTTTCCGACCCAGCCTCATCATGAAGCATAAGATAAGGACTAGGACAGACTCGCTTTTTTCTCGGTTGAACCCCGCACAGTTGAAGTTAAGATGAGATCCAATCGGTTGTGAAAACACGTGGAGGTGGTTGACCCAAAACCAAACAGTGGACAGTGAAGGGTGAGATGAAACTCTAAGAGGTTCAATTCAATGTGTTGCCCTTGGGCGCGTAAAACGTTGGCTCGCGCCGCCAAGCGAAAATGACTCAGCGGCATCGGCAGACTCAATGCCTACTGCCTAATGGGCTCTCTGAGCCTACACGACGGAGGAATGGCCGTCATCCCCACCGGTTCCGGCATTGCGCTCTTCGGCCTCAGCCTCGTCTTGATCAATCAGGGGACGATTGTCAGACCCCAGCTCGTAGCCGCTGGCCCGCGGTTGCATTGGCGGAGGAGCCACGCTGTCCACGTCACTAATATTCACTGTCACATCCGTTGTGGTTGGAGAAGGTGCACGCGAGCCGCGGTCAAGAGCACTCTCGGCGGCCAGGCCGCGCGGAGTCGCACCCAAGCGAGGGGATGACGAGCCGTAGCCCTGTAAGACGGGGGAAGGGGAAGCAGGGCGTGTTTGAAAAAAGCCAAGCATTGAATTCAGAATGAGGACGCACTGTCACGGTGGTTGTGAAGGAGAAAACAAACAAACCAAAAAAAAAAAAAAAAACTGCGTACCTGCATCACGATGCGACGGCTGGTGCTGACAGCCTCCACGTAGAGGCTTCGCGGAATTTGCAAGAGTAGGACATGGTCACTATTGACGACAGCATCAAAGTCTGGCTCCCAGTTGGGATTGCTCAAACAGCCAGTCGCAATGGTGTTGAAAGGACCCGCCTCGAAAACAAAATTGTCACGGCCCACAGTAACCTGGGATGCACAATGTTGCCGCAGCCAAACCCATCGTGAGGTCTTGGTTACTATCTCTTTAAACTGTATGGAGGAAGAAAGAAGAAGAAGAAGAAGGAAGGGAAAAAAAAAAAAAAAACAAAAAAAAAAAAACAAAAAAAAAAAAAAAAAAAAAAAAAAAAAAACAAACAAACAAACAAACCATACATAGAGGAAACGAAAGCGCACCTTGACACGGCCCTCGAGAACCATGGTAAAGACGCCTGTAGGCTGGCCACGATGATACAAGTAGACGTCCTCAGGTGCGTCCGAGCTGCTGTCGCTCGGAGCCCGATTGATCTCGCGCAAGCAAGCAGGGTGGGAGATCAACTTGCGCAACACTGCAAGCAAGAATGGACGAGTTGTTGAGACCTTTAGGGTTAGGGCACATGTAGTGAGGGAAAAGCAGCGGGCAGCAGACAGCGCAGGGTCTCTGACCATTCGGGAGCAGGTGATTGGAGGCAAATTCATCCACAACGGTCGAGAGGAAGGTATATGCAGCCAGCGACATCTAACGACAAATGGGGCAGCACGACGTTTTAACGGAGGTTGGGCGCGAAAAGCCAGGCAGGACAGATCGAGAACGAGGTGCATTTTATGCACTGATGGGAGGATTCTGAGCGTGAGGCCGACAAACCTGTTCCGAAAGGTGCAGTTCATCGTGCTCGAGCGCAAAGGCCTTGGGAGGCTCCTTGGCGTCAGAGGTTTCGCGTTCCACCGTGGTTTTGGTGACGTTGTCGACTACACGGCGAACCGACATGAATATGCAATGACAAGATTCGAGCAGCTCGAGTTTGAAACAGCAGGCGTTTGTTTCATACCGAAGCGATCCGTCTCGTCGATAATCTCAGCTTGAATGATTTCTTCAATCACATCCTCAAGGGTAGCAATGCCCACCACCTCCTTGACGGGATCCGTGTCGCTATCCGTGTCAATGTGCACGACCAGGACCATGTGGGTGCGACCTTGCTTGAAAATATCCAAAAGCTTGTCAAGATGGGTGTGCGAGTAGACTTCAACGATGCTGTGATTGTAATACTTGATGACGCTCTCCAATGGCGTGCGGTCATCGGGGTCGATGAAAGCCAGATCCTTCACGTGCAGCAGGCCGACGACATTGTCGCGTTTGCCTTGATACACAGGAATGCGGCTGCACCGAGCGACGGGAAATTGAGTGAGTGACAAGCGGGCCAAGAGCACAGCACAAAACCAATAAACACGGTTCAAACGATCGCACCTGTGCCCGGATTCCATGACCTTGGACACAGTCTTAAAGTCCAGAATCGAATTGAGAGGTAGCATGAACACATCCCCAAACTTGGTCATGACCTGTGAGGGAGTAGGTTATTTGAGGCAGTATGAGTGACATAAGTTTGTGGTCAAAGAGCTTGGGCTGACGTTTCTTGGCCTATCAATGACCTACCATACTGGCCGTCTTTTCCTTGAAGGTCAGGGCGCCCGTGATAATGTCCACCTATCGGCATCGAGCGGCAGGATGAGGTTTCGGCGCTGATTTGGGCACTGTACAAGAATTCCAAGGAGAAAAAAAAAGGGGGAGAAAGAGAGATCGGGGAAAGCGGGAGTGCGTGGATGCTCACCTCATCGCGCTCCAAGTCATTGTATGGGTCCTGCATGCGCAAGAGCTGAAGCAGTTGCTTGCGCTGATAGACAGCGCCGGCTTCCTGCGGGAGGAGAGCGTGGCATGTTGTGAGCGAAAACGGCAAGACCATGAACCGGGTTGGCAAACATGTGCTCAAAGCGCCCAAGCATCGGTTGAAGCGAGCAGCGAACCTCGCCGAGGACGTAATCAAGCACGGCGCTGATGGGGTAGGAGATGACAAAAGTGAGGACCATGAAGAATTTGGTGAGCCAGATGGTTTTGGCGCCAACAGCCAAGCCATGGCGACTGCAGATGGACTGCGGGGTGATTTCACCAAAAATGACAATGGCCGCGGTTGAGCCAAGCACAGCACCCACTCCGCCCGCAATTGAGTCCATCAGAATGGTGAGGGTGGAGTTGACGAGGACGTTGCCGAGGAGGATGGTGCAGAGCAAGAGGTTGCCTCGTCGACGCAAGGGCAGGATGGTTTTGGCGTAGCGGCGTTCATGTTCCTCGCCAGACTCGGCGACGATGGCCAATTCCTGGGGATCCAGGGACATGAGGCCAAGGTTGAGGCCGGAGAAAAGGCCAGAGAGGCAGAGGAGAACCAGGATGAGGAGGACGTTGAGCCAGAGAGGGATCAGTTCGCCGCCGGATGGCGCGGGTTCACTCGCAATGGTCACAGCAGGATCGGTGCCCTAGAGAAGAGGGAAGAGGTGAGATGACAGCTCATTATGTGAGGTATCAAGAGGGGAAGAGGAGCGCCTTTCATGTCCATATCAGACCTGAAGGGTATCGTCGAAGCAGAAGTACAACGCCTCGATGACCTCATCAATCTGGACCGAAATGTACTCTGCGAAAAGGGAGGAAGGGGGCGCGAGATCAGAGACACGAACAAGCAAGTGGGACGGAGAAAGGGGCGGGCCAGGGTGGCAGCGTACGCTCTGTGCCAGCGGCATTGGTGCTGACAACGGTGGCCTCGACATCACGGAGATTGCAATTCTGAATGGCAGAGACGAAGGAAGCACGAATGACGCGGGTGCGTCATGTTGAGGCGTGACAGGTGGGACGACGACAAGCAGAGACGGACGGCGGAGCATGGCTATAGCACATGGAGCAGCGTGGTACCTCTGTGGATGTGGTGAGGGTAACAACCGTGTTATCATTCAGGTTGGCGCCAAAGACGCGGAGCGTTGTGGGTTGGCCGGCCTTGACGGTCCAAATCCCTTCCACGTTCTATGGGCGATGGGCAAAGGGGAACATGAGACCGAGGGCAGGGCAAAAAGAGGATGGGGGTGATGAGGCCAGAACGCACGGAAAACTCATCGTCGATGGGGTAGAAGTTGGAGAGGTTCTGGGCACAGCATGTTGTGGCCAGCACCAGGAGTGCCAACGCGAGGCGGGTAAAGGTCGGCATGGATTGACCGCGAGCGAGCCGAGACCGGCTGGGCGTCAGGGTGCTGGTCTGGTGACGGTGGTAGAGTCGACGGCGGAAGTAGGAAGAAGAAGGAAAAGGAAAGGAGGAGAAGCAGCAAAGAGCAAAGACCACGATGTCCAAAGCACTGCAATCAACCAAGAGACAAGCTCCTTGGGTGCGGCAAGAAAGGCCTAAGAGCGAGCAAAAGCCAGGCAGTCAGCCGAGAGGGTGATGGATGAGGGCAAGCGTTGCAAGCTTTGACAGCACCGCAGCAGCCCAGGCATAGGCATCTCTTGTGCCAGTCAGTCATGGAATACCCGAGTTGCAAATGCCGGTCCGACCCCTTTCTGACGACCATGTCTCCCCCGTAAAGTTGTCAAACAAGCGAAATGCATTTCCATTTTAGCCGCCAGTGGCTGCCATATCTCACACACGTCTCCGGTCCAGGCAGTCGCCAGTGACAGCTCACACACACACACACTACTCACAACAGCGTAAGAAACTGAACGAATGAACGAAGAACGAGAGGTGTGTGAGAGAGAGATGATGAGAGGGAGATGATGAGAGAGAGAGATCAGTTTTCAGAGAGAGGAATCAGAGAGAGATCATGTAAGAGGGAAATCAGACCAATATGAGAGAAGAAGACTAGAAGACGAGAGAGATGAGAGAGATGAGAGAGATGAGAGAGATGAGAGAGATGAGAGAGATGAGAGAGAGACTGAGAGAGAGAGATGAGAGAGATGGCAGACTGCAGACCTGTCTCAACGTGTATGGGTATCGGTTAGAGCTTATTATGGGAGCAAAAACTCATGGTGTACACTACTACATGTACATCCATGCCTATCTTCGCCGCTGCCACTTGCCAGTTGTGGGTCGGGGAGGCTGCCAACGTTACATTGCTGCTGTTTCAAGCATGTGTTGGTCTCTTGTCTGCCTCGAGACTCACCAGTCTGCACGGAGACTTAACTCGATGCGACATCTTATAAAGTGTAACAAAATTCATTCTTCCGCATCGCGCTGAGAGAGAGAGAGAGAGAGAGAGAGAGGCGTAAGGAGGCGTAACACGTGTTTAACTGCAAAAGCGCGCGTGTGTGTGTGTGGGCTTTCTCGTTGAGCTCGTTGGTCGTCGTCGTCGTCGTCGTCGTCGTCGTCGTCGTCGTTGTTGTTGTCGAATAAGAGGGAGCGCGGCAGTTGGGGCAGGGACGGGGAAAGCGAGATTCGTTGACCACCAGCGCCATGCCGCGTTTTGAGGTTGGCATGCTGCGGTACATGGAGCACGAGGAGATGCGCGTGCTCCAGGCCATTGAGACGGGCATGAAGAACCATGAGCTCGTGCCCCGATCCCTCATCTCCTCACGTATGTCTTTCAGGCAGTTCCAGCGTTGGCTCACTTTTGTTGGCGTGCCTCCAGGCACATGCATGCCTACTATCCCACGGGCTGCGCGATGCTACCATCTCACCTTGTCATTTACGTCGATGATAGTGGCTGGCCTGCGTCATGGCGGCGCGTACAAAATCCTCAGCACGCTTGTTCGCTACAAGCTCGTCGGTTATGACAACCTCAAATGTATGTGTCTTCCCATTCCTGCTTTTGCGCCCGTCACGTCTCTTTGCATTGCGTCGCTTTCCTCTTTTCTTCCGCCTGTCCCACGCCAATGCCTACGGTCTTATCCTTCTGGTCTCATCTTTTTGGCCTTTGCCTAAACTGGACGCGTCTTTTCTGTAGCGGAGGGCTATCGGTTGACGTTTCTGGGTTATGATTACCTCGCCCTCAAGGCCTTGACCAGCCGTGACTCTATTGCCGGGTTGGTTCCATTGCAGGGTGCTTGACTATCCACGTACCCACAGGTGCCTTCGTACGGTGTAATCCATCAGGCCAAGCTCACGCCACACCCTTGATCACAGCGTGGGCAACAAAATCGGCGTTGGCAAGGAGTCGGACATTTACATTGTGTGCGATGCGGACGAGAATCAAATGGCTCTCAAGATTCATCGCCTGGGTCGCACCTCTTTCCGTGCCATCAAGTCCAAGCGTGACTACCACCGCAACCGCACCTACGCCTCCTGGATCACCCTCTCCCGCCTCTCCGCAGCCAAGGAGTTTGCCTACATGAAGGTACAACCTGCCCAATCGCTCCATAACACGACGTCTGCCTGCTCAACACCGCGCACGGCTGTACATGACATCTGTCCGTGGTCCCGCTGATCTGATCACGCCTGGCTGTCGCTCGCGGTCCCCGTTTCCTTGTTGCACGCAGGTGTTGTATGACCGCGGCTTTCCCGTTCCCAAGCCCGTGGACTTCAATCGCCACTGTGTGGTCATGGGACTTGTGGACGGATTCCCACTCTGCAACGTCAAGGTCGTCGACAAGCCCGGGAAGCTTTTCCACCGTCTCATGAAAATTCTTGTCAAGTTTGCCGAGTGCGGTCTCATCCACGGTGACTACAACGAGTTTAACCTCATGGTCAGCGAGGTGAGAACTCAGCGCCCCATCGGACATGTCCTTGTGGCCCCTAGCACCAGATGAATACCAGACCAAAACCGCTCGCACGACAGTTGTTGCCAGTTGTTGCTCATCACGCCACGTGTCTTGCCCTCTCCACAGCAAGGTGACGTAACGGTCATTGATTTCCCACAAATGGTTTCAACCGAGCACGAAAACGCCGAGTATTACTTTGATCGCGATGTGCAATGCATTCGCGACTTTTTCCGCAAACGTTTCGACTTTGAGGCTGAGGCCTGGCCCTCTTTTGCCGACGTGCATCGCGCTGAGCGCCTGGACGAGCTTGTCAACGCCTCGGGCTTTGATGCCCAAGACCAGTTTCTCCTCCATTCGGTTCGCTTGACATTCCGCTTGCGTTTCTTTTCATTCATGTGTTTTTTTTTCTGAGCATTTGTGCTTGCGTCGTGTCTCTTCTTTCGAGCTACAATTCTCACGTTGCGCCGGTTCTTTCTTTCTTTCTTTTTTTTTCCTCGTTTGTGTGTTCCCAGAATCTCGATGCCTTTATGAAGTACGCCGCTGCCAAGCCTAGTGCTGGCGAGGAGTCCATTGCAAAGGGAGCAGTTAGTGATGACGACGGCAATGCCGATTCCCAGGCTGAGGAGGAGGACAGCGGAGACGAGGCCGATGGCTATGATGAGGATGAGCAAGCAGAGGGTGCAGATGAAGACGAGGTTGAAGATGAGGTTGAGGAGCGGACCATCGAGGGTACTGTGACTCTGGCAGATAGCGACGACGAGGCGGATTACACTCCGCGCGTCCCGGTGGCGCCTCGGGTCGAGAAAGAATCTAGTCCGGCATCAGCCGAGACGACGGCCGTGAACACCGCTGCGGCCGAGCAGAATGGAGAGCCAGAGGAAGACGACCTGATGCCCTTGCATGAGCTGAATCGTCAGCGTTTGGCATTCCGAGACAGTGACTTATCGAGCGTGCCGCGAGCCAACCCTCGCGTGCGCAGCGGAGATAGTTTGAGCAGCAACGTGTCCACAGCCAGCCGCGTATCAGGGGCCCCGCGCATGGCGCCCAAGGAGGTGCGCCAGCGTGTTCGTAGCTCGCTGCAGCGTCGTGGTCGTGGTGGCGGGGCTGGTGGCCGCTCCAAGACGACGCGCAACCGCAACAAGGATGCCGCCAAGCAGGATCGGGCCCAAGCCAGCAAGTCTACTTCGGCAGCCTGGTAGAGAGACCAGGTGCCACAACAACAATTTGGAGGCGACGCACGTTCTGCGACTTTTCAAGCCAGAGATGTGCCCCAGCACGTGCGTCTACTTTGGGTGCCGTGACGTAGTCTTCAGAAAGGACGAAGTTGCCCCGCGGGCACGCGTCACGGCCCAAGCACGATTCAGCATCGCTTGGCATGGCCTTTGATACTGTTTTTGTCTTGTTGCATTATTCCCCACCTGCATTTGAGATTGTCCAAGCTGGTTTGACAGCTTTGACCTCGGTTGTAGCTGTATATGTATCGTTGATTCATCGTTTCATGTGACGGTGTGCATGTGTGCGCATGTGTGGTGCTGTGGATGAGTGTCGACACGTGTACGTGTCCAGTTGAGCTGAATAACTGCACGTTTGAGGGGATCTGATGTCATGGACCAGGCAAGGTAGAGGGTATTCGATTTCAGTTTCCAATCACAAGGCTCATCAAACTCGAGGAGCGCGTCATCGCTGCGGCAGGGTTTTTGCTGCGCGGCGGGGTCTTAGGAGCTAAAGCAAGGGGGTACGGGCCAAGTCTTGCCCGTGGCGGTGCCGTTGTTGACGGCGCTACACTTGTAGTAATCGGGGCCCCAGGGCTTTGAGCCCGGGTTTTTAAAGACCACGTTGTCAAAGACAATGTTGGTCATGGGATTGGTCTCATTGCCCAGAATGACGCCCGGAGACATTTTGGCATCCTCAACGTAAATATCGCGAAGGGTAATGTTGCTCCAGTCCATGTTGGCGGGGACAAAGCACTTGCTCAAGGGGTCCTCGGGCCAAAGCAGGGAGCAGGCATCAGCGTAGCCCGCCTGCTGGGGGCCGATCCAAATGGGCCACTGCGTGGGACGGTAGATGGAAATGTTGTGGTATAGCACGTCGCGAATCTCGCCCGAGCCGCCGTTATTATCGGAGGGGCGGGACTTCAAGTAGATGCCCTTGAAGGTGTCATACATGACCGAGTCGCGAAAGGTGATGTTGCGCACGCAGGTGTGCGCGTCGCTGGCGCCGATCGAGCCGATGGTCAGGCCGACGCCCGAGGCGTTGATGCGCTCAAAGAGCATGTTCTCGCTGCAGGTGGACTGGTGGGAGGCGCCCGTCTGCTCCTTGACGGCGATGCAGTCATCGTCGTTCCAAATGTCCACATCGTGGATGTAAATGTTCTTGCCGGCCACGTCAAAGCCGTCCGTGTTGAAGGCGGTCATGTCGTAGAGATCGTGGAAGTCGGCGTTGTCGCGGCGGGCATCCACGCGGCAGTCATGGATCTCGACGTCGGCCACGTCGTCGAGCAGGACGTTCCAGTAGGGCGAGTTTTTGAAGAAGAGGTACTGGAAGAGGAGCGTGGACGAGTTGGTAATGTGCAGGAGACGCGGGCGGTTCTCGCCAATCTCCAGGTACTTGACGGCGCCCCACCAAGCCTCGCCGTTGCCGTTGATGAGGCCTTGGTGGGAGCTGGTGAAGGTGACGTTGTGCAGATTGTCCATCAGGATGCACTCGTGCACTTGGCCCGAAGGGTCACGGGGCCAGACCTTTTGGTTGTCGCTGAAGAACATGGTGCCGTCAATCTTGATCACGTTGTGCTTGAGTTCACGCGCGTAGATGCCGCCCATGAAGCAGAACGTGCTGTTGGGAAAGTAGAGTACGTCATATGGCTGCAGGGCCGCCAGCGTCTGATTCAGCACGGCCGTGTTGGCAATGCATTGATCCAAACTCATGTCATCGGCCTTTACCCCGGCCGTCTCCACGTTGATCACGGCCCCGAGGGCCCCGCTGCCCAGCGCCAGCACGAGCAGCTGGGCCAGCCCCAGCAGCGCACGGCCCATGATGGTGATCGAGAAGAAAGGGCAGACAAGCACGATAGAACACAGGAAACAGGGCAGACACCTGGAGTGCCACTAGCAAAAAAAAGAGAGCTATAACACAGCTCGGCAGCGCCCCCGAGATGCCCCGTGCAGCCAGCCAGGAAGAGGAGGATGTCGCTGCCGTTGATCGCGGCTGCTGGACGAGAGAACTGAGAGAGATGTGTGACAGCGGCGAAGAATTTGAAGAGACGGAGAGCTGGATGTGAAATGTGGTACAGTGAAAACAAATGGAAAACAGAGAGAACGCGGGATCTCAGAGAGATTTCAGAGGGAGAGAGAGGGGAGACGTACGCAAAGTATTAGCTCATTCTTCGTTTTCCTATGTGGAGATAGATTGTAGATGGGTCAGAGAGGAGGGATGACCAAGGTGGTCTGTGCAGAGAGATGGGTTCACAGGTGATTTAGAGCTTAGGCAAATTGTACGTGTGGGCAGAGAAGTTACCAAGATAGGGACCTGGTGCAGAGAGGGGATTAAAGGAGCGAAGCGGCTCAAAACTCCAAAGCAAACGAGCGAAGGCCTGGAGGAGGAATTGCATCATCTGATTCGCAACAGCTGTTCTAAACAAAGAGCCAATTTTGCGTGCATGCAGGCAGAGAGCTGGCGGACAAGTCGAGCGCAACTCGAGGGCGCGCATTCCTCGCGCGCCACATTGCCCATCCATCCTTTTCGCCCCACACGACTGCCCGAGCCGGATCGCGCGCTCATTGGCACAAGAAAAGTGTCCGCTGGTGACAAGAAAATTTATTCGCTTCTCTTGACAAGCAACAAGGCGAGCGGAAGAAGCAAGAGCAGGTTCAACAAAAGTGGAAAAAAAAATTTGGGGTGTGTGGTGACACAAGCGCCCTGACCTGGTCCTGTGCCTTTAGTTCCACGAGCTTGCTGGGTTCGCTCGTTTGGTCGCTCGCAGCCCATCAGACTGCTCGTTTCACCAAACAACAGGACGGCCATCACCGGTCGGCTTCAGCGCCCGGTCATTTCCTGCCTGGTCAAGCTGCAAAATCGAGCAAGGGCACGGCAGCGAGCAAAAGCACTGACACCCGTCAGCCTAAAGTTGTGAGTCAACCCCACAGCCATTTGCATGATTTCGCCCAAGCCTCCTTTTGCAATCGCGCCGCTTGCATTCACATTCTCTCACGCGCTTTCCCGTGTCTCTTCCACTGCCCTGCGTTCAGCGGTCGCAAACCGCTCCACCAGTCGCCTCACGCGTGCGCTGTGCGACGGCCACCTCATGGCTGACGAGCCAGAGACAACCAACCGTGCTCGCTTACCCAAGTCACTCTCACCCCCTGTCAAACGTCATCGCCTGGATCGTCGGTGCCGCCTAGCCGCTATACCTAGGCTCGACGACCCACATCATGTTTAAGAAAAGAGCACCAACACTCTCAAGCGACATGTACCTTCAAGTCATGCCGCGGAATAATCGCCGAGGGTCCGACAAAAGTGACCTCTATGTCGAGGTTCCTGCCCAGTCGAGCAAGCTTGTGGGCATGAAGCGCGGTAGCATGAGTGCTTCCATGCGCCGCGCCGACGATAATTACATGGAGATCCTGCGTCGCGAATCAGCGCTGAACGATCCTCTCACTCGCAAACAGCGACCTTCCTCCATCAACGGGTACATGGGTTTGGGCATCATCCGCGTCATCCTTCGGGACGGTAGCTTTCGCACCGTCAAGGCAGACCAGATGGACACTTGCCACGAAGTCATCGCCTTTGTCCTCCGGAAAACCATCTACAAGGACACGTCACCACAAGAGTGGGCTCTTATGCTGCTGCTCGTCACCGGAGGTCTGTTTTTTTGAGGCGCCAACCCGGGTTCAAACCACATCCCTCAAGTGTGGTGTGCCACATGGCTCTCACCTTGCACCCCGTCCATGATTGACACTAGAGCCCGTCTTTCTTGACGCCGATGAATCGGCTTTGGAGCTCCTCGAGCACGGCATCGACAAGATTTTTCTCAAAAAGTCCAAGGAACGACAACTATACTACGGTACGCCCGTTACCAACTCACTTGTCGCCCCAAAGACCCAACCAGGCCAGGCTGTCCGGTCAGGTCCTTGGCAAATTCACGCCTAATCGTGCCCCTGTAATGGACAGATGACGAGGAGCACTTTCGCAAACGTGCGGCGCGACAAGCCAAGTACTCTGGCCATGGTCGCGAGGGCGACCGCGTCTTTGTCAATCCCAATCATGAGCTGGCTGATATTGCACCCATTGCCGAGGCGCCAGGTGCGGCTTGCCATTTTTTTTCTGCCCTTCCAAATGTCTTCTTTTTTTTTTTTTTTTTTTTTTGCTCTTGGCTCTGACTGATGTCGTTGTGTGACCCGCTGTCGTCCGTCTCTCGTCTTCCAACAAGTATTCTTGGCTCACTAACTATTGCTTGACAACAATGTAGAGGACGAACCTGTACTCTTGGGCGGCTTGAGCCGCGCAGAGCGTTCGTCAGTGACCTCGCTTGAGATTCGTCTCAACGAAGACTTGTTGCTGGACATGGATGAAGAATTCAAGCGCGCCGAGGCTGAACTCTACAGTGAATGGGGCTCATCCTGGATTGTGGACACGCCTATCTGGGTGCCCGGTGACGTGGCTCTTCCTCCCTTGGCTCCAATGGGGTCCAAGGAGCACAGGCGCAAGAAGACGCCTGATGAACTCCGCCGCGTAGCCGAAGAACAGGCCATCTGGGATCAAGACTTTGAGCGCCTGCGTCGAGCTACCTTGGGATTTACTGAGCTTGAAGACGGCGAGGAGGAGGCGACCACGTTGCGCCTACCGCCCACTGGCAAGTCAGAGTACGACGACTGCTCCGCAGATCTGGAAGCCTCTTTGGATCAAGACCTGGTCTCCAAGCCCCTGGGCAAGGCTGGCGAAGATCTCGAGCGACGACTTGCCCTGGATGTCATTGACAGCCCCGAAGCAAAAGCACCCGTGCGCCCCATGTTTGCAAGCCTATCCGCTGCCACAGGCAGTCGTCTGCTTGCCAAGGCTGAGCTGGCTGCTGCTCAAGCTGTCATGCAGACCGATAGCGAACAAACTCTCGAGCAAGAAAATTCGTCAAACCAGGAAAAAAGTAAGACCCTTGCAGCAGATCAGTCGTCTGCTGACCAAGACGGACCCTTTGTGCCGCCGCCACCCGCACCTGCCCCTATTGTACTTGTGGTGAACGCCTTCCGTAATCTCCCAGCCGGTACGTGTGTTTTATTTTGTCTGCCGATCGTGGTCGCTGTTTTGCTTCGGCCCGTCATGTGCTGATCTAGCTGCTTAACATTGGTCTGTGGTCCTGCGGGCCGATGCTGATTCATGTAGAGGAAGAAGAAGCCACGATTGAGGAAACCAGCAACAAGGCACGGCGTCAAGCGCCGCTACCGCCACCCACAAAGCCCGAGTCCTTCGAGTCTAAATTGGCAGAGCGTCAACCTAGCCAAGAGGCAGACGAGGACACGCTGCGACGAGGGAGCGAAGCGAGCACGCTCAACTCCCGCGAGCTGCGCAAGCTGCGCAAACAGGAAGAAAAGCGGCACAAACTCGACGACAAGCAGCAAAAACAAGAGGAGCGCGAGCAACTCAAGCTGCAAAAGCAGCTGCAAAAACAGCAAAAGCTGGAAGAGAAAAAGCGTCGTAAGGCACCTCCGCCGCCTCCAAAGCCCAGCTCGACAGACAAAGGTGCATCTACAGATGGGGCCGAGGGGGCAGAGGCTCAAGATCGAGTCAAAGCCAAGCGTGCGCCGGCCCCATTGCCGCCCGCGGCTCACGATCAAGATCATGTGCCAGCCTCAGCGCCAACTCCACCTACGCCGCCGCCCGTCCCCGAGTCGATCAATGCTGCCGTCCCTGCTCCACCACCCCCACCCCCAGCTCCGCCCGGCCCGACTACCGTTGCACCGAGGATGCCCAATCAAGCAAACACCAACGCCCCATCGCCTCCACCGCCTCCACCGCCACCGCCACCGGCCTCTGGAATTCCTTCAGCAAGCAAAGCAGCCACGTCCATTGCGCCGGACATGCCTGCCAATGGCGCTGTGCCTGCCCCACCTCCACCTCCTATGAGCGTTAAATCGACCGCCGCCGCACCGCCGCCGCCGCCGCCGCCTGCTATACCCACAACCACGAAACCATCAGCGCCACCTGCGCCACCTGCGCCACCAGCTCCACCAGCAGCCCTGTCTTCTGTGAATACAGCAGCACCGCTGCCTCCGCCTCCACCAGCGATGATTTCAAACACAGCGGCACCACCTGCTCCACCTGCTCCACCAGCAGCCCCGTCTGCTGTGAATACAGTAGCACCGCTGCCTCCGCCTCCACCAGCGATGCCTGCCGATACAACTCCCCCTCCTCCGCCACCAGCACCACCAGCCTCAGTTGGTTCGACCCCGCCTACCCCAACCACCAGTACACCACCAGCAACAAATGCCACGCAAGACATTGGCTCCGGCTCTGCAGCTGAGGAAGCACAGCCAGTCCCAACGCCCGAGGCCGTGACAATGACATCCGTTCCCGCGTCTGAAGGCGATGCTCACAACATTAGCCCCACTGCCATTCCGCAACGGCTCACAGGCCGGTCTGTGCGTCGCCACTCCTCAGCCGAGAAGAAAACGCTGCGGCTTCAAGCTGAGTTACAAGCTGCCGAACGCCGGGCCGCCGAGGTGGAAGCCCGGCTACGCGCCGCCGAAGCAGAGGCACTCCGCGCAAAAAACGATACGTACTCCAAACAGCAGCTTAAGCGCGAGCTCAAAGAGATGAAGCAGCGCCATAAAGCTGAGCTCAAGCGCACCAAGGATGAGCTCAAGGCTCGTCGTAAAACTCCTTCTGGTCAGTTGAAGTACATTGCTTTGAGCAAGCTCCCCTTCCGTTTGTTACTGCTGAACGAGCTCTGCCAGGCCCGTGTGCTTACTCACGCTTGTTTCTTTGCACGTTCTAGATTACGTTAATTTTACGCCTCGCGCCTCTGTGGATGCCGGGTCCATGAGTTTGAGTGGCACTTTGGGTGGTGCCGACGGTTTAAAGGTGGCGGCAGCCCTGGCTGAATCAGCCGATGCCATGCCATCCCCACCCGTCTCACCCCAAACACCCAGCCCTTCTCCTGCCATGGCTCCTCCTGCGCCACCCATGGCTCCTCCTGCGCCACCCATGGCTCCACAAGCTGCGACCTCGGCGCCACCCCCACCGCCGCCTCCGCCAATGAGCCTTGGAGCACCTTGCCCGCCTCCTGCTCCGGCACCGCCGGCTGCTCTCACCGCTGGCGCCCCACCGGCTGCGCCCACGACTTCCCTGCCACCCCCACCCAACCTCGGCGGGAGTGGGATTCCTCCCCCACCTCCGCCCCCAGGCCTGGGGGCGGCACCAGCAGCAGCAGCCGTGCCACCACCTCCACCGCCCTCGGCACCCGCACCGCCTCCGGCTCCAAGCTTGGGTGGCGGGGGTGGCCTGGCGGCAGCTTTGGCCAATGCTCAGCTGCGCAAATCCACGACGCCCGCTACCAACATTTCGCCACCCGCGCCAGCACCCGCGGCTGCGAGCAATGGCGGGGGCATGGGCGGTCTTTTGGATGCCATCAACAAAGGCGTTCAACTACGTCGCGTGTCCACTGATGGTAGCAACCCACCAATGCCGCCGAGTCTCGGGGGCGGAGCTCCGCCCCCACCCCCTCCTCCCTCTGGCATGGGGGGGCTTGCGGCGGCCCTGGCTGGTGCTCAATTGCGCCGCACCTCTACAGCTGACTCGAGTGCTCCACCGCCACCGCCCCCACCAAGCTCCGGTGGTGGTGGTATGAGCGGGCTTTTATCCGCCATTAGTTCGGGTGTCAAGCTCAAAGCCGTATCAAAGCAGCCTCCCAAGACGGCCTCCCCACCTCCGCCTGCGGATGAGCCTGGGGATCTCATGAGTGAGCTGCGACGCATGCAGAAGCGCCGCTCCACGATGCTGTCCTTGCAAACAAGCAACGGGCCTTCGGATTCCATCCCGGCCCCACCCTCTGGTCCATCCATCCCTCCCCCACCACCGCTCAACCCAGTGCTGAACGAGCGTCCTGCCCCGCCTCCACCTCCACCAGGTGCAGGTGCAGGTACAGTACGAGCACCGCCGCCACCGCCACCGGTCACGACCTCTTTTGCGTCTGTACCAGCACCGCCGCCCGCCAGCAAGCCGGCTCTTGCGCCCAAACCTGGGGCAACGCCTGCACCTCCTCCAGCTGTCCCCAAAAGCGGAGCAACACCTACTTCTGCCGCCAAGCCCGCACCGGCCAGTAAACCAGCCGATTGGAAGAGTTTGATTCAACATCGAAAACACTCCAAGCTGGCAGAGGAGGAACAGGCTCAAGCTGATGCCGAGGCAGCGGAGGCAGCCAAGTATGAGGGTATCCCGGCCTGGAAGGTCAAGGTGCTCAAGGCCAAGGAAGCCAAGGAAGCTGAGCGCAACGCCCCTCAGCGACGCAAGCAACAAGAGGCAGCTGAGCTACAAGCCCGGCTAGCTGCCATGCCAGCGTGGAAGCGAGCTCTGGCTGAGAAGAAGCTGGGTGTTGACTAAGGTTCCCCAGCCCCTGGAGCAGGATTCTTCTCCTGGCACGTCAGCTGCCGCATACCAAAAGCTTTGTCCATAGTTAGGTGCATTGAATGCAATGATATGGTGTTTGCAGGGAATGGCCCTGCCGCGTCATCGCTTGAGTCGATCAAGTTTATCAAATGTGCTTTTTAATTGACTTTTAAATTTCAAGATTGGAAAAGGGTGATGACCAAGTTGGCGAGAAGAGGCACGGGAGTACGGGGGCAAACACGTCGATGGTCGGAGCGAGGTTGGGACAAGTGTGTCGAGGGCGATCCTAAGAGCAGCGCGGCTGCCAACTCGCAAAAGTCAGGTATCCAGTGTGACCCTTGTCCTCTTGAGGATACAGGACAGTCTGCACGGCGGTGCTGTCCACTTTGCTAGGAGTAGCACCTTTCTTGGCACGCTTGGGCGGGCCTTGACCGGTTCCGGCCTGGTCTTCCGCGGCGCGCTTCTCTGATGTCTCATGAAGAGCAGACATCTGCGTAGTTTATTTCATGACCAAAGGGCAGATCAAATGACAGAATGAGCAGGGGCACGGAAAGGTCAGGCCACGCCTTGCGAGCAGAGGTATCATTGTCACCGACCGCCTCCAAATCCAAGGTTTGCACTGTGCTGCGTGAGACCTCCAAGGTGCGCTCCAGAACTTCAACTGTCACGACATCTGTATGCACGTTCAACCCCGAAGAGACATGCTGAGTCTTTAGCCTTCCCAGTTTTCGATTCCTCAATGGCTAGTTAGTTGTACATGCTGCCTTACCGCGAAAACCACGAGCCCGAAGGGCGTCGCACATGGTTTGCACTTGTTCAATGCAAGGGCTAAAAGAGCAAAGCCGACCTCCGGTTGGCTACAGGTACGTCGGTTTTGAACATTGCACAAGGTCGAATGAGGCTGGCTGTAGATTTCTGCCAACAAGACATGAAGCGCAGCGGACCCACCCGAAACGCAGCAACGGCATTGTCAAGGGCTAGATGAGGCTTGGGCAGGTCAAAGAACACGGCATCGACTTCTTCGTGCAGTCCCCAAGCTGGCACCAGCCACGGGGCGGAGGCAAAGCCTTGTAAGTTTGTGCAAGACGATCGTTTGGCCGCTGCACAGTCGCAAGGTCGTACCATCCGGCATGGTTGCATCAGCGTGGGCCACCTGAACGTTGGTCAGGCCATGTCGCGCAAACTCATCGCGCGCAATCTCAACACGCTGCTGGTGAAAGTCAAAGGAGAAAACGCGGCCCTGGGGACCCACCTGAATCAACGGACGAGCAAATAGGTCAGGGGTAAGAAGGGCGTTGCAATTGCCGAGCAGCCAGTCGGGGTATACGGGGGGCCGACGACATACCGCGCGGGCCAGCGCATGCGTCAGCGATCCACTGCCCGTGCCTGGGGAGCGTGTCCAGGGTGTCAAGCTGGATGAGCCAGCGACTCGGGTAAAAGGCGGGCGGCTGTGGGATGGAATAGCGCACCTGTTTCCAAAACTCTTGAACCGGCGCACAGGTCCAGCTGGTAGCAGATCATGGCGATATCTGCTGCATAGATGATCTGCATGGCACAAACCAGACAAAAAATGCAAATTAAACAACGGCGAGGTGTTAGCAAGCCGCCAGCAGGCAGGTCCGAGTGACAACTCCAGGTTGAGCGTACCTGCGTGCGGTGGCTCAGAACGAGAGACCAGAGCTCTGGTGTCGGGCGGAGCACGTACATGAAGCCCGAGCCGTGCCGAGCTTTCACCTAATGGCAACAAGAGGGCAGTCACAGCGGATAGCCGATACCTTGGCCAACACAGTACACCGGTCTAACCTTGCCGCCATAGGGCAAACCAATGACATCAGCGCACTTGAACTCGCCCTTTTGGTTGCGGATCATCTATATGTTTGACAAAAAAGGAGCGCAGGGTGAGCAAGGCAAGGGGCGAGGAAGCGGATGCAGAAGGCCTTGCACCCACCTCGCCATCCACAATTGTGGCTGCAAACATGAGATCACGTCCCTAAACGAAGGACACAAACAAGGAAACCACGAGCAGTGAGCGAGGCGCGGCGGGCCAACGACGAGGTGGCTGGATCTGGGCCCATGGTCATGTGGCGCACCCCAAAGAAGACGACTTCATCGTGCTCGCGCACAACATCTGTATAGCTACTCCACCATATCAATCGGACACAGATGGCAAGCGCAGCCGCCCCATCAGCAGCAAGTGTGAGTGCACAGCGCCAACGGTCGTCCAGTCAAGGAACGCTCGAGGTGAGCGCAGGCGCTGATGGGCACGCCCAAATCTCACTTGGTGAAGCTCATTGTGGCAAAAGGCGCCGCTTGCCAGTCCAACTCAAGACTCCGGGTTATCTTGCCGACTGCACCCCCACCACACACACATGCACGCACACACACACACACCAGCGCGCCTCCTCACTACAACTGCTCCTCTCCGCCACCCGCCGCTGCTCCTCAACCGGCTGCCGCTTTGATCCAAAAAAAAAAAAAAAAGTTAAAAAGTGTGTGTGTGTGTGTGTGTGTGTGTGTGTGTGTGTGTGTGACATGTGGATCGCGAGAGTGATAAAAACAATATCTTGTTCCATGGAATAAGCTTCCGAGGCGGGTCGCGAGAGAGGAATGGCTCACGGGACAGGATGATGATGGGGGAAGAACGAAGAACCCCCAGATGATGGACATGAGGGGAGGGTACAGAGTGGCAAGGAAAAGGGTTGTCAAAGCACAGAGGTTTAGATTCACGTGTCAATTAAGAAGCAGATCCGACAGAGGCACAGCACGGCTGTATGTTGAGAAAAAGAGACGGACCCGCACCCGAACGCACAATTGAGAGGGCTACTAATTCACCACACTGCCCTTGACGAGCGGGTGGGCAGCGGCTTTGCCTTGACGCTTGAGCACCTCGCGCTCAAGCTCCTGGCGGGTGTTTTCAAGCTTCTCGGCATCCGCCAAAATGCGCAGATCCTTGAGCGAAGAGCTGAGCGAATGTCCTTCCTTGCCACTGCGCAAACGGTGAGCACGCATCGACCCGCTGGGGGAAAAAGGCCGCGTGCCCACAAGATGCCGGCCCGAAGCAGAAGGACTGCTCGTGGGCCGCGGTACGGCGGCCAAAAGGCTGGCATTGGGCGAGACAAGTCGCGTGCCCGTTTGCGAAAACATGCCCTGCACGGGATTGCTAACCGAACGCGCATACTGGCGCTTCGAAGGCGTTGTTTGCCACTTGGCCTTGGGCGCAGCTGCGCTCACCTGACTGGCATTGGCCAGCGCAGACATTCCAATGGATTCTCGCCCGTTGTGCCGCTTGGCCTTGGCGGGCTCTGCTGCTGCCACGCTTGGGCGCTGAGCCAGCTTGGGCATCCCAATGCTCTGCCACACCAAAGGTGTTTCGTCAGCCAGATCCGAGAGCTTCCATCGCAGAGGATCCGAGTGGTCAAGGGCGGCCATCAGCGACCGTCGGTGAGGCCCATTCAGTGCGCGCATCTTGCATCGCTCGCTGCAAAACTTGAGCCGCTGCACACGATCAAGCAAGCAAATTCACCAAAACCAAGTCCAATCAGAGCATTCGCACAAATTAAAGAAGTCATAAAGAAAAAGAAAAGAAAAGAAGAAAAGCAAGGCGCAAAGCCCAGTTGCACTCGCAGTTTCAAAAAGCCGGTCGCTGTCAAGCAATGCCAACGAACAAACCTCAGAGTTGCCAAACGCCAGGAGTCGCTGCTTGGCGTGACGACCGCACTCCACGCAAAAAGGAATGCCAATAGGAACCGTGGGATCTAACATGACGGTGCGCATGTTCTCCAGCAGGATCTCAAACATGGTGGCCACGGTTGACGACACTACCGAACCGGATGCGTGGTGAGTCATCGCTCGCCATTGAACGCGCACGCTCACGCAGGCCTTTTGCGTGGCAACTTACTTGAGTCCCGCTTGTCGCTCGTGCCCCCACCCCCACCAATGCTTCCGGCCAGGTTGCCAAAGGCGCGTGCGCGGGGGTGCATGCTGTTTGAGCCAATGGCGTGGATGGTAGATGAAGATGACATGGTACTCGTGCGCCTTGTCTGGCTGCTGTTGGTTGCCAAGTAGCGGGCGTGCAACGTGTCAATGACCGTGCCACGGGAGGCCTCAGGCACAAGCTCGTTCAACGGAATCGGTCGTGTCGGGTCCGCCCCGGCCTCCAGCAGTTGCCGAAGCAAGATGAGACGTGTCAGCTCTGCAAGTGCATGCGCGCATCAGTTCGACTAAATTTGATCCCACATACACACACTCACACACACACTCACACACACACACACTCACACAGGGATACACTCGTCGACACTCGCTGCTGACCAACGCCGTTGAACATACCGTCGATATCGCTGTCATCCAGGCACAAAAGCAGGTTGAGCAAGGTGTCGTTGAGCTCACCAACCTCCTGCAAAGTACCGGAGAGAATGATCGGAATCAAAACAGGGGGGCTCGTGAGCAGAGCCCGCTGAAGGACACGCGTGCTGAAGGGCATCGCATGCAAAAAAACAGCCAACTTGACCATCGCCAACTACAACAGCCCGTGCTGCTACACCAACATACCTTGTTGGGATCGGCACCATGACCCAGCAAAAGCGTCACAAGGCGCGGTTGGCCCGAGTGCAGGGCGAGGGCCAGCGGCGTCAAGGAAGCATCGTTGTACAAATCAGGGTTGGCACCCGCCTCCAAGATCAAGTCCAACTGAGGGGCATAACCAACAACCATGATGAAAACTCAGCAACGTAATGGCTTGATGGAAAAAAAATAACAACAATTCAAGCCCAAAGCCATGCACTCACCGCTTCGTAACCATATTGGTTGCAACAGAGATGGCAGGCTGTGTTGCCCTGACTGTCAGCGGCATCGAGATTGGAGCCATGCTGATATGGGCGCGGATAGCAAGGCAACATTTCGAGGAGAGATAGGGGGGGAAACAGGGGGAAAAAACAGATGAGCCAGGGCGAGCGTTCATCAAAGCAAAAGACGCATCAAGTAGTACGCGGCTCGCACCTCTATCAAACCACGAAGGATTCGAAGGAGTTGAGGTTGTTGCCTACAAATGATGGAGTGGAAAGGATAAAGCATGGGGCATCAATCAGCATCAGCATGAGCTAGGCCGCAGGCTGGCGCGGTTGGAAGTGCACGAGTAGCTGCCAAGGCAAGGAGTACCGGCGGAGATGTGGCAGCTGGCTAACGGCGCGCAGCAAAGGTGTGTGTTGTTGGGGATCGGAGGCGGCCACAACATGGGGATTGGTGTTGTGCCGCAGCAAAAGAAGAGCAATTTTGTCATCGGCCAGTGTTACAGCAGTCAGTAGTACGGGTTCCGGATGGGTGGCAATGTTTGTGTCGGCACCACGCCGCAGGAGAGTTGAATACAGGCTATGCATGCGTTCCGTGTCACACTCATGACCTGACACAGCACGAGGTCCGGGGTCAGCCACACAACACAAGGAAATCAAGGACGAGAGGCGGGGCAGATACACAAGGCCACGGACCTTCGAGCGAGAGCCCAGGAACTTCCAGCTGCCGATATCCACGATACGCTACGACAAGGGCCGAAACGCCCTCGTCTGTCACGCTGTGTCACGCGAGGTCACCATGTCAGACATTGCATGAACAGATAGTGCGCACCCGACCCTTGCTCTTTGTCGCGCACCCGACCCTCGCCCTCTTTCAAAACGCATATGAACCGCGACACGTTGGACGGGCACCCACTGATTGATCTGCGCGCCCTTGTCCAGCAAAAGCGCGACTATATCCTCGTGACCCGAGGCAGCCGAAAGCAGCAGCGCATTGATGCCGCAAGTCTCACACACGTCTGCACAGATAGACCATAGTGATGGATAAGCAAATAACTAAAAGCGCGCACAAGGGCTGAAGGGAACTGTGCAAAGTTTTGTTGGGCGCGTTGCACCCACCGACATGCACGGTAGGGTCGGCAATGAGATCGCTGACCCTCGCAACATCACCGGCTTCGGCAGCCAGCAGTAAGGCGATAGATTTCTGCACCAGCCAAAGCCAAAGGGGGGGGGGGGGGGGGGGGAATTCTTAATTTATTTAAAACCCCCCCCAAAAACAAAGGGGAAAAAAGATTT